TGCAAACTTTGGCTAGACACACATGGAAGGCTGCCCCTACTGCTATTGCAAATACCACGAATGGAGTCCTCTCCAGCCTTGGCGCTTTGCTATTAATGACCCATGGGACTCCAAATGGGAGCAGGGAGTAAAGGGAAAACTGTACCAAAGCCTCTCCTATTCGCATCCCCAGAGTTCCATTGAAATATACCAAGCTCTCATTCCAGGTCCATGGATTAAAACCCTACGCCAAGGTATTTCCCTCCTAAACCTTACTGATACAGGAAATATTACTGACTGTTTCTTATGTGCTTATCTTGACCGTTCTCCAATCGCAGTGGTCCCCATCCCTACTCCTCTCAATGTCACTGACTCCCCCTACTCCTTTCCTCTTAAAGGATGTACCTCTTCTCTAAGATCCTGGACGCCAGCTGCAGGTATGTTATGCCACTGATAGCACCTCCTCCTGCAACCAAACTATTCCCATATCAGGAACCACCACCAGCCCCCCTGTACATTTTTTTTGGTGCAATGAAATGCTGCTGTAGACCGTTAACTCAGCCTCTGCCTTCCCCTGCTTCCTGACCGTGCTGACCCCACAGCTTATGCTTTATGGAGAGGGGAAGCTCAGGGACAAACTAACCAGGCATGAAGAAAAACGGGCCAGTCTTCCTGCTCAGACTAGTAGGTACAACCTTCACCACAACGCTGGCAGCAGCTGGGATAGGCAGCGCTGGGTTAGCGCACAGTCTCCAAGCCACTCGCCAGCTACGGGCTGAGTTGGAGCAGGCCCTCGATGCCTCTGCCACCTCTCTGGCATCTTTGCAGAGACAGATAACCTCGGTAGCCCAGGTTGCCCTCCAGAATCGCAGAGCCCTGGACCTCCTAACAGCAGAAAAAGGAGGAACATGTCTTTCTGCAGGGACAGTGCTGCTTCCACATAAATGAAAGCGGCCTAGTAGAGGGAAATGTCAATATCCTACAGGACCTCAGGGACAAATTACGCCAAGACCCTGCCTCTCTCGAAACAATAACCCCGTGGTGACATTCTTTACTCTTTACCACCCTGGCCCCGGTCCTAGGGCCAGTCATAATAATCTGCATACTATTAACGTTTGGCCCGTTTTCTAAGTTTCTCCAGGAAAAAATTCGTGAAGCCTCCTGGGTTACCTTCAACCAGATGCTGCTTCAGGTCCAAAACCACTCCCTCCATCCCTGATGGCCAACCTCTCGCCCCTCCCCTCTACGCCCATTCTGACAGCAGGAAGAAGCCAGATTAGACCACGTCGCCCCGTGCCCCTTATCCTATCAGAAAGATGTCGGGGATGTCAGGATGGGCGGGGTAGGACAATTGGGAACCTAATTACAATTACAGCATTTGGACTACAAATATGGTCACCGTTTGGACTACAAGTAATATGGTGACTGAATTCTGACCCAGAAGAGGTGGATGACGTCAGACCAGGAACCAGCAATGAGATGTTGCTTCTTTGTTCACCAAGAACCAATCCTTGGCTCCTGCGCAAAGTCAAGCCATATAAAACTCCCACCCTTGCCCTGGGCGGAGAAAGCATCGCCCGGAAGCACAAACTTCCAAAATAAAGCTCATCTGCCTGTTTCCATGGCTAATTGGCTGTTTATTTCCTCGGCGGGGTCTAAGAAAACCTTGCAGGTATCACCTTGTTGCACATGTCAGCCACAGATCCCGAGAGCTCACAGACCCTGCCGGGCCGTGTGGCGCAGGGGGCAGGGCGCGATGCAGGAGGGGCTGCCCTCCACGTGGTGTGTCTCTCGTGCAGAACACTGCACCTCGAGGGCTGCCCTGAGTGCCGGAAGGATGCGGTGAAGAGCTCACACTCCTAGCGTGTGGCCTCTGATGCAGGTGAGGTATTCTCTTGGGATGAGGTTATTTTCACGCTCATCAAAAAGTCAGAATATTTACCAGGATATGAGATAAGCCATAGCAATCTGGGTATTTGATTAAGAATGTTTTTCCCAAGTACGTAAGAAAAAAATGTACATCCCAAAATAAAACAGTTTAGGGCCATAAGGTCAGTTATAGTGGAAAATACTAATGAACACTTTAATTTTTATGGCAAAAGGTTTCAAATCATCCGCGTGAGAAACTTCCCAGGGTTCAGGACGTGAAATAGGTGACCTCTGACTTAGAGCTGAGTTGCTCAGCCAGGTGGCTGAGAAGCTAGAATTATGCTGCATTATGCTAGACTAGAATTAGACTGCATTATACTACTCTCTGCAGCGAGGCTGTCAGATTTAGCGAATAAAAATATAGGACGTAGTTACACTGAACATTATTTGTCGTTTATCCGAAATTTGAATTTAACCAGACCCCCTGTATTTTACCTGGCAACCCCGTGTTGGGGACAAGAAAGTCCAGAGCCAAGTGTGGGGCCCACCCCCAAACCAAGGGTGCGGCCGTCACAGCGTGCAGGATTTGAGCCACGCTGCATCCTCCGTTCCTCTGAAGCTCTTTTCCCTCTGGTTTCTCACTCAAGTGCAAGCAAGGCCGTGCGGACCTCTGTGGAGGAAGGCTCTGTGGAGCCTCAGTGCTCTTTGTGGACTCGGCAGAGCATCACTGTTTCCCCGGCTCGGTGATTGCAGTGCACACGCTAAGTCCCAGTGAGCGCCCAGTTTAAGTTCCTGAGCGAACCAGGCTGCTGACAGCGGCGCCACCCCCTGGGCCCATCAGACAGCAAGAGGACATGCGAGTGTGTGTGAGAAAGTATTTGTCTGGCGCTAAGGACGAAGAGTAAAAATACGTCTGATAAACAAAGCATGGCTAAAATGTCGCTTCTCCTTTCCACAAACAAGGAAAGATATTAATGATCTACCATTCGGGCAAATCTGGCTCTGGAGTCGACCCTTGAGCCAGACGACCAGGTAAGAAAATGATGACCGAAGTGTCTGCTTTCTCACACGGGAGCTGACAGGAGGGCTGAATGTTAAGCCCCACACTACTGGGGTAATTCCTTTCACAGACAGAGGGTTACCCCAGTTTTGTTTCTTCCCGAGTCAGTTTTTGTAAATACATACATTTCCTTTCTTGAAATAATCCCCTCCTGTGCATTTCGTGATCCCACGCTCTGAGCTTTCTGTTCATGCCCAGTCCCCTCTGCCAGCTGCTCTTCAGCCAACCACCCTTCAGCGCGGGAAAACCTCCAGGCTCTGTTCTTCTTTCTTCCCACTAGATCATTTCATGGGCACGGATTTTTGGACCTTGTTTATGGTGCTTTTGCTATTAAAAAGTTTAAGATTTTTATGCAAATGTACCAATCTTTTCTTTCATGGCTTCTGGATTCTATCCTGCCTAAAAAGGTTAAGCCACAGTTTAATTACAGTGACTTAATTACTATGTTGATGCCTCCTAATTTTAATCCCAGCCTAATCTCGCTTCTAAGATGTGCAGACTCCTGTGGCCTGCTCAGCACCTCACCAGAGTCTCGAACTGAACGCATCCAAGTTGGAGACGTTGCCTCCAATGGCTCCCCTCCCGCACATCCGCAGCACGGATTCCCAGAAACGGACTGCTGAGTCGGCTGTGAGCGACAAGTGTGTCACTCTGATAGACGCTGCCAAACGTCCTTTCAAAGGGCTGCGTCACTTTACACTCACTCTAGCAATGTAGCTGTTTTCTCCATGGGCTTGTCAACAGGGTGCAATCAAACTTCCGGATACTTACAATCTGATAGATACAAAGGAGTACTCTGTGTAGTTGTGCTCCGTGTTTCAGTTAATGTGAGCAAGCCCGAGCAGATCTTCATCTGTTTAAGGGCAATCTGAACTTCTTGTTTGCTGACCAACAGCAGCCCGTGGGGCATTAAGGAGATTATTGCCTGTGATATAAATTGTAAACATTTTGCCCCAGTTTGTCTTTGATTTATTCTTGTTTTGTTTTTGCCATGCGGAAATTTTTTAGAAGTCAAATCCATCACTATTTTCTTCTATACCTTTGGGGTTAGTCAATTAGGCCTTCTTTGCTTCAAGACAAGAAAGGAATTACTCTGTGTCGTTTGACGTTTTCATGGTTTCATTCTGTATTTTTAAGTCTTTGATCCACTGGAGGTTATCCCGGAAGAGAAGGGTAATATTGAAGTATAAAATGGACCATGTCTTTTCTTTGCTCAAAACACTTTAATGGTTAAGTTTCAAATTCCTAACATGGTCTGTTAACTCCAGTGCAGCCTGGCTCTGTTCCTTCTGTGAAATCATTACGTGACTCCCTCCCTTTTACTGAGTCTCACTAGGTTTGTTTCTAGTCCTCAAACAAGTCCTGCTTCTTCTTGTCTCAGAATTTTGCACGAGCTGCTCAAGAACCAAAGTTAAAACTCTGTGATGCACTGCGGGGTCACCCAGGGCCGCGTCTCTGGCATGCGCGCCTGTGTCTGCACTGACTGATCTGTGCAACGGCGCGGTCAGCGGCTGTCCTCCCCGCTGGACTGGGAGCATCACAAACACAGACACTGTGGGTCTTGTGCCCTACTGTAGCAGCCTTTGTTCCCGAGCAAGTGGCTGAAACACAGTAGCTTTACAAATATTTATTGAATGAATAAATGAAAACTAACAGGCTTAATGAAAACTTCTTTTGATAATATCTAATTTCATTTTCTCTGATTAGTCACCAAATAACCTCTGACCCACAATTTATTCTGCGGAATAATCTCTGCAATCGGGGGGACACGCTTCATGACAACGGCTGGTGCCAGCTACCTCACCAGACACACGTCCCCTTGTCAATGAACAAACTGTGCTTGGGCTTACAAATTAGCCTTTTGTGAATGTGACTAGGAGCAGCCAACCCCTAAACTTGAACTTCTACTGATAAACACAAAATTGGCCTCTAACGTAAACACCAGGTTTATAATTTATAACAACTTTTTTCTTTAACACTATGAGTTAGACTTGGCAGTGAAAGCATATGTGTGTGAGTTGTCAGAGTGAACCCCCGTTGCTTCTCTGGCAAGCACCCTAAGAACGCATTCACACCACCCTGTGCAACTCACCTCCTGGAAGTTGTGCTGAGTGAACTTGTCTGCTATCCGCAGCAACTCACGGCATGAGTGTGTGTCCGCAAAGGCCCGAATACCAAGGCAGTTAGAAGGATCCAGCTGTCTCTTTAAGAACTCACAGCAGGCTTCCTGGATTTCTGCCAGCTGGAGGAGGCACGCCGCTGGGAGGAGGGTCTGAACGTTGCCCTCCTCCACGGTGATCTGGGAGGTATACGCAAAGTCAATCAGCAGCTCCATGGCCCTCTCGTCTATGTCCCGGATCACTACCTCTGTCTGCCGGCTCTCTGCCAACTCCCCCGTGAACATCGCTCGGAAGTAGGGGCTGCAGGCTGACAAAATGACTCGGTGGGCATATATCTTCTTGGCGCCCACCACCAGCACCACGTCGCACAGCTCCCGGTGCTTCCTCAGGAGGTTAATCACTTCCAGGGTTTGTCGAGGGTGCTTGTCTGAGATATAGGGCATGCGGGCGGGCTGGGGCACCCCTTCGGGCAGTTTGTTGGGGTCTCCAAGGGTGCAGCGGCTTGTCACATCCATTCCAGTCTCTCCTGGTCGAATGCTGGCACACCTGCGGGGAGGGTGGGGGGGGGGGGAGGGGGAGACGGCAGTTTTATTAGAAGCTCACTCCTGCAGGAAGGTGTTCGCAAGTCAAGAGCCAGGGAAACCTGCGGGTAACTGACAGACAGGTTAACCCCAAAGAGCTCCTTTTCTAAGAATTCTCGAACTCGCAGACTCCCCGAAAGTCCCCGGAGGAATGGAGAGTGTTAGCCTCAAACCCGAGCACTGTCACCGTGCGCTCCCTGAAGGTGAAGGGCAGTTCTCCCCTTCTCGGCAGCACTCTGGCTAGACGAGGCCCTGCCTTGCACAACTGCCCGCAACCTGGTAATAAACACTTACGAAAGACATTTCTAAATTATGATCTATGGGCTTTAATTCCTTAACCCGGGTTAGCCAAGATCTTGATAGTTGTCATTTTCCTAAAACATATAAATGTTTACTTCTTATCACTGGGTGACATTTTAAACTGTTCTGAAGTTCAGCACAAAATTTAGAGAATATAGCTCACGTTGCATGAAAAGATCAGCAGGAAAACAGGCCACGGTCCAGAAGTTAACTTTATACTTATGTAGTACTAAATTTCTTTTATCCTAAGATGCCTAGTTTTCACAGTTAATACAGCCAATCGCAATGGTTGTAAACAAGTAAAAAACAAAACAAATCACAAGCAGGGGGTACAAGAAGTAGTAGTGTGTCACTGGGATGCTACAGATAATTGCTTGGGGCCAGACGTACTTCAGTGGACTCTAGTTTGTGAATGAACACAAACTAGAGCTGGGCATAGACCTCTGTGATACTGAACAATCCGGAGGTATCAATCACAGGGGTAGTGTGTGCTACATTGCCAGCTAGTAAGAAAAGCTTTGCATACCTTTAATATAATATTCCCAATTCTAAAAAGCTGTTGAAATCAACTGTGTGCCTTACAAGCAAGGATATATAGTAAATAACCATGCATTTGCATTTCAAAGGCATGCACTTGAAAACCAAGAACACAGTCCTTCCTTTCTCCAATAGCAACCCGTTTTTCCAAAGTACTTGTCAGTTCAGGTTCAATCTTTCTGTGCTTGGCCTCATCCCAGAGGCGGCTGTGCGTTCTAGAGAGCAAACTGTTCGCAATTCCTGGCGTCTGGAGGAAACAGCACTGTGTACACTTGATGAGTGAAAGACCGGAGCATGGAGCTGAACAGGTAAAGGATAATTTTTGCCACCCTACACAGGTACAATCAAGAAGGGTCTGACCACTGTGCTCACTGGTGCCCTGTATATAGTGAATGCTGAAAGAATAAACCACGTGGTTAACAGTGGTACCATCGAGTTTTAAACAAACCCACCATTAAAGACAAGACCAGTTCAAAAACCTTTACTATAATATCGACTTGCATGCAGAAGTTAAAGCATGTCTGTTGCGACCTTAGTTATGCATGTAAAAATGGTACTGTTGAAATCAGATATAAGCAGTTTTTTATTTCACCTAAGTACAATATGGAAGCTAATTTCTACATACCTGCTTCTTTTAAAAGTATAACACAGCATACCAAAAAAACCCCAAAGCTGTTATTATTGTATTAGTATTGGTTCTGGCTTTAAGTAATGGGTAATTTCTAGATCCTTATAAACTGTGTGGTTAACAAACTTGGAAGGAATTCTCTTGAATGTGACCATTCTCTGAAGTTCTGTCCTCTCTGCTCTCTACAGACATGCTTGGGGCAGCTCGTTTAACCTCACGGTTCCCATCACCTGTATGTGAATGGCTCAAGGATTCCTATCTCCAATTTGGGTCACTTCTGAATTCACATCCACAGGATTGCCCCTCCATTACTCAAACTCAGTGTATCTTTCTCTCTAAAGATTGCATTTATTTTTTGAGAAAGGGGAAGGGAGGGAGGAAGAGAGGGAGAGAAGCATCACTTGGCTGTGGGCCACACCAGCCAGGGCTCAGACGCACTGTATCTCAAGGATACATCTGAAACTGATCCCTTGATTGTCTTCCTTCCTCCACGTGTGGCTCTCCTCCAGTCTTCCCCAGATCAGTAAAAGGCGACTTTCTTCTTCCAGTTGCTCAGGCTAGAAATGTTGGAGCCCTTCTTTCCCTCCCACACCTCAACCCAGCCCATGGGCAGCTCCTGTCGTTCTACCTCCAAGTAATACCTAGAATCCAAGCATTTTTCTACGTCTCTACTAGACCCACCCTAATTCAGGGTCTCCTTGCCTTTTAAAATATTATAATAACCTCATAAGTTGTCATCCTCCTTCCACATTTGCCAATTTATATTCTCTTCTCTAAACATTTACTTAGACCTTTTCATTCCAAAGGGCAAGGTGAGGGCCCCCTGGGATGATAAAGACAATTAGAAGTGTCTGGTTCGCAGTATTTTCAGATTTGCTTTGTTCTGAAACGGAAATAGACTGAACGTCAGTGGGAGGACCTGGACCCTTAGTTCGCCAGTCGCCACCAGGGCCCTACGTGAAGCCACGCCACACACTGAGCTGCCCGAAGATCTGTGAGGATTTGGTCTTGAACCCCTCTTCCGGGGGTGTCAGGGCTGTGACAAAGGGACCTAGACTGTTCGGTACAAAAACAGGAATTTTAAAGGGGGGAAGTCTTAGGGGGAGAAAGAGAGGATTATAAGGGAAAGGGAAGGGAGGCTTTAAGACAGTGGCAGGCTGTGATCTAGCAGAACAAGGCAGGTGGGAAAACTTTACAGCCCCTCCCTTATCCCCAGACCCTCAGTGAAAACCTGGGTATTCGTGGCAGCCGCGTGGAGGGAGGTGGAGAGAGACAGGGACCGTGGAGCACCTCTCGAACGGGCCTTGGCTGTGAGGAGGAGAGACAGGCAGTGCTATGTCTGCTTGGAGAGGTAAAGGCTGTAAAATAACTATATACTGAGGGGGAAGTTTAAAAATCTAAGAGGGGGAGAATTAAAAAATGAAGAAAAAAGAACAAAAGAAAAAATGTAACCAGAAAAAGAGAGGGTGGAAATGATGGCGTGAGGGCCTTGAAGAGTGGGAGCGGCGGAGCCAAAACGGGGGGCTGGATCTCAGACCGCGGAGGTCAGAGGAAGGGCCTGGGAGGGGTGCAGGGAGGTTCACCCCGAATGGCCCCTATTTTTTTTTCCTGTGGAGTTGGGAGCGGCAGGTCACTTGCTGCCGGTGAGCAGAGTGGAAACAGGACCATGAGAAGAAGGAGTAAGGGAGTGAAAGAGCTGCTCTGGGGAACGTGTAAGCACTGACGGAGACTCAGAAATATTGTCGGATAACACTGCTGGCCCAAAAGACATTAAAGACTTGACATAACAGCACGAATTCCTGGCGGCCGGTTTTATCCAGCGGCGACCAGCAGCCCGGCCCGGGGAATATGAACGCCTGCCCTGACCTGCAGCCGGGAGCAGCCACGGGCAGAAGAGGGAGGTGAGTGACGGCGAGAACGTGGTCGAAGTGGCTGTGGAAGTGGCTCGGAAAACGGAAGGGGCCGCGGCACGCTCATTCTGACAAAGAACAGATGCAGGGAGCATGCAAGGGATGATGGTCAGAAAACAACTTATTAGGGCTTATGATGTCAGAGAGTTTAACTGAGAAAAAGTAGAAATGAACTGCTGGAAGCGGGCGACGGTGAAAGTGACAGGAATTTAAGGGGTCAAGGAAACGCGGGCAAGGTAAACGGATGGGCCATTCCCGTGGGTGCTGGTGTCTCCTACACTGATCGTCAGGGGAAGAATCACATCACGTGCCGACAAGAAGCACAAGCCAAAGAGCAAATCAAATACATATTTTTCATGTTCACTGAAGGAATATTACAACTTTGGTACCTCCCTAAGTAATTACCCAAAATGTGTGAGTCACCTTCCCATTTCAGAGCTACCCTGTCACCCACTCCTCGGAGCCTGTGCTCCCAAAGTGATATTCCTCAGGGAAGACAGCCATTTTCTGCAAGTGGCTATGATAATTTGAAATCAAGCACAATGAAAAGTTTAGAAAACACAGTCCCTGCTTCTGAAGCACTTATAATCACTTTTACGTCTTCGTCCAAAGACCTGCAGAACCTCTCCTTGACTCAGAATTGTTTCCTGTTTAAACGGACATCACTCCTTTCAGACTTCAAAAATTTTGTTTCAATATGGAAACTAACAGCTTGTTCTTTTTTTTTTTTTAAACAAAATCTTGTTTTTTAATGTTTGAGTGGACTGAAGCCTAGGGAGATTCGACGTGTTCAAGGTGCCCAGCTGTAGACACACAGCTGGTATCTGGGCCCGGACCTGCCCCTTCCTGCTCTGTCTACTGCCCCCGCCACACTCTGCCGCTGCCTCTTGGGCAGGGGGCTCTTCTGGAACCGCCCCGCGATCTTGAACTCAGGAGGGACCTTCAGGAGAGCTGACCAGTGACAGGAGATCTGACCAGGGGTAAAAGGGGGTCAGGATCAGCCTGTTTGGCTGGGAGGAACAGCAGAGGAGGGGGTGGCCCACACTTGGAGGATGCTGGCACAAACCCAATTTGTTTGGGGGCTCTGGGGGCTCTTTTCCTGGCCCTTCCCCTCCCAAGCTGGCAATCATCCAGAGAGACTGTCAGCAACAGCTTGTTCTTAGAGCAAAGTTTCAGCTGATCTGACCCTCAGTTAGAGTCCTACACACACTTGAACAGAGCCAGCAGTTTGAGTACAGAAATCCTTAGAACGAATAACATCTGTTATTGTAAGTGCTAGTTCTGCTTATTAGAAGGGGACCCACTAGACACTACCTCCCATCCCTAATTCCATACCACAAAGACGGGCCGTTGACTCTTAATCTGAAAATAGGACACGGACTCTTCAGCCTCAAGACATCTTACCACTGCTCCTTGGGTAAAGCGAGGGTCAGCATGGGGCGCCTCGGCCCTGCACTCACGGCACGACGCAGGAGGAGGGAAAAAGGCCTCGCAAGCCAGCTGCTCTCCCTGCACGTCAGGAAAGCAAAAGCCTTCCTCGGAGAGCCCTCAGCAGCTTCCCCGACATCTTGTAAAGGGGGCCCCCAAACAGGGATTTGTAATGGGGTCCAGAACCCAGGGTGTCCAAGAAATATTAGAAAAAAATATATACATATAGGATGTCTTCACCCCCACAAGTCTGAGCTGGGGGATGGGACACACAGAGCAGGGCCATTAAGAGTTGTTTTAAATAGCAACAGTTTTTGCAGATAACCTCTGGAATGGTAGTTTCACATATCTATAACCTTTAGCGGGTTTTGCAGATATATTAAACAGCTGTAGCCATGCGTCAACCCCTGATGTAACTGGGAGGCAATTCCCCCTGGTTACAGAGCCTACATGAGAACTTGGAGATGACTGGCTCCACACCACAGGGCCACGCCTGCCCAGACTTACTACGGCAGCCCAGTAAAACTGGGAACATACGGGAATGCTGGCAGCTGTGGCCAATTGTGGGAGGAGTCAGAAACGGTGCGGCAGAGGAAGACTGGCGCTGGGATTTAAACCCAAGTGTGGCAGCCATGCGGTGTCTTTTTGGGAACATGCAGCTTGGGCAGAGAAGAACCACGGACTTCTATTTCTTTTTCTGAGATACGGTACCCCAGGCTGGGCAGAGGGGGAAGGAAGGACCATGTGTTTGTGGGTATTCTAAAGGAATTTGAAATCTCAATGAAGACATTAAGTCATTAATCTTAAGTTTGTATAACTCTTTACATAAATAATCCCTTTCCTTTTCACCAGTCTCTGGCAGTGAGAGATGTCTTTCCCTGGCAGTGAGCAAGGCGAACCTAGGACGGGGTGGGGGACCCCTGGAGCACTGGGGTGGGTCCATTCAGTAAGAGTGTTTCATCTGCACCCCCACCCCAGGTCTGTTCGGTGACAACCTCCCTGGCAGCTGTGTCACACGGCCATCCCAAAAGGCAAAGATGAAGTTACCAAGCGTAATATGTAACTTCCTTGTGTCTGCAGGGGAGGGCGGGAAGGAGGAGGGGTGCTGAGCAAGGAACAGCCTGACCAAGCAGCGCATCTTGCACCACTATTTTTAAGTATACATTTTAGACCGACTAGAATAAATAGGAAATTTTCGCAATATGAAATCTGAATGAGATTTTTTTTTGTCTTTCGAAGTTGAACTCAAGGAGAAAAGCTCATCTGATCTTCACCATGAGTGAAAATCACTGATAAAACTCTAGATGCAAAAAAAGGACCTAAAGCTTCTTACTCATCTTGAATCTTTATAGGATTTCATTTTCGGCTGTGCTGTTAAATACCCCTGGGGCTCCCTAGGGTTCTGTCTTCGGCATCCTCCTTTTCTGTTCTACCCTCATTCACACCTACAACTTCTAGAACTTTCTGTGCACTGATGACTCACAATTTTTTAAAAAATCTCCAACCCAAACTGCTCTTCTTCCCAGGCCCCATACTCCAATAATGTGCTGGCTGTCTCAGCTGGCTGTTTCCGAGGCATAATAAACTCTGTGAAGAGAATCTGGTTTTGGCTTACTGACACCTGTTCCTCTCCCCACCTTTTTTTTCTTGTCAAGGCAGCGCCACCTTTTTTCTCTCGTCAAGGCAGCGCCTCGTGTCCCTAGCTGGAATGCTGTTCGCCAAACCCTCCTGATTTCACTGTTAAACTCCCAACCCCATCCTCTTCTCTCAACGCCCACTGCCAGGGATCTGTTTCAGGTCCTCAGCGTTCATCTAAGCTACTACAACCCCTTTAAATTAGCTTCTTTGCCATCATTTCTTCCCTCTTTCCAGCCCCTGCCCTTGCTTCCTAAATGTCAGCCCAAAGAATGAATCCTATCTGTGTAACAATGTCCAATGGCCCTCAAATGCCCGAAGGGGAAAGCCACACTCTTCCTGCCAGGGCTGCAGCCTCACTTTCCATGACTCTTCCCGCCCCTTTCCCCCTCGGCTCCCCCAGGTCCTCCGCATTCCAGGTATTCCGACCATTACCCGCGTGCCATACACGTTCAGGTCTTGCTGTCTGTTTGTCGGCACACTGTTCTATTTATGGTGCCTTTTATTATTGCTTTTCTTTAAATCCTTACTTTTTAAAGTACATTTTACTTTAAAGCAAACTCCTATCCTTTCTAGAAGATCTAGCTCAAATATCACTGTCTCGGTGAAGCTCTCCTCTTCTCCACAGAGCAGAGATTCCCTCCTCTGCATTTACCTCTCTACTAGAATCCCGTTCATGCTGTGTCGTGGTGTCCCTTACATGTCTTCCCATCACGCCACCTGCATGTATGCAGCGTGCAGGCACAGACCAGGCACCATACACATGTTTGGTGAGAGAATAAACTGATTCCTAATAAAGGCAGGCTCTAAACTGCAATGTCTGTGAAAGGATGCACATGAACTGCTTCCAGGGGTTGCCTCTGGGGAGGAAAACTGAGAGCTGGGGTCAGCACTGGGAGACTTCTTTTTCACTGAATAGCCTATTTTGTTTTTTAAAATTACATACCATGTACACACGGCAGCTAGTTAAATAAGTGAATGCAACTGAGCTTTACTAATAAAGTGTTAATTAATTTCAAAAACCTTTATTCATTAGAATACCCTTAACAATATTTTTTAATCTTTTCTTGTTCATAGCCCCTGCACCCAGGGGAAATATCTGCAGATACCATTCAGTCATTCAAACAATTACTCAGTGATTATTAGGTTCCAGAGGCATAAGGATAGAGCAGACATTTGAGACTCAAGGAGTTCACATGCAAGTAGCAAGAATGAATATGTATCCACATAAAAGCTTCTCCAATAGCAACTATAAACTCAACCTCATCTTCCAGAGACTGCCTTTTGGGTTGCAAGCGGCAAGAATGGCAGCCCAGCAAGGAAGTACCCTTTGGCACTGTGACCATGACGTCATGCAGGCATCAGATAAAAGTAAAACCAGACAGCAAAGTGTAGGCCAGGCTTTGGCTAAGCGACAGTGATTAAGGAAGAGCTGTAACTTAATGGTGCCAGAATTCTCCAAAATGATTTTGAATAAGTGGCAGTATTATGTAATAAAGCAGAAAAAATGGGTGTGAGTAATTGAATACTTTATACAGAAATTACTGATAAAAACATTCCCACGCTGTGCCTTCTCTTTCTAAAGAATAATAAGCTCTTATTTTAGCAATTACATAAGATATAACATTTATGGCAGCTGAGGATGAAAAGCAATCTGTTTTGTTGCAACCCTGTTAAAAGCTGAAGTGACAAGTATTAATATGTGTTGTTAACGTCATGTACTTTCAGTCAAATATTGCTATCATAGAATAAGACATAACTAAGGTAATGGCATTTGTTACATCCATAACATCTTTTCACCTGGAGATCTCAAAGCATGTGCAAGCACTCATTAATTCCCAACATCCCGGTCAGATACATCAGAGCAGAAAACCAGGGCACGGAGACGCGAACTGCTCAGAGTGAATAAAAAACCAGTGACAGATCTGGGAAAAGATCGTCCTGGTTCTAGCCACTGACTTGGAGTTATACATGAACCGTTTCTTTTCTTAAAAGGGTCTGCCACAGTTGTTCATCTTTGACGTTAAATAACAAATGATTAAGTACAGTTCAATTAATGTAAAATGAGTTTAAAAAAATGAAGACATTGAACTGGGCTGATTCTGTTTCAAGAAGGACTGACGTCCTATTTGTTAGAACAGAGAAAATTGAGAAAATTGAGAAAAAAACCATCATTACATTTTAGGGTTGGAAGGGCCTATGATTGTATATTCCCACACACTGTTCTACTTTTCTATGGACTAAGCTACGTCCAATACTTTTTTTTACTCCTCAATCTCCCCTGAAATGCAGCTGTTTTAATGAACAGAACAAATGTATTACTGAACATCAATGAAATAACTAAAACCATAATTAGACACTCGGCACAGCGTATTACAAGTAATCATTATATTGAATAGTTATATAGCAACAGAACCCTCTACATTCTACAGGGAATTGAAGACTATAATAAACCCATATATCACAGCACACTTAATGATTATCATAGAAAATTACCACACAAAAAGGAAAATTTAAATGTTAACAACAACACAAAATTCATAGCACTCTTTAGATTTTTAAGATCCCTATATGACCTTATTATAATAAGGCTACTAATTAAAATGCTACTAATTCCTGATATTACTTTTGATTTATTTTAGAACAAGAATCATTAGTTCCAAGCAGACTTTGGTAAGATTTGTAAACCTTTTTTTTTTCTTTTAAATTCAATGGAGCCCTGATTTATTACATGCTGGATTTCGATCCGCAAAACAAAAGGTTTTTCTCCCTAAACGCCTACCTGCGCATTGGTTTGCCTTCCATGCACCATGAAAAGTCCCCTTGACCACACTCTGAAGCCGAACCTAAAGCAACAGAAAAGCAGTAACTTAATAAAAACTACTTCTGATCTTTCCGGTAACGATCTCTATACAATCATTTCGTTCAGTGACAACAGCGTGTCCTCTTCTTTCACAGGCCTTTGGCAGACGCACGACCGTGCCCTTAACCTGTTACCTTCAGGGTGCCTATCCTCACTCTGGAAGCTAAGCCGGTTCTAAGTGAAGGTGAGGGGAGGGGCGCTCCACAGTCCCGATTGCTAGGGTGCTGTCTCTCTTCGAAAAGTGCTTGGAGACATTCAACTCTGACCTCGCCGTCAAGTGTACCCACAGAGCACTCGCCAGATACCCGCGGCGGTACTAACACGACAAGCATGAACAGGGGATGGGCTGGTTTAAAACAGATCTGAAAGCAATGAACTTGTCCAGAAGTGACAGAGGCATGGTGGGCATTTTGCCCTTAAAAACAAACAACTCCGCTTCCGTCTGCCGGGGCAGCTTGGCTCTTTACCAGCACTTGCCTGTCCCCGAAACAATGTCCACCACCCCCTTGGCAAGCACTCGCTAGGGACCCAGGGTTAAATGGGACGCGTCTCCCGAATTCCAGCCCCTGGCCGGAGAAGCTGTCCAGAGAAGCCCAAAGTCCCCAGACAGGACCGCCCAGCGCTTCCCCAGGCTCCCGGGTAGGGCTGTCAGCCAACCACAGCGCAGTCTGGTGCCCCTGCGAGGCCCGGCAGCAGCCCCAGCCCCAGCCCCGAGCCCCAACAGTCCCTCTTCTGCGTCCCTAACAGGCGGAGGGCGAAGCTCGGCCCTAGCTCCACCCGGCGACTTGGCAACTCGGGACCACAGATTCGCCAAGCGAGCCGGGACGCTCTCCACCGTCTCTCCTCTAGGGCGCCTAACTCACCGGCTCTGACACTTTTCCTTTGCCGCAGCCTCCCCGGCCTCCTCCACCCGCCGTCTGGTCTGCGCTCCCCCCTCTGCTGCCGCTAGTGCCAGTCCGCTGCCGCTCCTCAAGCTATTTCCTTCGGGTCCCTCGCCCAATGTTCAGCAACCGGAAGTGGTCCTGATTCTAAAGCGTTCCTCCTGGAATGCACTTACTCCGCCAAGAGGTTCCGGCGCGGCTCAGGCAGTAGCTGTTCCCTTTGCTGGAAATTTGCATAACCTGTTGCACTGCCGGAGTTCGCGTCCAGTTCCTTTTATCCCGAGAGCCACCTCTTCTTGGCTTTGCTGCTGAACTGGCACTATTTGAATACTGTAGCCTTCTCATTTCTTCCTTGTTGTCCCCAGTAGATGGCAATAGAAAGATGACTATTAGTCACAGAAAGCTAGGAATTTTGATACATTTGTAGCAGGTCAGTCTCCTCTTGGCACACTCTCGTTCCTAAATGTGGGTTGAATGATTGATGGGCGCGTGCATACATGGAGTCGACATATATTTATCGTGCAAACTGCTGAGGACACACAACCAAACCAGAAACGTACCCGACCATCCTGCTTTCCCTCACTTTAGCTTTCAAGACCCCAAAGTTTCATTCAGGATCCTAAGGTTATGTCAGCTTGCCCTTCCACTTAGTATCGACCACCAGACACTTAACGGAACACTTTTGTGAGCTTACTTTAGCATTGGGGTGGGGTGTGGGGAGCGCCTTTCAACTTGTCCTTTGCCGGATTTCCCCACAGCACATAGCCAGCTGGTTTTTAGTATATATTTAAAAACATACAAGTGATAAGTTAGGGGATACATTTTCAGTAGTATCAGTGAAAGACTGTTGCTGGTTTCCTAATAACTATCCTAGGCTAAGAATGAACTTAACCAGATTTTCCTTAGCTGTTCCACACGTGGGATCTACGAAGGTTTGTCCACTTGGTTTTGAAACGGGAAGACTCTTTTGATAATTAGCTTGTAGTGGGGAGTGCATGGCCTTCAGGTCCAGACACCTAGTTTCAAATCCTAGTCCTGGGACTGGCTAGCTTTGTGTTCTTGGTCAGATTTCTTCATCTCTTAAACATTATGTAAAAGGGAAATAATACCTTTTCTATAAAATTGTTTTGAGAAGTAAATTATAATGAGAATCACGGTAGGAAATCCAGAAAAAGACCCAGGGACATGGAAATTTAGTATGTGGTAAACGTGATATCTCAAATCTGGGGACTATCTGGGCTGTTGCATAAATGGTGCTGATATAAATGTGGAAAAAGATAAAGTTGGATCCATTCCATATAAGAAGTTGGACTCCTTTGCAGTCTCAGCAAAGGCCTCTGAAGACTCTGATGGAAGCTCTGAAGCTGGATGACCCTTCAGAGTTGTCCTTGTTGGGGTGAAGGAGTGGGATCTTTATACTCCACGATAACCAAACCCATCAGAAGTCTAAATGCAAATACCGAAACATAAAAATAGTACAAGATGGATGGGAGACATAAATGAATTAATTTATTAAGAGCCAACTTCCAGCCTTGTCTGGCATAGCTCAGTGGATTGAGTGCGGGCTGGGAACCAAAGTGTCCCAGGTTCGATTCCCAGCCAGGGTACATTCCTGGGTTGCAGGCCATAACCCCCAGCAACCACACACTGATGTTTCTCTCTCTCTCCCTATCTCCCTCCCTTCCCTCTCTAAAAAATAAATATAAATAAATAAAATCTTAAAAAAAAAAGAGTCAACTTCCCTGATGATGACTCAAAAAGAAGCTGAACTAAAGTCAGGCTATCTGCTGGCCAGTTTCCACCTCCCCCACCCCGGTTATACTGTCACAACTTGGTTTTTCATCAGATAACATCATCCACGGAAAGTGTTTACAGGGTCATGAGCAGAGGGCTTTAGAAAGTTCTATCCCTGATTCATACAGCCTGTAAGTGAATAAGGGGAGGGTCAGTCATCTCATTTGGAAAGTCACTGGGGATGAAAAGGAGAAAAAACAAAGGTAAGGTGCAATACATAGAGAGATCAGCAGGGATTTTTAGGAACGTCGCACTGACTCAAAGAAGATCGGCTTGCCCACGGCTCCTTGATATTCACATCTTCCCTGTTAATAACATCAGGAAGAATCAGAAGACAGCCAGTGGCTGGCAGGGCCCCTCCCCACAGTCCTCCAAGCAGGACTGAGGTGCTCTGCCTTCAGCGAACTATATTCTGGTGGGAGGAAACACTCTAGTGGGTACAACGTATCAGGTTTAGAGAAATGTAGAAGAAATATGGGTGGGTTGTTGCTAAGCTTATTTGGTGCTATTTAATGAAACAGATTGATAAAATGGCTATTTAACACTAAGCAGGAAAAGCTAAGGATTTCCTAGGGAACAAATACAAAGGTTCTCCTCTTCTGCAACCGGAGGGCAGGAAAAGCTGAGGAACAGGTCCAGGACTTAATTATAGAGCAGCAGAGCCTCATTAAGTTTAGTTCTCAAGATTAAGTTCTCATCATTGGCAAGTCTGCTATGCCAAGGTCAGGGTGCTAGTTGGGAAAGAGTGACCTTTACATATGGGATGGAAATGTCTGGCTGAGTACACACAGGGTATTCAGAATACAAGGTTGAATAAGGGAGACTTAATCTGGAAGCACTCTCCTGGGATACAGGATTTGACCACCTGACAAGGATCTCAGTGGGTGGTGCAAAGGTGCCGCCAGAATGGCTTCATAAGCATGAAGAGTCACGGCCCATGTGAAATGAAGTAAAGATGCCAGGCTTGCCACGGAAGGCAGTGGAACAAGAGATTAAAGAATTCAAAAAAGTGAGCAAGCTAGAGTTCTACAAGGCAATCCTGGAAAATCTGCAAGATGGTTATATTCCATGGGAGGGACCAGAGGATACATTAAAGTAATTAGGAAGACGCTAGTGGAAGGAATACTCAGAATTGCTGATGAGTTCAGGAGTGGCTGCCCTCTGTGGAGCATGTTGATGGGAGGAGACACCGACAGAGATCTGGGCTCACTGATTGCAATGGGGATATGAAGTATGCAGATAGCTTCCTTATTTCCTTCTGATACTTTAAGAGAACATTGATGCGGACCCCAGCCCACAGGGTCCATGTGTTGTGGCCGGTGCGACAAACAAATTCACATGGACTAGGGCAGTCCAGTGGAGAAAAAGGGACAGCATGACCACTCTCTAAGTGAGAGAGAGAGGGCCCTGACCCCTGCCTGGACAGGTTTGTATTGTTTTTCTGGGTACATTACATCGAGGATGGTCCTCATTTACTATGCACAGTTTCGCCGTAGGTGATTACCTTTTACAGATAACAAAGGAAAGAATGTTGCTAATTACTTCAAAGAGAAAAATGTTGCAGATCGATGGGAAAAGTGTTTGAGCTGATTATACTCCATACTTGGGAGGTTTAGCACAGACTTTAGGGGGCCATTTTAAAGATATGCAGTAAGCATTTGCTGCCTCAATCCAGGGTGAGGGAGTTTTAGCAGAAGTAAGTCTCAGAGAAGCCTAGGTACAATGCAGGCCTGATTCCCCACAGGAGAACCTATCTGTGGGCATGGGTCCTGTGTGCCTACCCACTCCCCACTGGATTTTCCAAGTGGGGGCTGAGCTACATTTCCCACGCCACACAGAACAGTTCCCTATAGAACATATTGAAGGCGAAGTAGCTAAAATGTCTTCCCCTTCACCAACTTCAGTAGGAAATGAGTGCTTAGTAAAGCAAATGTGTTGTATGGTGACTGCAGGACCAACCTAGAAGATGACAAAGCTTCTAGACTACAGTTCTTGTCTGCTGTGGACCTGGAGAAGGAATTTCTTGCATATCTGCTAGGAAGGACTCCTTGTGGTAGATGCATAACTGGAGTCTAGCAGCAATAGTTTGCAGAAGCCTCTCACGCATGCTGCATTTCAGGGAAAAGCTGTAGACTCAGATGCCATATCTGCACTGTGCTCCCACCACCTGACTCAACCCTTGTAAAGGAGTTCCTGATATATTTCCACCCACCGATGAGATTTGCCCCATCCAATCAGAAGTGTGCAGCTATATCCTCATTTGCATTTATACTGACCAGTCAGAGTAGCTCCATAATGGCCAATCGAGATGCATGATGCTGACCCATCAGGATAGTGCTATTTGGGCCAATCAGATTGTGCAATTTTGATTCTGTATTTGTATAAAGATGGATCAATCAGGAAACCAGGCTGGAACTTTATATAAATTGGCCTGACCTTTTGATTTCTGCAGGAGGCTATGTCTCTCTGACAAGGGGTCAGGTTTCCCAGGTCTGTAAACTGTTTACCTGAATGAAGTTTCTTCTTTTAACCACAGCCCAGACTGGGGACTCCTGTTGGCATTTGATTGTGGCAGCACCCTGTGTTGACAGTGTAATGTCAAACTCTAAAATTTTGACTACCAAAACTTATTTGAATAAGAAAATTTTAATAATTACAGTTTAAAAATTTTCGAATTCTTTTTTTTTAAGATTTTATTCATTTATTTTTAGAGAGGGAAGGGAGGGAGAAAGAGAGAGAGAGAGAGAGAGAGAGAAAGAGAAACATCAATGTGTGGTTGCTGAGGGTCGTGGCCTGCAACCCAGGCATGTGCCCTGACTGGGAATCGAACCTGTGATGCTTTGGTTCGCAGCCCGCACTCAATCCACTGAGCTACGCCAGCCAGGGCTTGAATTCTTTTATTTTGGAAATTCAGATGAATGGTAGTAATATTTTGCTTGTTTTTTAGGCCAAATGTTCATTTGAAAGCGAGGCTAATCAGCCTTCAGCTCAAATGTTCTGAACTCCTCTAAAATATATAAGGATTTTCTTGCACAAATGGTAAAGGAATGTTTTCCTTCACCGTTGCTCTTCAGTTAAAAAACAAACAAACAAACAAACACAACTCTCTGACTTCACTCTGATCCATGTGAACATTTATGCAATTTCTGGGTAAGCTTGGCCCTTCTCTGCTGGTTTCTTTTGCGACCCCTGTCCCACCCCTATCCCTACCCCCCTTTTAAAAAGTCATCTGTTTTGGCTCTTAAATTCCTGAATCAAGAGAGTGAGTTTCCGAGTTCCTTCCACTCCTGCTGTTGCTGGCACTTGTGAGGTTTCAGGAAATGCTACTTGTTGGTGACAGTGACCATAAACCACGGACAAAAATGTCTAATGCACTAGAAAATTAAGCTGACCATTATAATTACAAGCTCTAGCAGTTTTTAGAATGCATCCTTATATTTCTGGAAAATTCTTCCATTTAGAGGCTGAAGATAAGACTAAGATGGGACAGCTACCAATACTCCCTTATTTTTAAATTTTATTATTTAAAAAAAGATTTTACTTATTTTTAGAAAATGGGAAGAGGAGGGAGAAAGAAAGGGAGAGAAACATGAACGTGCGGTTGCAGCTCTCGTGCTGGGTCCTGGAGACCTGGCTGGCCGCCCCGCCCAGGCATGTGCCCTGACTGGGAATTGAACTGGTGACCCTTTGATTTGCAGGCCCCCTGCTCCATCCACTGAGCAGCCCCAACCCAGGGCTAAATTTTATTTTTAAAATTGTAAAACAAATATACTACATATTACAGGAAACGCACAAGATAAGGAAAAAACCCTCACACCATCTTGCACAACACAGAGATGCTAATCATTTCGATTTTAACCAAACAGTTTCACCCAACCTCGCGTTCCTGCACTTTGCAATTTTGACCTGCGCGCACAGCCTGGAGCAACGCTCTTGGGGCGGTGCTACGGCGCCGGGTGCGTCGTCGCCGTGGTGACCGCAGAAGCCCAGAGTCTCGGCAGCTGCGAGGGCTCGTCCCAGAGTCGAGGCAAGGTGGGCGTGGGGTGAATGGGCATCCCAACCTGGCTGCTCGGGCGGGGACTGGAAGGGAGGGACTCTGCCTGTGCCTGGAGCTGGGCGTAGCGGGTCTCGCCAAGTGGGCAGTCTCAGGGTTTCCGGTAGGTCTTCGCGGGATTCAGGCCGCAAGGCGAACTCTGTCGCCGCGTCCGCTGGACCTTTTGGGTGGTGCGGCTGGGCTCCTGCTCTGCATAGTCTTCCCCAGGCTTCCCCTTTGTTTAACCCTAGGGGCCCAGGTCCGCCTTTGGGTACCCTCTCCCGGAGCTGCGGCTTAAAATTCTCAAGAGACTGCGTTTTAAAGAAGGCAATTGGCTTAAAAGATCCTTAAGATCTGTTCCTCTATTACAACTTCATGCTGCCTTGACTGCCTCTTCGGCCTTTGTTTCTGGTACTCTTGTAACCCGCGTCGTCCTTCTCGTCTCCTTTTAAGATGCCTACTCTTCAATGCTGAAGGGTCACCTCTTCTGGAAAGCCTATCCGGGACCTCCCAACTCTGAGTCCACTTTAGATGTCCACGCTCTACTCTCAAAGCACCCCTTGCTTATCTCCATACATAGTGCTTTTATCCCATATAGCACTCTGGCATTACTCATTTACTTTGGCTTTCCCAAGACTGTAAAGGCCAGTGGGGTAGGGGCCGTGACCTATGTGATTTTCTATCATTAGTGCCTTAGCAGCCTCAAAAGAGTTCATGTGAACTTGATAGTTCAAAGGAAAACTTAGTAGATGGTTTTCCCACATTAATTCAGTAAGGCAGAGCAGGTGCTGTTCTTACTTGACTAATGAGGATAGTGAATTTAGCAAAGTCACCTAATTAATAAATATCAGAATCAGAACCAAAGCGTGGGCCTTCCGACTCACAGTCCATAGGCCGTTCTGTCTTCCTAGTCCAGCCCTCCCTCTCCTCTCACTCATGCTCTCTGTGAACTTGTCGTTACAGGTAGTGGGGTGGCAGTTTCCCTTCATGTTCCACTTTTCATGGGCGAAGAAAGTGTAACTCATTTTTGTTGTGACAGATCTCATTTCTCCCATGAGTGCTCAATTATTTTGATTATTAGGGGAAAAAATAATGGAAATACTCCATCGGATTTAGCTCAGCCTGTGCCTAAGGTTTAGTTTCTCTTCTACACAAGTGTTTAGGGTCTCAGGTAACTTCTCCAATCCTCTCTTTCAGAGGGTGATCCGTGGTTCTCAAAGTGTAGTCTGAGAGGTCCCTGGGGATCCCTAACACATTTTCATGGAATCCACCAGTCAAATGATCTTCCTGTTCTTAGAGGAAGAGTGTCTTTGCACTAATTTTCTCACACGTTACCGTGGTTTCCCAGAGGCTACAGGAGGTGATATCACAGCATCCCGTGACATCACAGTAAATGCAGGAGCAGATAGGAACATCATCTGTCTTCTAATACATGAGACATGAAAGAGATTCGCAAAAATGTAAAATAATGCTTCTCGTCAGTATTTTTTGTAAAACATATTTTACATGAGCTATATTTTTTTGTTAACACATAATTGTTTTAAGATGAATTAATACCTTAAAAATTTCTCAGGTCTAACTTCTAATATGGTAAATATCGATAGACCTAACCCACATCAACAAGACAGTTTTTTAGGACTGTAAAGAGCCCTCAGATCAGAGAGTCTGAGAACTGCCACTCTAACTAGGCTAGTTCTGTGTTGATTTGGAAATTAAGCTCCACTTCAGGGCATACCAAAGGTAGTGTTGAGTGTTCTGGCCTGAGTCAGGTTTGCAGATTTGATCTAGCTTATCTCCAGATCTCTGAGTTAACCTGGGTTCGCACTGAGCGCTAGATGCAGAATCACCTGTGTGTAATCAAGTGTTTGGTGTGGAAGACCTGACAGTTATTTACTCAAGACTCTACACAGGAAGACTGTGTATTAAAAAAAAAAGAAAAGAAGAAATGATAGCATTGACATATTTTTCTTTTGCATCATGGGTGCTTTTGCCGGAGGGTTGATGATGGTTCGATGATGATGATGATAGGTTCTGTTTACCGAGTGCTCGCCACGTGCTTGGTCCAGGTGTATTCATTCTAGAGCGGAATCGAGAAACGTTTTAGGAAGAAGGTAGGTCAATAGCTTGGCCTAAATAGGATTTGGCTGGTAAGAATGGAGGAGATAAAAAGCTATTCTAGGCCTAGTAGCAGGCGTGTGTGTGTGTGTGTGTGTGTGTGTGTGTGTGTTGAGAGGGTGGAGAGTTGGATGCCAGGAACTCAAAAAGATGATTGACTTCCTTAGTACTGTATTTATTCGGTAAAATGAAGGAAACATAAGATTTAGACCAAATCTTATGGTGGAGTCATGGCTGATTGGCTAACTCAACTCACATTCCTAACCCCATATACCTTGCTTGTTTTCCTTACAGAGACAGGAAGAAACTTGCTTTTTTTTTTTCTTTTGTTTCTCTTAAATATAAAGGCACTTGTCCAATAAATCTGGTCTTTGAGATATAATTGGAAGTTTGTTGGGCCTTGGTAGGAAAGATTTTGATTTGCTTTCCTCTTAAAGGGGCTGAACAACACTAGTATCCTTTGGGGGATTCCCCTTTCTTCCTGCCATGAATATAGGCACGATGCCAGGAATTATGACAGCCATCTTGTCACCATGAGGCAATGCCATGATAATGAAAGTCTCACACACTATGATCGAATACAGAAATAGAAAGAGCTTGGATTTATATTTTTGAGCCACTGAGTCATCTTCACCTTTAAATTTCTTATGTGAGAAAATAATCTACTTTAAATTCAGTCTTATTATTTATTATTTGCAACCAAAGGATTCCTAACTTCAACAGCTTGGAAGTCTTACACACATTTAATGAAGGTAGGGATTAATGTAGGGCTATAGTAAAAAGAGATGCTATTCTAACTAGAGTTCCCTTCATTCTGAATGACCACATCTTGCCCATTCCTTGTGTCCCAGCTTAAATGCCATGTTCTTTACTAAGTGTATGATTCCCTTTATTCCGTTTTCTGCATCTTCCGACCCCACCCCTGGGAACACTGTCCAGAATTGTGTTCAGTCTTGGTGTTTCTTCTACTTCTTCTAGAAATAGTGTTACTGAATTTGTATTCCTAAAAAGCATATTTTAATTTTAATGGCTTTGAACATCAGAAAATATGTCTTGGTGTATATAATCTTTTGAATTTATGTTTTTAGTTAATATTACATTGCTAAGATTCATTCATATTGTGCGCCTTGGTGGTTTCCGCTGTGTACCAAATTACCCCGAGACTCAGTAGTTTCAAATAGCGCACACTTGACATCTCGTAGTTTCTCTGCGTCAGGATCCAGGACCAGACCTCTAGCTTCAGGGTCTCTCGCGAGACTTCAGTCAGAGTGTCGTGTGGGGCCACCGTTATCTCAGGGTTCAGCTGGGGTGGGTCTGCTTGCAAGTTCACTCAGTGGTTGTCAGTGAATTTAAGTCCCTCTCGTGCTGCTGGACGAGGGCCTCAGTGTCTTATTGGCTGGTGGTCAGAGATTGCCCCGTTTCTTGAGAGGCAGCCCTCTCTCCATCATAGCACGTGAGAAGCGCCAGGGAGAGAATACCGGTAAGACAGAAGTCACAGTCTGTTGTAAGTGGCTTCTGGGAGTGACATGCCATCACCTTGGAAGAAAGTCACCGTGTCTAGCCTTCGTGATGAGAGGAGGACACAAAGTTGTGAATGCCAGGGTGCAGGGCGAGGGGCTTTTGGAGCCTGTCAGAGCTGCCTAGCACATGATCTGCACGTGGGATTTATTCACTTTCACTAGTCTACGGGATCCCGTGTAAATGTGCTGGGGTTGACACTCCAGTTAATGGGCCTTGTCGTTTCTCCCCACCCAGGATTTTTGCCGTGTGAACAGCGATGCTGTGGGCATTCTCCCATGTATGAGGGGACCATGCCCCTCCTCTCTGAATGGTTCCCAGTTTTGTATGTGTTGTGCCAGGGTGGGCAGCGGTAAGACTTCCTGGATGAGGTCGAGCTGGAATTAATCTCGTCCCTTCTAAATTTCCACAGCACTTCATCTCCTGTGATCCTTACCACCTGTCACCTTGTATTGCACTTATTTTACATGTGTCGCCTTTTCTCCCTTGAAAAAGTAAGTTGTTGAGGACAGGAAAGAAATTTGGTTCTTCTCGGTAATCTGCATGATCCCTACCCCTCACTTAGTCTACAGTATTAGTGAACTCTCAGGAAGCGTTAGCGAGTGACTGAATTCTGCCTAAACATCAGCACCTCATTTTTTCAGATCTTAATAATCTGGCTCCAGTGGTCCAGCTGTGTTTCTTACTTCTCCCCAGTAGGGACTCGTGTTTAGGCAGGTGAGTCTCTCTAGTGTTCTCTTTCCATCTTTTCCCAGTGAATCTAGCCCACGTTGCTCTCTTCTTCCTATTGAATCTACTATTTCTATCCCATAGTTCTCATTTTAGTGTATATTCAGGCAGTGTGTTGACTGCATCCGCTGCTGGCAGGTGCACAATACTCTCCTTAATGGAATGGATGAAGTGTTTTACTTTATAACTATTTTCAGCCAGTTAAGAATTGTCACCCCATCTATATTGTCAGTGCGCTGACTGAATAAATAAATCAGTTCCAATTTGTCTTGAGTAGATTTCTATTACTTTTTTTTTTGTCTCAGGTAATTGCAGAGTTAATGGAGTCAGAGGGACCCCCAGACTCGGAGAGTTCAGAAAAATCAGTATTTTTATCCCAGCAAGGAGAAGGAGTTGAAGAAGGAGAAGAGGAGGAGGAGGAGGAAGAGGAGGACGAGGAGGAGGAGCCAGAGGAAGCAGGCCTGGGGAACCCCCTCTTACGGCCTGCTCTCACGGGGGATGTGGAAGGGCTGCGGGAGGTGTTCGAGGACCCCGAGCACCCTCACCACCACCAGGCCATGCAGCTCCTCCTGGAGGAAGACATCGTCGGGAGGAATCTGTTGTATGCAGCGTGCATGGCCGGGCAAAGCGATGTGATCAGAGCTCTGGCAAAATACGGTGTGAATCTGAATGAAAAAACCGCCAGAGGTATTCCGTCTTTTTTCTCTCATGTGCGTCACTTAGGACTAGCTAAAGACGTAGGTATTATCTTTAAAGTTGGATAAACTGGGTGTGCCTTCTTTATATTGTGCATATATTATAAGAATGTATACATACATATATATATGAATGAATGTGTGTGTGTATATGTCGACACAGTAGAGTGTAACAGTTAAAAACACAGGCTTCACTATTTGCTGTGTGACTTGGGCAAGTTCCCTAGTGATTTTTTGTCTCTGTTTCTTCATCTGCAAAATGGGGATAATTATTGTATTTTCCTCATAGGGTGTGATGAGGATTAAATAAGATAAATGTAAGTATCTCATACTCTGCAGCACATAGTAAGCTGGTAAATGGTAAATGCTCAATAATAATATTGCGCGATGAGTCTTGAAGACGGTGGTGGTCCATCGGACCTGGCTGTCCCCCGCCCCCCTTTCTGTTTGTCAGGTTATACCCTCCTACACTGCGCCGCCGCCTGGGGCCGTCTGGAAACTTTGAAGGCGCTCGTGGAGTTGGATGTTGACATAGAAGCTCTGAACTTCCGCGGGGAGAGGGCTCGCGATGTTGCCGCTCGGTATTCCCAGACCGAGTGCGTCGAGTTCCTGGACTGGGCAGGTGAGGACACACGCAAGGCGTCAGCAGACCGAGTGGCTCCCCCGCGCGCTTTTCCGTGTGTATGTCGTGCGTCCATCAAAGGTCAAAAAGCCATGTGCCCTTTTGAGTTGTACTGACGTTTTGCGTATGTCATTCTCCAGGGCTTTGGAAATGCCCTGGAAGGATTTCAGGAAGATACACTTTTGTGACTGTGCATGCGTACATTGGTTGAAAAGTGAGTAAAGGTGACGTTCACGGCATTCTTTTGGTCAAGTGACTCGCGGTCGTGTTCATAGCAGGCGTTTATTAAATGCTCACGGAGCACTGTTGTGTGTACAACTGGCGGTTCCTGCCCTGTGGGCGGGTGTTCGGCGGGGGATGGTAAGCCATAGGCACACGTTAAGTAAGGGCCGCAGAAAGACTCCGATGAAAGGTTACAATCAGCACAGCAGGTCATATCTGCTGTGAAGTGATCGGAGGCTTGACGTCGGAGCTGTTGGAGTTGGTCTGGGCCTTGGAGAACGCGACGGTGGGATGATATAAAGCACCCCGCGCAACGCTGGGTGTGCGGTCAGCCCTTGAAAACTGCTGCTGCTGTCATCACTGCCAGATGGCTCCCTTCAATATGGGGTTCAGGTTTCCACTTCGTTTCTGTAGTCATTGGGAGCTGGTGAAATTTTTAGGTAGCAGAGAAAGAGGATGAAAGTGATATTTAGGAAGCTTCATCCTGGTGGCAGTAATCACTTGCTTACCAGTGAAAGGAGAAGGGACTGGACAATTAGAAATAAGGAAATTGAGGGAAGGAAGCACATTGGGAAGAAAAAGGTGAATTAGACTTTGCAGACCGTTTCGTAGGTAATTTTCCTCTTGTACTAAATGTTTTCTAGAAGCATTATTTCTGTCAGTGCCTTCAATTTTATAATTAGCTCTGTAAATAAAAAGAAAACAAATTACAAAGAATTTAATGGACCTCCCACTTGAGTAATATATTGTATTATAGGTGAAATTCACATTGTATAATTTAAAAGCCATTTTTGCTTAGAAAACACAATCCAAGGACAAATTTTGCTGTGACTTTTCTGAACAGAAACAGTTTGGGGCTTATGGGTACAGAGTCTCTTTGGTTTCCCCTCTCCAATATCCATCTGTTTCAGTTAGGGTCCTTACATTCTTGGGGAGATTATACCTAACATTTCCCAGTGATGGAGATAAAAGGAGATGGGAATACTATAAACTAGTGTTCTATTTCCAGATTAGTGATAGAATTGTAAGGATTGGAGCTTCAAGTGAGTGTAGCTCTGGAGTGTCGGAAACCCAAACTACTCAGCATAAACTTGAACGTGTGTTGAATTCAGACTTCCAAGTACAGAAACCTTTTCCCTTCCGTGTTCTGGTGATGAGAGTAGGAGGCACCTGGAGAGGTTTTGGGAGCTGGGGACTCTGCACCCCAAAGAGCCCTCCATACTGCTGAAAATTCCACTCTTAGAGATACATGTCTTTAGGTTTTCAAGGTTTGGACACCATTCAAAGAAAAATGTATCATTGTCCTCTGGGCAGCAGTTAGCTGACAGCTCAGAACTCTGAAGGCATGGAACAGGCATTTGTGGAAATGGGGTAGGGTTGTGCTGCGAAAGAGTGGAAGGAAGGAGGGGAACCTGGAAAGTGGGACCATAAATAAACTTAATGATCCATAATAAACTGTGACAGGTGCTATTCTTTGCCATTCCTTGTAAAGGCTGTAGAGTTATCTATTTGTTTGAAGGATTGTTTAAAAAAAAATTTTAACAGTATGTTATAGATCTGGGATTTTCATATACTTCATATATTTCGGGGATTTTTCATGTTTTTAATCAAATCTTCTGTCCTAGCCTCAGATCAGTCACCCAGCTTTTGTTGGATGACATGGTAACCATACTTGAAAAAAAAAGTTGAGGTGGCTGAGCAACAAACTCCAAAATTAAAAAGAAATGTTGATACTCAATTAATCATTTATCATACTAAAACCAGAAAAGTTATATATATATATATATATATATATATATACACATTTTTTTAAAACCTAATTTTCAGATTCTGTTCTTTTTTTTTTAGATTTTATTTATTTATTTTCAGAGAGGGAAGGGAGGGAGAAAGAGAGAGAAACATCAATGTGCGGTTGCTGGGGGCCGTGGCCTGCAACCCAGGCATGTACCCTGACTGGGAATCGAACCTGCAATACTTTGGTTTGCAGCCCGCGCTCAATCCACTGAGCTACGCCAGCCAGGGATGAAAAGTTATATTTTAAACATTGATCTATTCTTTAATATTTCTGCACTATTTTAGCAAAGGGCATCTGAGATGGGAAATGAAGTCTTCTTGTGGCCATAAGATTTGCTCAGGAAAGTAAGAAAAATCACAAATATTATTTAAATCAGAGATTTATTAAAACACTGAAGATTCTGTTCTATGGATTGGTTAATGATTAGTAATGTAGTACATTAAAAAGATTGAAATACTTAAATTTGAAGTAGTGATAGTGTACAGTCTTTTTCCCAGTACTTTGGTAAGTTTGGATATTTTTTTTTTAAATTCTCACTTGAGGATATATTTATTAATTTGAGAGAGAGAGGAAGGAGGTGTGGGAGAGAGGGAAATATTGATGCAAGAGAGAAACATCAATCGGTTGCCTCCTGAGTGTACTCTGAGAGGGAATCAACCCCACAACCTAGGTATGTGTCCTGGCTGGGGATTGAACCCATAACCTTTTGGTGTACGGGGCGACACTCCAACCAGCTGAGCCACCTGGCCAGGGCAAGTGTGGATGTCTTTTTTAGCTGAATAGAAATAACTTTCCAACCCAGACTTTGGAAAATTTCAGTAAAGAACGTAGCAAAAAAAAAAAAAAAATTACAAAGGCTCACAAAAAAACATTTTTAACCTTATATGAGTTCTCTCAATGGAATTCTTGTGTGGTCTCCACGTTGGGTTGAGGTACATTCTCACATGGATGTTTATGGTGCCCTCTCGCTCCTCGCCCATCCTTCCTCTTTGTTTTCCGGTGCTTGGCGGTCTTCGCCGTGGGACGCTGGGATGCCTGATTCAGGTACTCTGTCATCACTGATGTTGTGGCCAACAGTTTGCAGAGTAATTGGTCAATGTCATTGATGGACTGGCTTTCTGGTTCATTACCTGCTGTATCTAAGGAGACTTGTTTTTTCTGCTAAAAGGGGGAAAAGCAGATTATATTATAGGTGTTTTTTTTTCTTACTGTAGTTCAAATTAAGTTTTCTGGATATCCATACTTAAACTTCAAACACTACACATTATTTATTTATACAAGAGAAAGATTACTACAGAAAACAGGTACAAGGGCAGAAGAAATGCTCTTTTGTGTACTTCCTGTGAAGATTACAATAAGTATTATCACCGTCAACAAACATTTAAAAAGTGCTTTTTTTTATAGCTAGAACATTCATCTAGGAGAAAGTATTTGAATATTAGCAAAATAGATCCCTTTACTAAACATCCTCAAGGCATGATCCATAAAACCATAGTCATTTTAGAGCAATCCGATTATTGTAAAGGTCAGTGCGCTTTTGAGATGGCCTCAAAATATGGTGTTGTTGGCAAAGCGGGGAATTAGTTCAAGAGTGCCATTCCCTAGAAAGTTATCCTAAGGTGAGATGTTAGTTTACAGTTCATTTAGAAAATACATGCCAGCCTTTATATACTTAGCTTTCTTGGATCTGGAAGGGGCCTAACAGATACCTTGTTCTCGACCCTTCATTTTATGAGTGAAGCAGTTGAGAAATACCCAATGACTTACTGGTGGGCCCAGACAGATAATTTCATTTCCTGTGCTCTCTACTCACTGTGGCCCACTCCTTTCTTCACGTGTTTTGAAGCTTGAAATAGAGGGGTTGGACTAGATCGTTTGAAGGGCCTTCTAGTTTGGTACACGTTTGCTGAGCACCTACTATGTGCAAGACGCTGTGCTGAGATAGGGGGGCGGTGAGTGGCAGGGGCCGGGCGAGGTTACAAAGAGGAATAAGACGTGGTACTTTCCCTCAGAGAAGCTGGTAATCTTATGTCTTAAACTCCAAACTTCCATAACTGTCTCTACTTGCATCACCAATTTACCTTTTTCTTGTGTTTCTTCCATTTCATCCACAGGTAATGAACCGATAAAGCAGCCAGAATTAAAAAGATAGCTTGTGCTAAAATACACATGAGATATAAAAAGCCTTGAAATATGTCCTTATTGGCAAAATTGCAGCCTAGTTTGTTGATAGGGTGAGGCACACAGTGAGACGGAGAAGGCTGAACTCTCAGATAAGGCATTTCTTCTGGAAAAATCTCCCATCCAACCTTGGCCCAGATAGTCCCATCACAAATGCAGAGACTTTCCTGTAATAAGCAGATAACCAACAGAGGAAAGATTGGGGAGAGTTCTTGAAGGGACATCTTCCTGTCTCATTGGGACAAAAAAGGTCCAGAGCCAAAAATGTAGTTGGAGACAGAGTAGGGATGTCCTGAGCGTTAGTTAACACATGCTCCGAGTGTGGTCTTTGTAGTTGGCAGGTACACACACCACTGATCATTGTTACATATTCAGTCACAGTGATTCAGGGAGAGGCCGTGACATCATAACCGCACTGGAACTAACAGGTGTCACCCAGCCAGTCAGTCACCTTGGGTTTCTTGGGGAAACTTTTTCTTGCTTTTTTTATCAGGATTATTTGAGCGTTTTCAATTTTAGGAAAAACAAAGGCCTCACTAATATCTTGCTGGCTAATACACTGTAATCATATTCATGAAATTTCATGGAAGCAATGAACCCAAACCCTTCAAACCCTTCTGTAGCGTGGCTGTTTTACATCTACTCTAAAAATATCTGTAGCGATACCATTTCACACAACCTACAACCTGCTTCTGTTTTTTGGTTATTTTCCTTTTTTTTTTCCACTCTGAAATATCCTTCCTTTCAAATAGTTAGGCAAGAAAAGTTCTGTCCCCTTTTAACCTCTGTCCCCTCGGTGGCAGTGCAGTGCTACCAGGCTGGGGGTGAGGGGTGGGGAATTGGGCACGGGACGTGAAAAAAAATGTAAGGCGGTGAGGGGGTGTGGTATACAATCAAAAGGTGAGCCAGAGGCCCTGCCCTCAAGTATCTTACAATCTAGGGTAGAAGCAAAAAAACATAATAAAAATTCCAACATGCTGTAGACTAACAACATGAGAGCTAAATCAGATCATAATCATGCAACAGCGGGCAGAGCAATGAGTTTCACTTGGTGGAATTAGGGGTTTCACAGAAGTGTGTTTAAGTAAGCTTTGAGGAGTGAGTAGAATTTTGGTAGGTGGACAAGGCATCTTAGATTGAAGAAACATAATCAGCAAAGAACCTCGGTGTAAATATCCATGTGACAAATATTTATCAAGCACCTCCTGTGTGCTCAGTACTGTTCCGGGAGCTCAGAACGCACATGCAGCTAGGCACGAGACAAAATATGTCCATGGAGCTTCCCTCCGAGTGGGGAGACAGAGAAAACAGTATCTCAGTGTATGTGTCTATGGAGCGCTCTGGAGAGAAATAAAGCAGCGTGGTAAAGGGATTCTGAAGTGGCCAGCAGGAGAAGGAACGAGTGTGCTGTGATGTTATGGAAGGCCCCTGGGAAGGCCTCTCTGAGCAGGGGGTGCTCGGGCAGAGACCCGAGGAACCGAAGGAGCGGGCCGTGCCGACATCTGGGGCGGGGGGGAGAAGACACACGTGATGGGGGGACTCTGTGGGTGCACACTGGAAGGGTTACAGCTGGGCAGAGAGCTGGGGCTGCACGGAGCTTGGCGGGCCCCGTGTTTTCTTCAGTAACCAGCATGGAATCTCATTCAGGGTTCCAGGGGGGAAGGCCTGGCATAGTAATGTATTGAGCACTTTACTGGGCTCCAGACACTGTGCCTGGATACTGGCACGCCTTAGACAACGTTTAGCTGCACCCTTCGGATGAGCCCATGAGGACTGTGCCTTGTTACTTACACGGTGCGGAAGGGGAGACTGCCATGAGAGGGGCGAAGGAATCGCAGTGGTCTGAGTGTTCGTGTCCCTAGAACCTCGCATGTGGAAACCCTAATACCCAGTACGCTGGTATTAAGAAGTGGGGCCTTCGGGAGGTAATTAGGACATGTGGGTGGGGCCCTCGTGAAGGGGATTAGTGTTCTTTTAAAAGGAAAATGATTCAGATGTCAGTACCTGGAAGTGAGGTGCGGCTATGACAAATACATGAGAATGGGGAAGAGGCTTTGGACTCGGTAATGGGCGGATGGGAGAATTTTGAGGTGCATGATGCAGAAAGGCTTGAGTAGGCTGTTGGTGAGAAACGTGGACATTGACGATGCCGCACAATTCTGGGGACCTGATGGACGCCCCAGGGCGCTGTGCAGGTTGAGTGTCATCCTTCCTGAGGTTCAGGGAAAGCAGCACAGACAAAACCTCCCCGCAGTCACTGTGAAGCTCCGGACTTGCCTTGGTACAGTGCACTCGAGCAAATTCATCATCTTACTGTACACTTTACTGCCCTGTTCTCCAGATGCAAGGCTGGCTCTGAAAAGATACATTATAAAGGTCTCTACCACTGTCACAGATGCAGAAAAGGGACCGGGGAGATTCCTTAAAGAAGACAAGGTACTACGGCGTGATCCCCACTTGTCCTAAAGTCTCCTGAGACTTTTGCCTCGTATCTTTCCTTTCCTTTCCGCACTAACACTCCAGAGGTGGGGGGCGGTCCTTCCTGCCCTGTCCTTCCTGCCCTGTCCTCCCTCCCCTTCCTTCCCTCCTCCTCTTCCTTCCCTCCTTCCTTCCTTAATAAACTGCTCAGAATAGATAGACTAATAAAACTCAATGAAATAACACTAAAGAGTGGCAGAGAGATGTACTAAGTATCTCACCCAACAACATGAATGAAGCTTGGGAAAGCAGTGTTCAGCCAAAGAAAATGAGCCAAAGACTACCTAGATTTTTACAGAGCTCAAAAGCAAGCACCATGAAACTGTATTGTTTGGGGATGCCTACCCATGAGGTAAAACTATTTTAAACAGGAAGTAAAGGTATGAGCGCAGACTGTGGTCGCCTCGTGGAGGTGGGCGGGGGATGGAGTCGGGGAAGGTCCAGAGGTAGGGTTCATAGTACCAGAGGCAATCCACCTGGGTCTGTTGTTGATTAGAAGGATCCACTGATGCTCATTATTCCGCTTCAAAACTTAGATGTACATCATTTCTTTCAGTGTCTATGTATATATGCATTACATGCTTTTAAGATATCAAGTTTAACATAACGAGAAAAAGGCACACCAATATAAAGATGGCTCATTGAAAGCCAGCCTGCCATATTTGGTAGCTCGCATGCACGTGGACTGGTTTATTGCTTCGGATGTACACGCACACAAAAGATGCACTCGAGGTATCAGGGATGTGTTTTGGTTTTAGAGTATTTCCTGCACTTCTCTGCAGGATGTCCCGTGAACTTCCCTTACAACCTTCTAATGAAAGAGAATTCGGTGTTGCTCAAGTGTTGATGTCACCGAGTCAGGGAATGTGATCAGTTACACACTTCACTTCTGGTCCGTAAAACGCTTTACAAAGTCCCTTGTGAAACAAAACGCAGGCAACATTAAAGACCTGGAGACATGCAGTGGTAGCCACCGTCTTAGTAGTGCTCGGGGGCCACATGTGTCTTAACGGTGGCTGTGTCAGACAAGGCTGTGTCAGACAACGTGGGTGCAGAATATCATCCCACGCAGGCCTGTCAGACCGTTCTGGTTTAGAGAGACTACAGAGTTTTGTTTTTCGGTAGACCAGTGGAAAGTACATTTTCTGTTTCTGTCTCTAGAATACCATCCTCGGCACCTGCCGCGTGAAAAATGAGTGGTTGGAAACCCATCTGGAAGCTTCGATCAGTGAGCTTGTGGAGCAGAGACAACAGTTAGAAGACATCGTGACTCCTATCTTCATAAAAATGGCTACGCCACGTGAGTTGTGGATAAAACGTGGTTTGAATGTCAGAAAAGATGAATGTTGGTTCCGTGTTGTTAGTCTGAGATACTCTGACTTGTAACAGTCTTCAGTAAGTAGTTACAAGTGCTGACTGAAATGAACTGAAAGCAGCCAGTAAATGAACAAGACAGACAGACAAGAACTCACAGACAGACAGCAGGATGGTGGTTGCCAGCGGGAAAGTGGGGCCGGGGGAGGATGAAGAGGGTGGGAGGGATCGGATAGATGGCGACAGAAGGGGACTTTTGGGGGGTAGCGCACAATGCAGTATACAGGCGACATATTACAGAATTGTACACTTGAAACCTATACAATTTTATTAACTAATGTCATCGCCATACATTTAGTAAGAGCTCAATTGTAAAAAGTGGCTTACTTTTTGTTTTATATTGCAAGGCAATTAAAGGTGATTCTGAATATCTGCTTCCTCGCAGGCCAAGTGAGAAGCGCGAAATCTGTAACCTAAGCCTCGGCCAAGGCCACACCTTCTACTGCGCATGCGTTTCCTAGAAAGCCACACTTTCCTCCGGTGTTTGTAAAGGCGAACCTATTCATGACAATGGAAGCCGAGAAAACAGAGGTGGGGTTTTATAAAAACATTGAAGTATGAAATCGCATGGGCCCTGTTTGTGCTCCCTTTGCCGGCGTGCTCACGTCCAGACCGCCCGGCCTCCACGCTGCTCCCCGCACCCCGCCCCGCACGCGGTCAGCCCCCCCCCCCCATGGGGGTCCCCGTGGCTCCTTCCGGTCAGCGCGCGGCCGTGAGACACAAACACCGCGTGGGAACTTCAGAAGCTGGTTAGAGAGTCTCGTAACTTTCTGTACAGTTGGGACAGGAAATTTCCATCCCATTGAGGAATTCTACGGAAAACGACGCAGTGGCTGCGTCCGGGGAAATCTGTCCTCTCTCTCCCAGAAGGAAAGCTGCGGGGTGGCCCGCTGGAGCAAGGAAGCACAAAGGACAGTTTGGATCAGGGTCCCCTGTCCACACGACTGTTACTTTTTACGTCCAGATTAACATTTACCTGTGAGGTGGGGTACGGTTTCTTAGTGAACCTCTGGTCTCAAACCTCTCCCTGTCTTTGAATTAGTAAACGGAAATCTGTTCAGTTTTAGACTTAGACTTCCTCTGTTCTCCAGGGTTGGTGATGCAGGCAGGCATTAGAACTGGCCTCCAGGTCGTTTTCCCTTCTGTTTTGTTTGATGTTTTCTAGGTTTTAAATATCATTGCTGGTTTCATATTAGTGATTCGGAATAGTCTTTTTCTGTTTGTTTGTTTTTTCTAGTTTATCTAAAAGCCCTTGATCTACTACACTGTGGCTTTCTGGAAATGTTTTATAGAAAGAAAAAAAAAATTTTAAACATATTTACTGTATTTGTTTTTCTTATGACTTTCTCTTTTCCTGCCCAGAAAGCTAGTTGTCATTGAAGGGGGGAAGGGAAGGAAACCAGCAATTCAACCAGTTCCATCTCAACCACGGTTTTGGGGTAACACTTTTACATTTGTCTTACAAATTTTAAAGTTTTGACTTTTTTTTATGTATGAGCAATTCAGTTGCTGTAAGCAAAAGAACAGGGTGGTGACTCCCACCCGCCTCTGCCGCAGACCCCGCGGGTGTCTGGGGAGTGGTCCCAGGGAGATCGGTGTCTGCTGCCTTCTCGTACCGCTGTGGGTCGGAGAAGTCCATTACCTTCAAGCACTTAAACCATGCGGGGAAAGGCCAGGTGCCATTTTTGTCGTTTGTACTCCAATTCTGCATTCTCTGAGCCTTGACCTTGATATGCAGTTACTTTCTAGGCAGGTGGTCTTCGTGATTAGGAAGGATTCCGAGTCTCACTTCAGAGTGCTCGGAGAGACAGAGGCCCTCATGGAGACACCTGCTGCAAACTCCGCCTCTCCCTCCCTTACTCACCTTTCAGGCATTGCTTGCAAACCTTGTGGAGCTTTTGATTCATTTGCTAGTGCTGACTTCTTGAAGTTCTTCATATGGGCACCTTTATGTCCTGATAGTTCTGTTACCTTCTTACAAACTGCTTTTCTAACTCTTTCACCAGCTGCTGTGGTCTGAGTATTTTTGTTATCCCCCAGATTTACATGTTAAAATGTAACGCCCAATGCAATAGTACTAGGAGGTGGGGGCTTTGGAAGGTGGGTAGGTCATGAGGGTGGAGCCCTTATGTGTGGGTTTAGGTTCTTACAAAAGAGGCCCTAGTCCTGGCCAGGTGGCTCAGCTGCTTGGAGTGTCATTCCCATACACCAAAAGGTTGTGGGTTCGAATCTGGGTCAGGGCAGTGGGTTCGATTCGTGGTCCGGGCATGTGCGAGAGGCAACTGATTGGCGTCTCTCACATCAATGTTGCTCTCTCCCTTCCTCTTTCTCTAAAATCAGTAACATATCCTTAGGTGAGGATTTGAAAAAAAGGCCCCAGGTAGCTCCCTTGCCCCTTGCACCACGTGAGGTGACAAACAGAAGACAGCTGTCCAGGAAGCAGGCTCTCAGCAGACACCGGGTCTACCAGCACCACGACCTTGGACTTCCTCACCTCCAGAACTGTAAGAAATAAACGATTTTTGCTTATACAGTACCTGGTTTATCTTATTTTTTGTATAGCAGCCTGAACAGACGAAGACACCACCTCTTCTTCGTCATCTTGCCTCCGGCTCGACTTCCCAAAAGTCAGTCCTGTCTTACGGTTTTATGTGTCGATTCTACCTCAACGAAGCTGGGGGAACAGTCAGCCCTGACCTTGGCGAAGTAGCTGGTGCGCTCCCCCGCACGACCTTCTCTCTGTCTCACGTCAGGGAGAAGGGCTCCCCCTCCTGGGGGCACCATGGTGCTGATGGCCTCGTCCCGTGCTCCATGTCCTTTTTCTCCTGTCCGTATACCCATGTGACTTGTGAGCTTTTTGCGAGTAGGGACTTTGTCTTGCTTTTCTTCATACCAGAGGGCCAGTAGATAAATGAGTTAGTAAATAATAGTCGAATGAATTCTCTTTGGGTGCTACCTTATTCACAGATCTCACTGGACTCCATTAACTTACAGAGCTTGTTCACCTTATAAAAATGACTCCTGGACCCCTATTCTGCATATCCTGCTCGTGCCAGCGCCCCACTCCACTCCCATTCCCCCCAGCAGATGAGCCACACACACCCCCTGTGCCATGACTGTGTGTCTTGTTTCTTCTCTGACCTTCGTCATGGACGCTGGGTTACTGTTGAAGCCTCTGATCCTGGGGATTACCAGTTCTCCCTTCAAGAATTCCATTGATGTGAGGGTCTGAATACACATATGTATCCATCAATCTATACCTTCAGTATGTTTTAAGGCATATACTGCTTCTGACTTATTGTTGCATTGAATTATAGATATCTGCAGAGGGCAGTTAAAACGCCTGCATGTTTTGATTTGAGCTGTTAAACAGGAAGTTGTGTGAACACTTATAGAGTAATTACTATTTTAAGTGCATAGTGTAAGTTCAAGTACATTACTTGAGAGTTGGTCAAGGAGAGGCTAAATTCAGTGTTTTAACTTCTGTGGTGTTACAGTGGCATCGGAGACATTTGTATTTCATTGATTGGAAAGATGGGACAAAATAAAGGGGGGAGCTTGAGAGGACATCATTAGGAAAACACCTACTGACCGCTATCACTCTCATTTAGTAAAAGACATTTTATTGTAACACCGGAAAAGAAGGGACGATGTGTCCAGGTGTGAGGCTCTACCCTCTAAGTTGGCTAAATTGAGTTTTGCTATAGACTGTTACATGTTTTCACTTGGCAGTGTATGGTGGGACTTTTGTCGTGAGTCACAACTGGCCCGTGGTCCAGCCTTTGAGAACTCCTGCCCTAGACGTGGCCAACGCAGGCAGACGGCTGTTCGGGTTAACACGACGCCCCAGTTTGTGAAGGGCTGGCAGTCCACCCCGGTGTTCGATCGGCTGTGTGACAGATCGCATTTTTCACAGCGACCACATCTCTTACCCCGCATGCTCCTCCCGGGGTGTGGCCCTGGCGCGCCTCACCCAGAGAGGCAGGTCTCTGTTCTCTCCTCCGGAATCTGGGCAGGCCTGGGCTCCCGTGGAAGCAGGACTGTGCGATTCCCACGGATCGTAGACGGCGGTAAGAGGTGATGGAGTGTCTGCCCGGTTCTCCTGCGATGGATGCTCGCTCCCAGAAGCCAGCCTGTGGGGGTGCCGTGCGGACGGGAAGGGAGGCCCCAGCCCGGAGCCCTGGTGGAGCTCCCGCCAGTGGTCATTGCCCAACCTGCCAGCAGCTGAATGGGCCGTCTTGGAAGTGGGGCCTCCCATCGAGCCACGGAAGCTGACGCCGCATGGAGCAGAGACAAGCCTTCTCGGAGGGCCCTGCAAAACTGCAGGTTTGGGCCGGATAAATGATTGCTGCTGTTCTAAGCTACTGGGTTTGTGTCTGTTAGTTACACAGCATTGTGCAACAACATTGGGAGCCTGAAGTGAGAAATTCACAGCAAACCCTAAAATACGTGGCATTGCCCTTTTAGGACGGGGAGGGAGGCGGAAACCTGGAGGACCCGGCGGAGAGTGTTGCTGAGAGCCCTCAGGCCATCAGTAGATCATTAGCAGAGTCTTTCAGGGTCTCTAGGAGGCCATTTGTGGGAGCTTATAGGAGAGAAAGGAAAAACGCTGTTAGAAGCTGCAGAAAAGGGGCCCTTGCTATGCGATGAAGGTAAGTTTGGCCCCACTGTGTTCATAAGTAGTGAACTCAGTGATCCCAATGAGGACTTTTCCACACAGTGATCAAGTGCTATCAAGTTCTAAAATGGGAGAGGAGAGAGAGGAAGTGAGGAGGAACAGTCCAGTTTTCAGGTAAAACTTCCAAGAAATATCAAGAAGCTGGTACCTGGTGCGTTTGGAAAGGAACTGTTTCTCATTCCTAGCCTTTCCAGACAGCAAAAAAGTTCTCAAACTAAGAGATGGCTTCTGAGACGAGATGAAATGTCAGGTGGGATGGTGAGGCCACCTGGGAAGACCTCTGAGGTACGTAAGGTGGTGCCTCGTGGAGCATTTGGTGAGTGTGGCTTAGGGACGAGAGAACACAATTTCATCGTCTCAAACAACGTCCTGGAAAGGAGACTAAAACTTGATCAGTCATGTTCATTGGTTTAAATTCTTACTGTATTTGTTTTTAGTGATTAGGGTTGAGGCAAAAATACCTAAATGAGGCATCACAGAATTTGGGATGCATTTGCTCTCTGGATGAACAGTGGGTGATATTGTTTCTTCAAATTAAGGACCAAAAACCAATGTAAAACAGAAGTCAAGGAGGGACATGGGGGTGAGAAATTCCCATGGAAAAGGGAGCGGTAGAAAAAGAAAATGGAAAGGATCAGTGATAAAGTCAGAGAGCAGACAAGATAATGTTGAAGGGAGTTAGGGTTGAAAAAGAGAAAGTCTGTATTTTAAAAATCTGGGAGGAGGTTCCATCTGCATGGTCAGTGACCATTTCAGCTGTTATTTCAGGCAAAGAAAATCAGTTAGGACCGTTGTGGCTATGACACAGCTTGAGCAGTAAGAGAACAAGCTTCCTTGGAACTGGGTCACTTAGCTGCTTCTGGATTGGTGGTGGGGTGATGTATGCAGCCAATCAGAATGAAAGTGAGTCAGGAAGAAACCAATAGGACGTAGGCATGGATGGACACAGCTTTCAGTGTGGTATCAGTTGGCCGGACTGAGCCCGGCAAACAGACGCAGAGCTGAGTGACCTTTGTTCTTTGTGTTTTTCTACAGCCTCCATCTGGATTTCAATTTGGAACCGTCTGAGCCTTGGAAGCAGACACCACCGGTCTTGGTGGTTTGGAGAAGAGCTTGATCTGAGAGTGAGGCTGTAGTGACAAGCGGGTAGATGACAAGGACCTGAAGACAGGTGAAGCTATTTGAAGACGTAGCCTTTTGAATCTCTTTTCTGCCCCACCTCCTGCTTCCCCCAGAATCACTGTGGCTTGTAGACCAAAGAGGTGCAGAACAGAACCAAAAATGAACTCTAAATCTTATTGGGGATACTTCAGGAACTTCTAGGAACTTTTAGGTTAAGACTAGGTGCAAGGAAAACTCAGACAGGACGGGTCCTCAGCACCACTGGGCAGGCTGTGTCCTTCGCAAGGGCGCCAGTGCGTGGCAGTGTTGAGGCTGAAATCCAGTCTGTTGTTCCTGTGCCGAGCCATGTGCCCAGTTGTTAGGCAAGGGAACCTTTTCTCATTCACTCAAAAACACCATATGATCAAACCTCATCTTTAGTTCTTCCCTTTTTTTCAGGTCATCCATACCCCTCTATTTATACCCCTCTTTTCCTTCCCCACCTAACTGGTGTGGCTCAACTTTGACCTTGGTTCCCCTTTGCCATTTTGGTTTTGGAGGGGTCCCAGAGAGGAAAAGGGGACATAGGATTGCAGTAGTAGCAGGGATTTCCAGAATGATTTGTACCCATGGAGGAAAAGTTCCCCCTTAAAGAGTTCAGTTCATCAGCTATTTAGGGAGAGCCCAGCCTGAAGAGAAGTGGATATTTAGCCCTAGCCCTTGAGGAACTCACTGTGCAGAGGGGAAGGCAAACGCATCACCGCATCACACAGTGGCAAGGGCAGTGCCACACAAGGCCCTCTGCCATGTGCACGTAGCAGTCGGAGACGCACTAACACTGCTGTCTGTTTCCTGCAAAATGTTCCCGGGGCAGGAGCTGGAACGGGAGGTGTCCATGTGTGCCCGTGGAAAGACACGCGCTCCCCTCTGCGTGAGGCACAGTCTTAGATGGAAGGAGCGTGTCTGCGTTGGGTCCCGGCAGGTCTCATTTTCTCCTTTGTGCACATCATCCCAGGTCAGTCTGCAGCCGTGAAAGTGTCGGTGACAACTCACTCCTGAATTCTCCAGGAAGGCCTGAAAAAAGCAATGTCAAAATTAAACTCTACCTTCTGGGGGCAAAGGGAAAGCATCAGACCCGATTTACTCTGTGGAAGGTCAGCGGACTACCTGGTGGCTCCAGGGCACTTTGCAATGCTCGCCTGTTCCACCATTGTTCTGGGAGGTAGGTGGGAGCTTTTCAATCTCACCTTTCCTCTGCCCTTGGTGCCCTGACCAGTAATCACAACCACATTCAAAGAAGGGCCCAGTGAAGTCACAGGCGTAAGTGCTGTCAGACTAGCTCCATTTAATTTTAAGTAGCGCCCACCCTATGTTCTCTGACTCAGTGACATTGGCCGAGCACAGCGGCGTGGTCGGCACAGGAGAATAAGACAGTCCTTCACCTCCAGGAGTCCTTTCGTGGGGACAGCGGGCAAACACATCGTTACAATGCAATGTGGGCAGCACGTCGCAAAGGCACGGTCCTCGGTCTCCATGGAGGAGGAAGAGCCTCACTGAGCTATGGCAGCCAGGGCAGGAAGGGCCTCTTAAACAATGGTGAAGAATTCAGTGGGAGCGGTGAAGGCTATTCATGCAGATAAAAACATTCCAAATGCAGGTGCTTGATCCCACAATTCAATACTAGTGATTAGAGAAGTTTCTGGTCCACTTTAAAATTTTTTACTTGGGAAAAATGTCAGCTGCTTTAACATCCTTTCCTGGATTAGGAAGTCTGTAAAGAAACAGACAATGAAGCAACCGTGCATTAAAAAACTTGAGTTTCCCTCATTGTATCAGGGAGTGAAATTGCTTTCTCTGGGGTCTTTAAAAGACAAATGACCTTGGTGCCTGTGGGTGCTCCGAGTGCTGGTGACCATGAGCTTTACTAGTTCTAGATCTTTGACGATTCCATAGAGACAAGTGGTCCAGCAGTAAAGGGCGTTGCAGAAATAGTTTGAGAAACACTTCCTTTGGCCTTACGAACAAGAAGTATTCCATAAATACTTACTGATCTGGCTGGATGTCCCTCAGTGCAGAGTCTGGGATGCCAATGACTCTTGCCTGAGGCATAAATTAGTTGGATTATGGTCCCTACAAACCTTCTGGAGGAACGGAGTCTTAGAGCAGACGGTTTCAAGGCGAGAAGAGGCACGCAGACAGAAAATGAACAAGTGTCTGTGATGACTTGTCTGGTGAAGGCAGTTTTCACTGTGGGTAGCGCTCGGTTAAAGGTATTTCTGGCTTTCAGGAAAACTGTCCAGTATGTGTTTCTATAGTTTGGGATGAGTAGTTATTAATAGAAAGTGTGCTATGTAGATATGAAGTTTGGCTTTTCATAATTTTCTCATCAGTAGAGCCATAGGTGAGTGACATGGGTGGGCAAAGGGGAGGTTTTGGGAATTTCAGTATTCTCCAGATTCACCTCTAAGAGGTGCCTCTGTGTGTGGGTCCTACACTTAAGAGGCAGTATGGGTAATGAGATGACACTCAGAGGAAGTTTTTTTTTTTCCTGTTAATTATTTATTCATAATAACACTCAGAGTACATTTAAAATTAAATGGAGAGAGGGGATATGAAATTGTTTTGAACTGATACATCTGTCTAAATAACACATGCCTTTATTTCTTTTAGGATTTTTGAGGGCCTTTTTAAAGAATTCTGAAGTCACTGTCTTGACACTCCTTTCCATAACTGGGTTTGTGGTGGGACAGCTGGCCTACAACTCCGTTGAGGTAACGTACGCACCACAAGTTAGGGAATCAGTGAAAGAGCGAGGACCCCAAACGAGGCGCACTGCCAGGCAGCCCTGAATGTGTGGATTTTTTTTTTAATGTGAACAGCTGCTGAAAATACTCATCTGGTAGTGAAAATTTTTTTTTAATATTTTATTTATTTTTAGAGAGGGAAGGGAGGGAGATAGAGAGAGAAACATCAATATGCAGTTGCTGGGGGTTATGGCCTGCAACCCAAGCATGTACCCTGGTTGGGAATCGAACCTGAGACACTTTGGTTCGCAGCCCGCGCTCAATCCACTGAGCTACGCCAGCCAGGGCTTGGTAGTGAAATTTTTGAAAGTGGAAAACCATTCGGTAAAGGAGACCTAGCTGAGAGATGCCGGAGAAGAAGCACCCACTTGGAAGGGAGGACAATCTGGTGGCATTCTTGGGTTCCTCATCACCTTCCCTGGGAGCTTTGCCCTGGTTTCCTTCCCTGGGCCTGCACCGGCTTCTCCCGTGCTACTTACTGCCTTCAACACCTGTGCAGACTCGAGCGACAAAGACAGAAGTTATGGTCATGACGCATTATGGCTGCCCTCTTCTGTCGGCTTCTGATGTTGCGTAATAGAGCAGAGCAGAGATAGATATGATACATGCCATATATAATGTAGATAGCAGAAAAATTTCATTAAGTTGTGAGCTTATTAACTATTGATTTCAAATGCGTAGCAGTGTGATCAATAACAATTTGTCTCCGTTCTTTTATTTTTCAAACACAGAGACGATGCTTCTACCCACCACTGCTAGCTAACACCATCCGGGTATTTACTGTGTGCCAGGCTCCCTCTTAAGTGCTTTGTATTTGTTAATTTATTAATTTGTTATTAACTCTTGAGTTCATTCATTCATCCTCACGATGACCCAATGGAAATGGTCACTGTATTCCCATTTTACAGACGAGGAGACTGAGGCACATAGAATTTAACTGATGAAGATTAAACTATGAATTGGGCCAAAAACCTTTTAGGAGGGCATATTTGTGGTACTTCAGTCATTATTGCTATGTTATCTATTCACAATCTGTACTATTTTCTATATATTATTGTTCTCGATCTGACTCATTGAAAGATTTTAAAATCCTAAGCAAATGTCTATAAAATCACAAGTACCTGTGCAAAGCTTTTTCCCCCTCTTAATGTAAATTAGAATAAATATCTAACAGCTGAAAAAGACTTATCTGTGAGCCGCCTAAGATCGCCTCGGAGGCTGCCAACGTGGGGTGCCCACGTCCGGCGAACACCGATCACTTGTCCCAAGCAGTGTTCGTGGGGCCCAAGCCCTGCCAGTAGGGGACCGCATGGAACTCGCTCGGACAGTTAGATCAAGAAACCCCCTCAGGACCCCCAGGACCGGCCTTGTAGATGATCTCTCGTACCTTGTCATGCATTGCAAATCGCGTTATTCTAAAATTTACATGAATGGGCATACCATAAACCCAATCGCTAATGCTTCAAGATGGCAGCAGACTAATTTCTCGTGTGCTTTTGTTACTTCAGGTGTTCCACATTATCTACCCGCTTCTAAGGACACCGAGTTTTTCGCTCTATTGTTACATCGCTCCTCTAATTATATTTCTGGCCGCCTTGGATGTGGACTTTTACATCCTCAAGAACATGCTCTGGCAGGTAAACGACGCGCTTTAAAACAAACTATGGTCCGTGTTTGTTCGCGCTGGCAGAGGGGATGATGGAGGATAAAGAAGGGCAGCAACTCACAAACGCCCGGTGCTGGTTGCTTGGCCCTCCTTGCCCTGCAGAACCGTCCTGACAGAGCGTTGAGGGGAGGGAGGGGTGTGAATGGTTGCTGAGTGGTCGCTGTGACCTGGCACTGAGTAAATGTCACCTCCGTTTTACATACAAGCCGACCTCAGTGCAGACGGCACAGACCAGGCCGGCGAAGGGCCGAACCTGGGTTCTGATTCCATAGCTGACTTGATCTCTGGGTGTCTGTAGAGAGCAGTTTCTGTTGCTCAGGTGGTTTCCTCTGTGCTTTCTCTCTTCGTTTTTCTTAACCATGTTTGCCAGACTGTTTTATTTTTCCTTTCAAAGAAAATTTTTATCTTTTTGTGTGTGTGTTGTGTACATTTAAGGTTTTAAATTGCCCTATACTACTTCTTTAGTATAATCCCACATGTTTTGGTTGTTCGTGTTTTTATCACCATCCCAAATGTATCTGCATTTTATTGTACTTTTTTCTTTGCCTCATTAATCGTTTAGAAATTGTTTTGAAGTTTTTCCAAGTATGGCTTTTTTTAAAATCATTTCTCTCCTCTCAGTGGGCCAGAGGATGTGCTTTGTATGCCAGACCTTGTGTTTCATGAAGATTTGCTCTGTGGCCTAGTATGTGATCGGTTTCCAAAAATATTGTGTTTGCTTTAGAAAAATGTATGTTCTCTAATTGTTGAGTGCAGGGGTCTAAATTTGCTTAGTAGATTGTTTTGCTAATGACGAAGTTGGATACGGCGATGGAATATTACTTAGCAACAAAAAAGGAACGGAGTTCTTATAGGAATAGCATAGGAGAACTTCAGAAGTGTTGTGCTAAGGGAAAGAACGCCAGACTCAAAGGCTGCGTGTTGTATAATTCCACTCCCACACCTGCCTTCCAGCAGAGGCAAAACGGCAGGTTTGGAGAACAGATCATTGATGGCCGGGACTGGGGCTGAGGGAAGAAATTGACCACAGAGGGGCGGCATGGACAGTTTTTAGGATCTGTCCCAAAGCGGATGGATACGCTTTGGTTCCAACTGTGGTCATGGCTAAATGACTGTATGCTTTAGTGGAAACTCAGATAACCGTACCCCCCAAAGAATGAATGTTATCATTTGCAAATTAAAGGTAAGTTTTAAAAACATCAAAGAAAACAGATTTGCATTTATTTCTCTCATGTAGTTTTTGTACTTTGTATTTACCATAGTTTTTAATTTTTTAAATTTTTTAATAATATTAATGTTAGTGTCCTTAGATTTTTTTAAAGATAATTTTTTAAAGATTTTATTTATTTATTTTCAGAGAGGGAAGGGAGGGAGAAAGAGAGAGAGAGAGAAACATCACTGTACAGTTGCTGGGGGTGTAGCCTGCAACCCAGGCATGTACCCTGACTGGGAATCGAACCTGCGACACTTTGGTTCACAGCCCGTGCTCAATCCACTGTGCTACGCCAGCCAGGGCTGTATTTACCATGGTTTTCGTTTGCTTTTTCTGACACTTTTTCCCTTCTCAGTCAAGTTGGCTCACTGTTCTTTATCCTTTCCGTCCCTCCTACTTGTTTCAAAGCTTTACATTCTATTTCCATTTCTGAGGCAGGCCCTGCCACTTGCCTATTTGAGATGCATTCTCCTTTTTCCTCAGTAACAGAAATTTACTGTTTTTCGTTTGGTGTGGTAGCGGGCCTACTGTAAAACACCACATTTTCCAGCATGAGAAAAGCGTGGCCAGTGAAAGGCACTATACAAGTTTTGCTGAATAAGCTTTCTCCCAGAATGTCTTTAATCAGGGGGCCCAAGCAGTTTAGCAAGTGCTTTTTGCCCTTTGTTTTATTTCCCCTTCCCCCTGGAGGCCTTCAGAGACACCGAGGAAAGCAGGAAATGTGAAATGTCGTATGCAGAAGCAGGGGAAATTTGCATTTCGTTTTAAGAACGTCATTTTAATGTCAAGAACTAGTAAGCTGGAAGAGCAGCCAGGAAGTGGGGCGTTGGTCTTTTCACGAGAAAGCAGAGTCCCATTTGTTTGGAAGGGATGGTCTCTTTGAGGCAGGTAAACTAGAATACCTTTCGCAGTGATCCTCCAGAGGAAATGTAGAAAATGCATATCCCTGGGATCTGATGGCTACGTGAGGACATGCAGCCGTGCCGTCTTTAGATGGTAAATCTAACACTGCGCGATGATTTGGCTTCGCAGGTCTTACTGATGGGAATAATCAGCTTCTCTACAACGTTCATCATCACCGGCATCGTGGCTATGAAACTCAACAAGGAGTCCTGGGACCTGCAGTGCTGCCTGCTCTTTAGCATGACCATCGGCATCACGGACCCCATCCATTCTGTGAGGTCACTGAAAACCATCGGTACGTCGGACGTATCTCTCCCTCACCTTGCAGATGGGAGAATAAGTCATCTGCCTCGGGTTATATTTTTCTGGCGCAAATTGTGCCCACAGCTGAGTAGATGCGCGGGCTGCTTTTCTTGGAGATAAGAGCCCTGGCTGGCTGGAAGGATGCGGTGCAAACAAGGCCACTCAGGATTTGGGGTAAAGCACACCGATTATCATCTCCAGGGATTTATTCCAAGGAGGAAATGTAGCCTGTCTAGGACGTGAGGAAAAGTAGCATTCTTTTTCCATTCCACTGAGTTCTAAGCTCTAAGGTTAGAGACTGCTTTTTGCCCCATTGAAACTCTTTCAGGGCCTCCTCCCTCTTGTTGGAACTCCATGTCGAATGAGCTAGCCTTGGGCAGGTGGTTGTACTTTACTGAAAGGAACACATTATTCAATGTGAGCTTGTTCCCCAGAGGGTCTGGAGGGTGGGGGATGCTGTGCTACTCCTCTGATTTGGGAGAAGATGCGTTCACTCTGAGATTCCTTCCTTTGTCGTGTTTTATTGACTCAGCAATACAAATACGAAATAGATGTTCTGGTTTCTGTTTTTGACTCAGAAATATAACCAATTTTCAGGTGTTGGTTATATATTTTTTTGGAAAGATACTGGCTTATGATTGGAGCAGGACACCTCCAAGCCCTCCAGCAAGTGACAGTCCAATTTTTATTCCCACTTGTCCCTGCAGTTGTGGAAACAGAGGAGGTTGTAAGACACCTGTGACGCAGATATTCTGAACACTCAGTGAGTCTGGGCCTGTCCTCTTCTCTTTCCGTAGTTTTTCTAAGTTCATCTTTTTTTCTCTCTCTTGCCTTCACCTGCCTTTTTCTTTTAGTCACTTGCATTTGCCCCTTGTTTTCCTCGCCTCCTCCTCTCTCTGCTCCCCTTTCCACAATCTCTGGACTCTAAGTGGCCATAATAAACTATATACTTTATTGCAGTTTCCATATTCAACAGTGTTTTCAGCAAAGGAGTCGGAGAGAAAGTCCATTTGCCGAAGAGACAGCTAGCGAAGGTATCTGGCTCTCGGTCAGTATTTCCTTAGTGTCAGGAAGGCTTAGGTGCTGCCTGGGCTCTGGATCCAGTGACCTTTTTCCTACGAAGGCAAGCGTGCCTATTCTGGACATTTCATGTAACTCAAACCACACAATATGTGACTTTTGTGTCTGGCTCCTCTCACTTAGTGTAGTGTTTTGAAGGTTCATCCACAGCTGCAACATGAGTGAGCTAGGAACGAGTCTTCATTCCTTCCTGCGTCTGGGTGATACTCCGCTGCAGGGCGAGGCCACAGATGTTGGCGCATGCAGCCGCTGGCGGAGGTCGGGTCGTTTCCACCTCTGGTGCTTACGAGCGATGCTGCTCTGAACGCGCATGCGCACGTTTTTCTGTGAACTCGTTTTCCGTTCTCTGCGGTGTACGTCTAGGAGTGGAATTGCCGGGTCCCGCTTTGTCCTTGTTTCTAAAATGCGATTCTTTGGGAGTCTAACGGTTCATGTGTATCCGAGCGAAATGTCACGCCCTGCGAAGTGTCTGGTCTCGTTCTGGGGCTCGAACGTGGTCGGAGGCCACCACGGGCATCTCAAGCAGTGCCGTGCCCGTGCGCCTCTGCCACTGGAGACGCAGAGGCACCGTGGGGAAGTGAAAAAATGCTGATTGCGGTTGCCCTACGGTTGTGGCTGCCTGCTCTGTTTTCCCTGCCTCCTCTTTGTCTTCTGTGCCTGTGTTTCATGGGCGCGAGCAATGTTTTCATTTACTGTATTAAATTATATTTTATATTTCCTGTTGCAGGCATTTCCAAAATGTATACCGACATCATTCGAGGAGAGTCGATGATCATGTACTGCATCACGTGCATGTTTTTTGGAATTCTTCGGGGCAACTTAACTCACATGTTCGTGTTTAGGGGTAGGAACTTTTTTTTTTGTATATTTAAAAATATCATACTTTCGTGGTGCATTTCAATCCATCCTGAAATTAAAACACATTCGAGATATTTTTACTGCGTTCTCTATACTTTACTCTGGGACCAATTAAAATAGCCTATCAGGCAAGAAGAAAATAGTTACATGTCATCTACGTCTTTTCTTGGACAGGAAGACGGAAAGAATGTTAAGTTCGTCCATCTCTCCCCCTCAATACGCATGTGCGCATGTGCACACACTGAAGTTCCATCTCGCGCGGAGTTACTCCTTCTGAGGATCAGCCTGGGTCTCACTGCGGGGCGGCGGGCCGGGCGGGGGGGTGTGTGGGTGTGTGTGTGTGTGTGTGTGTGTGTGTGTGTGTGTGTGTGTGTGTGTGTGTGTGTGTGTGTGTGTGTGTGTGTGTGTGTGTGTGTGAGTGTGAGAGTTGGCTTGGTCCTTGTGAAAGCAGAGTGGTTCAGGCAGCACTGGAGCAGCAGGTCCGCACAGTGCTAATAGTCAGATGCACATGATTGAAGTTCACTGGGCGACGGAGCGGTCGCCCGCGATGGCGATGGAAGAGAAGAAAGGGGGAGCAAGCACAGCATGGAGAGGCCAAAGGTGTCCTCCTGATGCGTGGATATGGCAGCCGTGGGTGGGAAGGGGGCTCAAAGGGGAGAGAAGTAGTGGTGGTGCAGAGGGGTTTGCGGTGCTTCACGGTAGGCCCTTGGGGTGCGGCAGACTTTGTCATTTAGGACGACCCTCAGCCTTGCCTGAAACTTGCTCACTAACTGTCACTGCTATCCCAAGTTACTGTGACTAGAGAAAATTTCCCTTGTCCATTCTTCAAGTGCCACCCAGGCTGGGGGCAGGGGTCACACGTGGACTGCAGGTTGGTGGGGATCCTGGACAGGGTTTGCTTGGTCCTGATATCGTTTGTAAAAAAAAAATTGAATTTGGATGGATATTCAGGTATCTTTTGGATGGATATTCACTGTCCAGCTTGCCTGAGACTTTTCCCATAATTCTCTCTGACTGGCTCCTGAAGACGTTTGAGCTTGCTGTCCCTGGGCGAGAAACCTCAGGCTGCAGGTGGTAAGGGAATGTCCCCAGAGAGCCTCTTCGTTCAGACTTTCAGGGGAAACCCCATTTGCTGAAGGTCAAGGCCTCCATGCAAAGTCTCCGAGCAAACCAGAGTGCATAGACCAAAGTGCAATCAACAAAGGAAACAAAAGTCCTAATTCAACTTTGTTTTTTCTCTCTTTCACTTTCTAGAGCTCCACATAATCATAGACTTCTCCTTGAGCATTTTGGGAAGCATAGTATTTGGATACTGGTGTTCGAGAATCATTGAGTTGATACTGACTGACCTGTTCAGCAACACGCTGACTAATGTCATCCTTTGCATTTCAATGGTGTACATGATTTTCTACATCGGTAAGGTGGAAGCAGACCCAGCGAGTGCACGCCTCCGCGTGAATGCTCCACGTCTCCGTTTGCCCTTGACCTTGAGTCCAGTCGCTTTTCCCCATCCGCCTCCCCTTTGTTGTGGCCCCTCTGTGCATGTCATCATCTCATCTCTCTGCCACCTCCCGCTCTTCCCTGGTCTCTTTCAATGCCCCCTTAACTTCAGCGCCGTGCCCCTTCCCTTTGTGTTCTTCCGCTCTGCGGTGACTCTGTCATTCTTTCTGGGCTCCGCCGTTTGATTTCACCTGGAGTCACTGGCAGGCCCTGAGGAGCAATCGGCCCTCGTGGTTCCTGCTCTGACCCTCGGCCACCCGTGTCTCAAAGCAGAGGGTCTGGAGAGGTGCCCCGGAGGCCTCTTCTGGCTCCGCAGTCTTTAACTCCGTGAGCCCCGAGCTGAGGGGACTGCAGACGTGGCCGCCCTCACCTGAGGCTGCGGCAGGGAAGGGGAGGTGCGCCTGTGTCTCAGGAGCCAGAGTGCCGGGCACTGGCACGCTCGCCCTGGTCCTCTGCTAGTCCAGTCCGGTGAGAGTGGGGGAGTTCTCAGTGGCCTGGTGGGCGTGGCCAGTCCCCAAGGGCCACAGTGGCTGTTGGGAAACAGCTGGCCTTGGCCTCTTCCCTGGCCTTCTGTGGCGGAAAAATTCTGAGAAGGCAAAGAAGAACCACCACCACCTATAAAGCTATGCAATAAACGTGATCACTGATACATTTTGGTGCACACTGGCGCACCTCGGCCTTTAAAAAACACATATAAACATACATACATATATTAATGTCGGCATTCATGCCCGATATTCAATGGCATCAGGGTTATACCAAATAAGATGACTTCAGTTTTAAGATAAAGTTGTTTGATGGTTTTCTTATTGCAGAAGTTGTCTCTTAAGTAGTGACTGTTACTGAGAAGGACTGTGATGCGCTTTATAATCTAGTAATGTAATGATAGAAATTGGAGATAAGATTTTGAGAGACATTTTCCCCCTCCAAGTCCCCAGCGCTACCAGTTTTCCTGCCCTTGGTTACTTGAATTCGGTTTAAATTCCGTCTGACGTTGATAATGGTCTCCCTGAAGGCCCTGCAGCTGAGAACTGCCGCTGTGTGCGGTGTTCAAACCCCCCGGAGCTGTGCTCCTGCCCCAGACGACCCTTACACACTGTGCAGAGCCCCGGGGGGTCTGTCTCAGGCAGAAGAAGAGCGTCTTCAGGACTCGTTGTCCCTGAGCTTGACCCGCAACCCCTGGGACGTCCCCGAGATGCTGGGCGGAGTTTGTTAGGTCTGTTTTTCTCTTAGCCCTATCCTCCATGACCCTCTCACGGGAGGGGTTGGCAAACTATGGCTTGTGGACCAAACACTCCTGTTTTCGCACAGCTTAGGAGCCAAGAATGGTTTTTACCTTTTACAGTGGTTTAAAAAAAATACTCAGAAGAAAAATATTTCCTGGTATGTAAAAATGATGGGAAATTCAAGTTCCTCTGTCATTATTTATTGGGCCCTCATGCCTTTGCATGATACCTATGGCAGCTTATGTGGTTCAACAGCTGCCTTGCGTATGTAGTTTCCATGGGGGCCATCTGGCCTGCTGGGGCTGTATTCTCATTGCCTGATCGCATACAGAAGAAGTTTGCCAACCCCTGAGCTCCAGGGGGAGGCCGATCCCTTGAAGCAACTTTCCAAGAAATATTTCTCTTAAGTTCCCCACCAATCTTTCACTCAAGATAAAGTGCCTCGCTGTGCAGATTTGAATGTAACTAACTTTGTTATTTTTTTCTCTCTAGTGGAATTTTTAAAAATGTCAGGTATGGTTGCTTTAGTGACCGTAGGACTGAGGTTAGATTCCTTAAGCTTTAAACCGAAGATGGAGTTAATAATTACTAAGTAAGTCTTGTGTTCTCGGTATGTGGATCTCATAGAATTTAGTGCCTAACTGGTCCTGCCTTCCTGGGTGCTAGTAAAACTCCCTTTAGAACTTTTTTTTCTACCTTTTCATTTTTAATTTCACTACCAGCTTTATTGGAAAAGAAACTACCAACGATGATTGACACGAGTGAACGCTCCCATTCTGAACAATGCACCGGTGATTCAGAGACCATAGCTGTTTTGTACATTACTCTCCGATAAAAATGTATTTTGAATTGTGGGAAGTTGTGGCAGAAAGACACAACTCCAGCAAAACTCTCATCTGCGCTTTCTGCCCGGTAAAGGAGAGTTTGCCTGCCTACTCAGACAGACGGCTTAGCCTCCCTCTGAGAGGCTGCTGAGCTACAGAACTGGTTTGGAGTCACTTCACACCAAATCCTAGTCTAGTGTGGAAGTTCTCACATTGTATACAAGCGAATGTGAAAAGGAGAAAACCAAGCCATAATCCAGAGTTTTCCCACGGAGATTCATTTCTTCGCTGGAAGAGAATCTCCATGGTTCTGAAATAACGGCCTTCCTGCCTTTTTGGTCTTGAAAATATTCTTTCTTTTGTGACATTCCAGAGATAGAAGATGGTACTTTTTTTTTTTATAGCTCTACTGGGCAAAATGTTAAAAAATTGGCACCTATCACTATACTAGTTTTGGGTATATGTGAATGACACTTTATTGGTTATTCAAATCCAGAAGCTTGGGAATAACTAATTCATAGGACATATACTTTTTGGTCTGAACCTGGACAGTTTGCTGAGCTTCGTTGTGCTGCCTGTCAGCATCATCATAAATTACTCACTCTCTTGATTCAATTGCTTATTCTTTCAGCTGTTCAGGCAATCCTTGCTTAATGTCTAGTGCAGCCTGGACCTTGTATCTTACTTAGGTTTGGGCTAGGAAAATAAGTCCCTTGTGAGAAGGCAGTCATTGTTAAGTGGTGGATGCATGTATGTAAGAAACTAACAAGTGTAAATAATTACATGCTCATCAGGATCCTGCTTTCCCTAAGGAATATGTGTAAGGTCCTGTAGAGACCTTTTAACAAGCACTGTTCTCAGTCGGTTATTCCATCCTTGCTAAATTTTCAGAAAACCGAGCATTGGGACTCGAGGCCCCACTCATACCCTTCCCTTCTCAGAGTTTGGAATCAATTGAATCAAAAGACTGGATTCAGACAGAGGATCAGACAGAGGATCAGACAGGGTTTATATCTGCAGCTACAATGAGGTCTCCTAGTGCTTCTGTCCAAGTGTAGATGTTGAGCCCACCTCCAGGGAGACTGGTTTGTGGGACAGACGCACTCGCCCAGTCAGCTGAAGGGGAAAGTCCCAGTAGAGGACCCAAGAGGAGAGGGGACTTGAGATCCACCTGTAGGGGTCAGAGCTGGCCCTGACCCATGCGTGTCCCCATGCAGAACCGCACAGCTCCGCTCCTGAACCGCTGGGCTCTGATCTCCTCAGTGAGAACCTCTGAGGGCCGGGCTGGCACACGGATTCATGGAGAGCAATCTGGGTGATGCTTCATGCCCTTCTCTGCTTGTGAATGGTGTAGATCAGGGGTACTGTAGGCATTAGGAGTATGACCAACTCCGGAGATGCCGCTTAGGATGGTTTTGTGTTGAATACACAAGTAGAGTTGGCCTTGCAGGATATTTAGGAAGTCAGTAGGTGGGAAAGCAGACAGGAGAGAGTTTCAAGGTAAGGGACTTGCAGGTAGCCCACAAAGGGAGAAGTCATGCAGAGGGCGCTGAGGTGATCCAGTCCGTGCTCTCAGAGTCAAGGTTAACCAGGTTTGGCTGTGGCAGGCCCACAGTTGATATGCTGCCAGCTAATACCAGCAAAACTGCTACATCACCAACCTGGGGGCGGAGGGTAGGGGTAGGGATCCTTATTTTTCTGCCTTGCTCTTATTATTCTGCTGCGCAAGGCAGCCCACAGGTACTGGCGCGATGAGGGTGATGGGTAATGGGGAACAAGGTGTATTTTACTTCCCTCAAACTTTTCAATGCTGATAGTGAAAGTGACCGAAGCAAAGGCTTCCGCTGGGACAAGAATGGCAGGTAGGTGATGCAGGCTTTTATGTGAGAAGGAAGCTATTGAAAAAATACACTGCTGAAAATGTGATTTCCTTTCCATTCATTCTAGGTTCTTAACGATGTTTTCATCCGTATTCCAACATATAATATACACTTTCTTTGGCATTGTAATTGGATGCGGGAAACCCACCTATTTTCGATTTCACACTATAATCTTCACGTTGATCTTATTTATAACACTGAATTTTGTAAGGTATGAATTCTATTTTATTTTTATTTTTTTTAAATTTTACTTATTTATTTTTAGAGAGGGAAGAGAGGGAGATAGAGAGAGAGAGAGAAACATCAATGTGCAGTTGCTGGGGGTTATGGCCTGCAACCCAGGTATGTACCCTGACTGGGAATCGAACCTGCGACACTTTGGTTCGCAGCCTGCGCTCAAACCACTGAGCTACACCAGCCAGGGCTTTGAATTCTATTTTAAAGTTTGCTTAGTGGCCTTAGGTTCCCAAGCTCACCACGACAATTGGGATGCAGTGGGTTACCGCCAAAAAGGGGGCTCTGGACGTGCAGTCAGGAGACCCGTGCTGTCCTCCATGTCCTGGGCATCGCTGGCTGTGCCCCGAGGGCTGTGCGTGTCTATTCACTTGTCAAGGGTTCGCCTGTAGCATGAGAAGGAGCAGAACAGCAGCATCCGCAGAACCCGTGCGCCTGGTAGAAACACACCGTCAGGGGCCCATCCCAACTTGCCAAGTTGAATCTCTGGAGACGAGATTCGGGGAACTGTTTCAACATGCTCGTCAGCGTTTGAGCCTCACCGGACCTGACTGATGGCTTCTACCATTTGGGGGACTCTGTTAACTTTCATCATCACTTACCATCATCATAGCTACGACAAAGCCATTTATTAGGCAGTTACCATGTACATTACGCCACTAATGCTAACACAGTCCTAGGAGGTGGGCATTGTCATTTCGCAGATGCCACGTAGAGAGGTTAAAGCCTTGCTTAGAACCACCCGACTTGCAAGGGCAGAATTAGGATTTAACCTTGACCCCCACCAGCATGCTTTTTCTAAGTCTCTGTGGCCCATGCGTGGTAGCTGGGACTACCGTAAGAATCGATGACAGTGTCTTTGAACGTTGTTACTGTCGTTCAGGATGGGCCACTTGCTAAGATGTTCTCCTGGGACACGGCTCCTGCTGACTCCGCAGGCGCTGCCCGCTCCTCAGAGAGCCCCTCTCCCGCAGAAGGCGGGGCTCGAGCTTGCTTCCTCTCAGCCGTGGGAGCCCGTGTGCAAGCTGACGGAGGTCAGAGGGCCGAGGAAAGACACATTCCGTTTTCCGTATCGGTTGACTCAGCTACATACCCATGGTCTCATTTCACCTTCCTGACAGCAACTGGGTGATGAAAATTATTAGCTCTATGTTATAGATGAAGAGACTGGCCACGAAAGGCAAAGTGCCTTGTCCAAGGTCAAAGGCTAGTGGGTTCCAGAGATGCCAGTGTGACCTTACGGTTCCCCCGCACTAGGAGAGAGGCTGTATTGGAGAGAGGCATCCCAAGGGGTCCTCCGCTTATGGCTGGGATTTCCATATGGGACTGACTTGTTGAGAAGAATATTTCAGAGAGGATGAGTCAAACTAAGGCCTGGACGTAATCATTGTTGCTAACGTACTGAGCACTGACCACATTCAACATGTCATTGCAAGTGCTAGGAATGCCGCCTCATCTAACTGGACCTTCATAATGATCCTCTGAGGCGAGTACAATCATTGTCATCATCTCCATTGTACAGAAGGGACCGGGGCTTGGAGAGGTTATATAACATGCTTATGTTTGCGTCATTAGTGAGAGAAGCTTAAATTTGAACCCAGGTAGGACGCCAGAGCCTTTGCTATACTGCTTCACCGTTTTTGCTACTAGGAGACAACCCAAGTTCTATTTTTGGCTGGACTAACTGGCATTTTAGAGAAAGATGATTTAGTTAAGGCTGAACAAGTTGGTAAGAATTAACTTCGCAAAAGGCTTCAATGCAAGGCAGAGGAATTTGTCCAAATTAATCATACACCTTATTGATGGCAATTACCGGTTTTCTGTTTTGCAGTGAAAGGGGCTCTCTAAATTGTCTTGTGAAATTCCCAGCGTAGCCACTGATACGCAATATATTTTTTGAGGCTCAGAACTCGTCAGTTTCACTTCTACTGAAATCTTATTTGAAGGACAGTTCTGATATTCTTTTGGTGCAGATTCCCTAAAGATGGAGTCTAAATTTCGGCGCAGGATCCCACAGAAAAATGATCTGTAGAGAAATAAGGCACAGATGGAAATGACGTGTTTGGCATTCGGTGTATGGTTCTTGTGGGAGCAGAAGAAAAATGTGGTTGAGCCAAGTTTATTTATGTTTTATTTTTGTTTTTAAAGATTTTCTTTATTTACTTTTAGAGAGAAGGGAAGGGAAAGAGAGAGGGAAACATCCATGTGTGGTTGCCTCTTGAGCACCCCCCCACTGAGGACCTGGCCCACAACCCAGAAATGGGCCCTGACTGGGAGTCGAACTGACAACCCTCTGGTGCGCACTCAATCCACTGAGCTACACCAGCCAGGGCTGGTTGAGCTAAGTTTATTAATGCGTCTACCGTCATTTTACTTTTGGATCATGATCTGCGTGTGCTCCAGCCTAATTTCCGAATGCAGGCATGGCTTCTCAGGGGGGAGACAAGCTTGAGGGTGTGAACTGAAGAAGTTTCCCTAAGCGAATTGACTACCAAATTCGAAACAATACACACTAACGTAAAGGATGATGCCTTCGATTTTTATAGAACTTCCAGCATTATTTTTCAAGACTTGTGTATTATGTGCACGATAGTAGATTCGGTTACTTCCAGAAAGTTTTTGAGTTACTTATCAATAAACTGGATTGTCTTTCATTTCGTGAAAAATTGTATATGAGATTCAGTGTTTCTGTGCAAGGTTTCTACCATGAATAACATTCGTGCATAAAGTGTAATTGAAATTTTTTTTCTCTCCACAGGTTGTTTACTGTTGTGTTAGTGAGCCCTATTCTGATGCATTCCAGTTACAACTACAATTGGAGGTGGGGAGTTATTATAGCATGGTCTGGAATTAAAGGCATTTTCAGCCTGCTCTTGGCTCCTGAAATTTATAATCTGGCTGAACATAAAAACAAGGTGCCAGAAATGGTAGGAGAAATCATGTCTCATGATCATTCATGTTTATCCATTTGTACTTACTTTGTAGGCTTGGCATGATGCCCGGTGATAGAACTAGACTTGAAACGTGTGTTCAGTAGAAGGGAACTTGCAGAGGAAAGTTTACTGATGTCGACAGCGTGAAAGGGACCACCAGTCAAGTGGAGATGATGGACGTGGGGGACAGGCAGACTGGGGATCAAATCCCGGTTCCACCGTTCACAGACTGAGTGACCGTGGGCGAGTTGCTGGCACTGGCTGACCCTCAGTTTCCAGTCGAGGATTGAGATGATGCTCAGTATAATACCTGACACTCAGTAAATGCTCAACAAATGTTATTGAGTACATAAAGGCTATTGTTTAATAGCTGCCAGAAAGCATAAAAATGTACCCTATCTAGAGCATTCCAGCCTCAATAGCCACTGGAGAAAAACCTGAAATGCTAGTTAAATATATGCTAAGGGAGGGAAGACTTTTAAAAGTTTGAAAGCATGTCCGATGCTCTGTTGTTACCATTCGAGCCTGGGAAACACTCCCCGAAGGACATACTACTATCGACTCTAGTTTTCAGTGAAGGACGCCAGGGCTCCAAGTGATTAACTGGCCCCAAGTCCCGTGGGCAATCAATAGAGGGCCAAGAACTGCAGGGTGGCGGTGTTTCTGTGGCTGTGTGGCCGCCTCCAGCCCCCAGCACAGCTCCTGCCTCCTGCAGAGCCTCCTTCCTGTCCGGTTGCAGGAAGTGCTTGTGGCAGGCACACTTGCCTGTCCCACGCTGGTCCCCGCTGCCTGCTGTTGCTGGGGTCTCTGCCCCACCCTGTCTTTGACAGCTCCCGCCCTGCTGGCTTGGCGTGGCTGCAGGCTCTCAGCGTTCTGCTCCCTCCCAGGAGCTATGACATTTACTGTCTTCTCACTCAGATTGAAAACTGATCTCTGCCCTATAGTATATGCAAGCAGTGCTCTCAAAACAACCCTTTGCTTCAATTATCGGAGGCAGGATTTACAAAATGTGGCTTAATATAGAATTCTGGTTTTGGTTAATTGAACAATGATTCTGTTTGGAGAACTTATTAATGTTTTGGTTCTGTTTGTATGTTTTGTTTTTTAGTTTATATTGTATGTACAAGCAATATCATTAATGACTATGGGAATAAACTCAAACATGATGACTTATTTAGCCAGGAAATTAGGTAATGTACATCTATCTTTCACTAATTAACTGGGGAGAATAATGTAAATAGATTATTGCTGGGGGTTGTGGGGACATTTTTGTGGAGCTCAAGGAATTGGTTATGAAATCATGCATTTTCTTTCACTTGTTATTTATAGATTCTGTATTAATTGACATATTGGTTCAGCCAGTTTAACAGATACCACATTAACAGTGGCTTCAATAAGACAAAGTTATTTTTCCTTTCCTTTTACCAAAAAGTCCAGAAAAATGAGCTATTTCTGCCGCACGAAGTTGTCCAGAGAGCAGGATTTTTCACTTTCGTTGTTTCTCCGCTTCCTGGGGCTGCTCTCGCCTGCAGGGGAGAAGCTGGTTTATCACCTCTGTGTCTTCAACACAACCACCTGGAAGGAGAAAATGGGGGAGGGTGGCCATGGAGGGTAAGCAGCTTCCGTTTTAGGGCACAGTCCAGATGTTAAGTGTGTCATTACCACTCACATCCCATTGGCCAGAACTTAGTCACATGGGCAGGGGAAGCTGGGAAATATTGTCTTTACTTGGCTGGCCATGAGCTCAGCCAAACTCAGAGAGTCTATTGATACAGGAAGAAGGGGAGAACACAATCAGCGTTCACAGTCAGTAAGCTCTGCCACAGTTGCCTATTTCTAGAAGCAATCTGAGGCCATTGATAATCAAATGCGTAAACGCGATAGCATCCAGGATAAGATAGTTGGGGGCAGAGGGGTCCAGGCGGGAGGGAGAGAGCAGGGTAGGGCTGCACACAGTTTTCTCATGGGGCCTGAACATCATCCAATAGCCCGTGGCCCTGCCCTTGGCTTGCTGATGCAGGGAGCTGATTCCGTCAGAGTATCTAGAATTGGTCAGTGGGGGGGGGGCTCTGTGCTCAGTCTGCCACGGATGAGAATAAGTCTACCGAGACATGATCTGCTTGGGGAGGAAAGGTGGCTGATCTCTCAAACGAGAAGGACCAAGAGCCTTTTCCTCAATAGGCTTTTATCGGGTTCATTTTGCACAGGAATATGGGTAAAGACCATCAATCTTTGTCAGGCAGTAAGGATCAAACAATAGATAACATACAAAGAACTATGAGGGTTTATTCCGAGTCAGGGTCTGTTAGCTAAAGGGCTACAAAACTTTGGGAAACAAACTCATTTCCCACTTGGACCCTTATCAGAAAACTGAGAGCATTCTTAGCAAAGCAGGTTTCACAGGATTTTATGTATTCTTTCTTAGGCCCCATCGCCTGGAGGAACCCACCCTTTCCAGCACAGGGCTGCACCACCCTCTGTCATTGTTTCAGGCTTAAGTCAGGCAGGGGAAGTAAGGCAACCAAGAGATTAGGAGACTTTTTGCAGAAAGAATGAAGACTCAGGCTATTTCAAAGCTGAGGGGCAAGGTCCATCACCCCCTTTTTCTATAGTCTCCCAAGTCCTTCCCTGAGGGCCCTTTCTCGACCATGCCGGTCTTAGGTCGTCTCTCCCTTGAGGAATCTTACCTGTCATTGGCTAACCAGTCAGCTGCCCAGGGCCAAGCAGGGTGAAGTAAAAGGGGGCAGAGGCAGTGCCCCTGCCAGGAAGATAAGCTTTGTTTCCTTAGTGGCTTATGGTCCCAAGGTCTCTTTACTCAGCCTTAGCCATAGCGGGGGCAGGGGTTGGTGGTTACAGCTTCTGAAACCAGGCAGGGCGGCTCCCAACAGATCAGATTGCTGCAGATTTATATACACTGCACTCCCACGAGAATATGGATAAAGCATATAATCAATGCATTAATTCATAATGAGGATGATTTCATTCGCTGTCTGAAATAAATGTGATCATTATTCACAGTACTTACCTTTAAATACCAATTTCCTTGATAAACCAAGTTAGCAATCAGAAGGTTTCTTGGAAAACATGGAGTGGAAGAATAATGGCAAAGGCGAGTTCCTGTAAACAGGGACACAGACTGGGGAATCCTGCCCTCATCCCTCTGCCTATGTCTTCTCACGAGCCCCGCCCGTTCCTGAAGCTGTGCCCTATCGCCACCATGGCAGAACCTCCTGGGACTGCCCACCTCACTGCCAAGGGTGCTACTCCGTGAGGAGGGCTAGTGCATGGGGCTGAGTTCTCCAGCGATGGGTTCATTCTTTTTTTTTTTTAAGGTTTTATTTATTTATTTTTAGAGAGGGAAGGGAAGGAGAAAGAGAGAGAGAAAGAAACATCAATGTGCAGTTGCTGGAGGCTGTGGCCTGCAACCCAGGCATGTGCTCTGACTAGGAATCGAACCTGCGATGCTTTGGTTCGCAGCCCGAGCTCAGTCCACTGAGCTACGCCAGCCAGGGCGCGATGGGTTCATTCTTGCTTGCAGTGGCCAACTGTGCTGGGATCAGCAGCAGCCTGCCCTGGAGCACGAGCGACCTTAATGTGACCCCCGAAGGCTCGCCACAGCTCCCTTCCCAGCAATCTCTGCGACCCCGGGGACCCAGACCTATTCTGCTGTCTTTACTTAGGACAGAACATCTGGGTTTCTCCAGGCCCCCTTGCTTGTGGTTCCTCTTACTAGCATACTCAAAGGCAAGATCGACGAGGGGTTTTACTGTCACGGTAATGGTTTGTTTTTTTTTTTCCATCTGTTACGAAATTTTTATGGACTAAACCTCAGAATTTTTACTACGAGACAAAAATACATGGCAAGTCCTTTATCCTCTCAGAATCCATGCTCGTCCTTTCTAGAAATACTGTGTGGCACATGTTTGAACAGGCACTTGATAGAATCGAGTTAGTTTTGTTGTTATTTTATTTATTTATTTATTTTTTATTTTTTTGGTGAGAGTTTCAAATCAACTTTCCATCTGGTCTAATACTAGCTCTTAAGAGATCCCTCCTCAGCTCTTCCAGGATCCGCTTCACTATGGAGTTCATCCAAACTTCCTGCTGCCACCTAGTGGCCCACGTGCACATCACCTTTCCCCGCAGCAACTGCAAAGGGGCTGTGGGGCCGTGCAGGTGGGTAGGGTGTAATCCGGCACAGGCAGACACTCTCCCTGTGTGGTCCCAGCCCCGGGAGCTTTACCTCCAAAGCTTACACCTTCTACACAGAGTCAGATGCATCCTCGCTCGGGGCTGTAGGGAACCGAGAGGGAATAGGCCTCCAGACCTGCAACCCCCAGAGTTTCAAGCATGTCTGTGGCACACGGTGCCCATAGAGAAGGCAGTCAAGTTAAACCGAAACACTGAGAAACCACATGCAATTAGGAATAAAGAACAGTTTCCCTGGGGCAGACCTTCGTGTGCGTAGGCTAAGCTCACTAATTACAGGGATGTTAAATTTGAGAGATCTCTATTGCAGTGGCTTTTACATTTTATTACCGTTAGACTTAGTCGGAGACTTGCAAAAAATGCGAGTTCCCAGTCTGCTGCTCCAGCTATGGGACGGAGCCCAGGAATTGGCATGCTTTAATAAAGCAGCCCTCCTACCTGTAGAAGACACAGGGAGTTCTCCCCACTTTGGGAAACACCCTTTGGGTGCCTTGAAGTAGCGAGCCCGTCTCTAGCTCCAGGGAATGAAGGGAAACTAATGAAACATTCTTTAGTAGTTGAGTCAGAGAGTTAAATGATACAGCCAAAAGGAAACAGCTGAGTAATTTTCTGGAGTGTTCTGGGCAAAACGTCGTCTTTGCCCCCCCGCCATGCAGGCAGTGCCATGGTTTGACTACGCCGCGGAACGTTTTTGCTTCCCCTTGCAGTCAGTCTCCCGTGCCCTCCGTTCAGGCTCGTGGCTTCTCTGCTGCAGGGATGTGCGCGATTTCTCTGCCGAGACAAATGGCCATGCGAAATGCCATTCTCCACATACAGGAGATAATGCAAAACACAATAACGCTGTCTAAAACGGAGAAAATTTTGACGAATGTTAACTGGACCTTAGTAGAAGAAAAAACGACGATTAAATACAGCATTCCTGTGAGTTGCTACCAGCCGCCCACCGCCCCTCCCCCCACCCCGCGCCCCGCCCAAATAGTCCTCCTTTCCTTCCTTGGGTCCGCCTCTCTTGCTTTATTATAAAAAACTTGATTCTGCTCATTAAATGTCAGAAAACTTGGGGGGTGGTAAATATATTTACTAGCTTTACTACCTTGGTGAAAAGACTTCTTTGAGTTCTGTTTCTAAAGAGAAGGCCTTGGTGGTCTAGCATGTTTGTCAAATACAGGAGAATTATTGTTTTTACAAACTGGCTGAGCAACTGTGAATCAACTCAGCAAACTGATGCTTCCTACCGACTCAGGGACTGAGAGGTGTCTCCGCAGATAAGTCTTAGAAAAAGCAGAAAAACAGGCTGCTTCAGAGAGGAGTGGAGCACAGTCAGGTTGGGGGAAGCATTTCGCTGCGACGCCTGCCCCCCCCCCCCGCCCCCCCGCGTGGACAGTAGCTACTTTGCCCCACTTGACAGCACCATGTCCCAGATGCAGAAGGTTCGCCATGTACTCGCGGCCCTTCATTTTTAAATTTTTGATTTCGATATTGAATTCTCTGTCCAATGCCTCAATAGTTTTTACTTCTTTTTAACTTGATCTCTGTATGCTTTTAAAACTTAGTCCAGTGCTTGTCAGCTTCCCCACGTGTCGCCCGGGGAGGAACATCAGGAGTCCCCGACAGAGGAAGTGTTGATAGAAGAGGCCAGACTGCATGTAGCTATAATACAAATGGTTGGTACCACTCACCTAATCTGCTTTGAGTTTTGTTTTTATCTTGCAATGCTTTTCATTCTTGCATATGGTTTATTGGTGACTTGAGGAATGTTTTTTTCACCTTTTGGTAGTCTGTTGGCCATTAAATTGGTGTTTGATTTGTGCAAGTTAAAGAATAAGAATTAAAAATCTAAGGCTTTAAAGTTCAAGTAACAAGTCTGACTGTTCTTTTTCTAAGTCTAGCAGATTTTAGTAGCTCACTTTTCAGGGGCCTTTGAGTAATGCTTGGTGCTGCTTACATATTCAGTAAAGTAAAAATCCTCAAATATTTGAGACTTCTTTTATAAATTTAATGTATTTGAGTTCTTTTTATACAAAATTCTCTCACGTAATCATTAAATTCATAAATCCAATAAGTTAAGATAAATCTAGTCAATCAAAATTCTCTTAAAACATTTCAAATGTAATGTTCCAACATAAACACAGGAAGATTACAAGGTAAAATCAAGGTAAATCAATTTGTCAAATTGTACATATTACATTTCGGTTATATTCTAGTAAAACCTTATGCTCAATAGTACAAGTATATAAAATACTCACTCTTTCCAGTCGTCTTTTTCACTTTCATTTTAAGATGTTACTATGAAAAACTTCTAACGTATACAAAAGTAGGTGTGGTAGTTTAATGAACCCCTACGTACCTGTCTTTAAAAGCCATGCACGCAGGACCAGCCTGCCCCATCCACACCCTCACTCACTCCCACACCTCCCACGTTATGGTGATATCATAGCATTTCATTTGCAGATATTTTAGTATGTACCCGAATCTCTAAATTTTAAAATCTTTTAAAAACCATTGTAAAACACTAATCTGTGGCACCTAAAAATAACAATTCCTCAATAACATCAAATATCAAGTCAATGATCACATTTCCAGTTGTCTCCTGAACGTGATCAATGTGCATTTTCACAGTTTATATTTTTAAACCCAATTTAAACGTCCAATGACGTTCGCACATTGCAGTTCATAAGTGCGTCCTTCTCAGGGTTTGCAAGGCCCTTCGCTGGGGCAGTCAAGTACGGTCACCTCCTTCCCCCCTCCCAATCTGGGCTGTTCTCATCACTTGTTTTGACCAATACAATGTGGGGAGGGTGACTTTCTGGAGCCTGGGCCTGGGCCTGGGGAAGGTTCGCAGCTTGCACAGGGAGCGCCTCATGAACAATGAATAGAGCGGTGCATACATTTATAAAGCAAGAGAGTGTGCTCAGCGTGGGAGGAGGTTTGGTGAGGAAGTAGTCCCCGGAAGTAACTTTAACCTCCAGGTTTAATATCCATGGCAACGAAAAGGTGTGACTTTTCTCCTGGTAGTTTTTCAGGGTGAGGGGTGACATGAGCATACAGTCCAGTTATAAGGTACTGCATGTGAGATAAAGGGAAGGAATTAAAGGAAACCATACAAAAAATAAATAACAAAGGGAGACAGCAAGAGAAGGCAAAAGGAACAAAGGAACTAAAAAAAAAACCCCAGTGAACAAAATGGCAATGATTCTCATAATTATCTATCAATAATTACGTTAAATGTAAGTGGACTAAATTCTCCAACTGAAAGACAGAGTGGTTGAATGGATTAAAAAAAAAAAGGCCCAACTACGTTCTGCTTGCAGGGAACGCCCTTAGCTCTAAAGACACACACGGGCTGAAAGTGGAGGGCGGGAGAAAGAGAATTCGTGGGACGGCAGCCAGAAGGGAGCAGAAGTGGCTACACTTCCATCAGATAAAAGGGACTCTAAGTCAACACTGGTCGCAAGAGGCAAAGAAGGTCTCGATAATGGGAACACGTCAGTCAAAGTGAAACCTTTCCAACGTAAAATAAGTCCCAGGGACCTAATGCACAGCACTGTGGCTACCGTTACCAATACCGTGTGACATACTTGGGAGCTGCTAGGGGAGTGGATCCGAAATATTCTCACCACACATAAAAGAGTATAATTGTGAGGCGATCAATGTGTCCTAACCTTACTGCAGAAACTATCTTGTGATGTGTTTGTGTATCAAGTCATCGTGCTGTGCACCGAAAGCTTGCACGATGTTGCATGTCAGTTACAGCTCCATTAGCCCGGAAAAAAGTTGTGAGAAAAGGACAGTTGACTCTTATCTCTTGGTAGTTCTTGGTGAAGCTGAGATGATTAGTTACTCTTTGGATCAACAGTTTGCGTCATCTGTTCTACGGTAGAATGATGGAGCTGCTGATGCTATTTACGTCGTTGAAGTAGACTCTGAGCAGGGCAGATTTTGAGTTTCCTGAAGCCGGGAACCTTTGTATCTTTTAAAACATCAGGGTCAGTACTTTGCAAAAAAGGAATATTCAGTAAATGCTGAAATTGAGTCAAATGTATTTCCTGCGATAGCAATGTTTTGAGTGAAGAATATTTTCGTGTAATGAGTTCACTAATAGTAGTATTAGTAATATAGCAGTAATACTATAAAGGTCAAACAGAGTTCACTGCATTTATGTTTCGGCCCTCTGTAATTTTTATTTAACATTGTATGTTTAGAGTAGTTTTGAAAAACAGTGTCAAGACGGAATCCTCGATATAAAAGCAGCCCGGATATTAATCGGTGCAACCAAAAGCTATTGCCCCATCCAAGGAAAGTAAGTGTAGTGCTTATTTAACTGATATTTCCAAAATTGAATGAGCATGTGATAAGGAATGAATGAACTGAGAGTTAAATGTCCAGATTGATCAATCTATTTATCTCATCTCTCCTCATTTACTTGGTTGTCCACCCATCCACATGTCCAGCCATCCATCCATTTATCTACTTCCTATTTTAGTTGGTTGAATCCCCCCCCACCACCCCAAGGTTGGTGACTTGAGGGGATTATGGAGGAAGATCTGAGTACAATGTAATTAGAATAGCGATTAGGAGAGTCATGAAAGAGCCCAGGTGGTTTCATTACTATTATAATTACTTTGTATGTCACACTCACGAAATTGCTGGGTAGGGGAGCAGGGAAGCCTGGAGGCCACTGTCAGACTGCTCCTGGAGGTGGAGCAGGATCTGGAGGAATTGACTCCGCTGAGGATGCTGACAGACGCAATTAAACCTGGTGGGAAAGGCTCAGTATCTCAGAGATACATTGGTATCTGGTCACAGTCCGGGCAAGCGTTAGCTAATGGATGGTCCAAGACAACGACGACAGGGGATTCTGTCTCGGGGACAGCTAATGGTTCAGCCGTCTGGTAATCCATCTGGGAGGCCTAGTCTGACGCTAACCTTGTTCCTGGACCATGACCATGAGTGGGGAGTGGACGGATGCAGAGGCTCAGCGTGTTTAATATGCCCATGTCACATTTATATCTAGTATAACTCTCCCTTTTATACTAACCCCAAAGGCTAGCACTTGCTCTTTATTAAAACATGTCTGTATATTTTTCTCTGTTAGATTCATGACTATTCACGATGTTTCAACTTATGTAAAAGCTAGAAGTTGGCTTATCAAGTTTAAAAAAATTTTAACTGTCTTGGAATATCGTAAAGATAAGGCACAATTTATTCCATATGGGTAAGTATTGTGAACCTTTAACAGCAATATACTGGAAAATACGACTTTTCTATACATTACCTTGATTGTTCTTGTTCAAAAAAACAACTAATATTATGGTCGACTCTTACCGATTGAGAGGTGACTGAGCAGAGGGCTTCCTTCTTTTTAATTTTTATGTATTGAGTTTTAGAGAGAGAGAAGAAGAGGGGGGAGAGAGAGAAAGAGTGAGAGAGGGAGCGAGAAAGACATTAAGAGAGATGGACTGTTACACTTACTTGTGCATTCACTGGCTGATTCTTGTATTTGCCCTGACTGGGGATCAAACCTGCAATGTGTGGGGCGACCCTTTACCCAACTGGGCCCCGCGGCCAGGGCTCCGTGACTTCTCTGTGGGAGAGTGGGCAGGAAGACACAGAGGGTGGCCGCCTTGGGGTTCCTCGAGTTCTGTTTGCCGTGTCTTAGGGTCATAGTGCATACTCAGCTCCTTGCTGGTATTTTCTGTGTGACACTGAGCTGGGGGAGGAGTGTGAAAGCACATGGCCGTGAGCTCTCGCTCAGTTCCGTGGGTGCCTTACGGTGGTACTGTTGGTGCCTGCAATTTGGAAACACACCCCACGGCATCCCTCGTGCCTATCATCGACTTTCCCAGACAGCACCGGGTGCAGGCGTTACCTAATTTGGGTAGATTCTTTGCTTCGCTATGTAAGTTGTGAACCTGTATACCCTTTAGAGCAGGAAGACGAGGTTTTTCGACTGATAGAATGTGTCGAAAGCAGCCAGGAGCGTGGCTACTACATTTTTAAGTGGGTGTTAACATAGCTTTCATAACACATTTTGGTAAATTTTACTTTCTTCCATTTATTAAGTTTAAAGAGAAATATAAAAAAGTGAAAACCCTAGGGTCTTGACATATAAAGAGTTGACTTTTAGTTGGGCTTCACTTTAGATGGGTTGAAAACATTTAAAAATTCATAATGGTGATGATTGAATAGAATATTTTTCCATTTTTCATTTTAGACAATGTTAATGTTTTTCTCTAAATGTGTTACTTTCTTTCAATGTATTAATCTTTGCATTTTTTCCTATGTATGCTTGCTTTAGCTTTAAAAAATGCTCTCTGTCCCTGGTGTAGATTAACAAAACTTTTTTTATTTCTCCATGATGATTTTTATGTATAGAAAGTATGTTTTAGATTTTTACTTATTTGTTGTTTTATATTACTTATACTTTCTTTAAATTACTATTAATGATTTGTTGATGCAAATGTTGAACTTCACATGTTATACTTTGAAAGTGATCTGACATTGTATTCAATTTCTCTTTTTTCAGGAAAAATAAATTTGTGAAATTTACATACCACCTTGTATTTTCAGAAGAATTTGAATATACAGGACATATCATATCATTAATGTACATTTATCCTATTATAATTCATCTATGGCCAGTGGCGAGAGAGTTAAATGTGTTAGCACTGATAGTAGTAAACTACTATATTATATTTTTATATGCATTACAGTCGGCATTGAAGGTACTGTTTAAAACAGAAATGTATCCTATAAGAAGAACAATTCAGATACTGTGACCTTAGTTTTGTCCTATTTTTTAAATAACTTGATACTAGAAGCCACTTGCTGTAGCTGTTGATAGAATCCTAGAATTTTAGTAATCTTTTTGAATGTTGTGGGTTTAATAAAAACATCAGTATAATAGCCACAGTCTCAGAGAGCAGGCAGATAAAGCAGCTCTCATAAAAGTGGTGAGAATCTCAAAGAGCAAGTAAAGAGAATTGAAAATACAGACAGGGGTGTTTCCCTCAAGTTCTCTCTGTAACGAATAAGCAAATACAAGCGAACTGGTTTGCTAGGTTCGCGCCATCATATGAGAACCACCTTTTCCTTCACAGACAAGATCGATCAGATTACCGTTCTCGTACTTTAGTTATTATTAATCGTTCCACAACGAACCTGTGCACTGCTCTTTTTCGTGGCTTGTTTCTGTCATTTTAGACTCATTATACATTCTATATTTTGAATTAAATTATGATTCTTGGTATTGGAAATTTAAAATATTTTATTTTGAAATTCCACGTGAACAGCTGAAAACCCAACTTTTGGAATGTAACCCCTTGGTAGTCGAGGATGGAACTGTTCATTTCTAAGGCACTCCCGTGCCCCCCCCCCGCCGCCCCACATCACTGTACAGGCACTCTGAAATGACATCTGTTCTTTTTGTTTTCTAAACAGATAATAATTTTGAAAAGGAAATATTTTCATCAACACTGGAATACTCTGGAATTTTTAATCTTGATCATTGGAATTGTTGATATCCTTTGTGTATACTTCGTCAAATTGAGACCAGACAACATAATTCTCATTCAGTTTACAGTAACCATAGGCTATTTAAGAATCATTCGATTTATTCCTCTCATTAAGGTAAATCTTCACGTTTGACAACGCTGGGTCTTTTGTGCGCACTGTTTGGCAAAGGTGTTAAGAAGCCCGAGCTGTTTTGAGATAAGCCAGGGAAGGCACCGTCTCTCAGCCCCGCTCGCTGCCCCACCCCCCACAGCCCTGGAACCCCCTCTCTGCGGGGGTGGGGGGGGGAGGGGGTCTGCTGGGTTCCTGTCTCACCTCCTTCAGGTCAGTGCCCCCATCTCTGCCTCCTCCAGAGGAGGCCTTTCCTGACCCCCAGGAAGAAAGGCACCCGCCCTCTGTACCCCTGGCTTCCCGCCTCCCCCCCACCCGTGTCGGTTTATCCTTTTCCCCGCTGCGTGCTCCCCTTCCCCCTGCCTGCTCAGCACACTGTCCTCGGGTAGCCTCTTTGTTTCTGTCGTGACGTCACCCTGCAGCTCGAGACCGAGGACTGACCTGCAGTGAGCACTTCATAAAGATCTGTCGAGTGGATGAATGAGAATTCGGGTTCCCTCTGCAGCAGGGTAGAACCAGAAACAAGTTCTCCAAGTTTTAGTAAAACTGGCTCGCAAAGCCTTACCCGTGCAGAGGCATAGAAATGTTTCCTTGCCCTGGCCGGCTGGCTCAGTTGGTTGGAGCATCGTCCCGTACACCAAAAAGTTTGTGGGTTCAGTTTCCGGTCAGGACACGTGCCTGGGTTGTGGGTTCAATCCCCAGTCAGGGCACGTACAGGAGGAGGCAACCAATTAGGGTTTCTCTCTCTCACCCCCTTCTTCTCTCTCTAAAAAATCAAGGAACATAGCCTCGGGTGAGGATTTTTAAAAATTCTTTACTTATCACCCAAACTCCTACAGCGTAATCCCAGTGGAATTTAATTTTACTGTGGCCTTCAAACTCCTCAAAAACAGCCATTCCTTCTTTCCCTGGCTCTGGTTTCAGACTCTGAGGGTAGACTTCCAGATGTTCGGTTTCTCCTCCTAAGCCTTCTCTCCCTCTCTCTTTCCAACGGGGTGGCCTCATACAGGCCTTTAACTTAGGAGCTGTAGATGATTTCACTCGCCACCCCATTTTCCGTGGGCCGTTTGATTCTCGTTACGTCAACTGACCCAATTAGTGTGTATTAAAGTTATAGAAGGTAAGCATTTTTGAAGAAGTTGCCGTAAACCCTGAGGGCAAAAGGTAAACATCAGAATCCTCCGTGGAGTCCCTGTTTTCAGAGATGCTCAGCAGTTATCTTAAAGGGAGAATTATTTAAATGCCCAGACTTGAGTGTGTAGACGTTCCTTTTGGCTCCTTCCTCGAGTCTGTGTGAATGTGGCCAGACTTCAGTGGGCATGAGAGATGTAGAGCTACGGCACGGATGAGGGGTAATTTTGATTCCCTGTCGTTTTTGCCTCATGAGCTGAGATTGGAGCTGAGTGCTCACGTAAGGCGTGACCCTGCCACCATACAAACCCCTCCAGAAATCAGAAATGTGGCTAGGTCTCACCGTGGAAGACGGAAGCTTCCTTAGGTAATCAGGTTTTAGAAAGAGATCTTACGCGGATGAATAGGAAATAATTATTTTGGAAGTAACACTTTGAGGAAACTCTCTCTGAGTTGACATAGATTTAAAGATGTCTCACTGTGGGCGTGGACTTGACTCGAGAGTGTGAACCCCATTGCCTCTTCCTCCCAGCACACTGACGAATCTCAGTGAAGCATAGTCAAGGAATTCATATAATTAATGTCATCACCATTAGCTTATTTTACTGAGCACTTCCGGTGTTCTAGGAACACGGTACATTATCTAATGAAATCATTCCAGTAGCCCTGGGAAGTGGGTGTCACCCCTGTGTCAAGTTAGTTAGGTGCTTTCCAAAGAAGCACATCTCTATGGGGGAGCTTGAAATGATACTGGAGACTTGAAGAGGTCGGATCCTCTCAGGAACAGCTGGGGGTATCAGGGCATCGTGGACCACAACTTGTAGAAATCCTCTTCAAGGCATCCCCTTCCGTGCAGAGTTTCACGACCAAAACAGCAGCTAACCACACCTCCCCCTTCTCCGCCCCTGCGAGTCCTGCACTGGGGCTGGGGTGTTCTTTCTCTGGTCCCCTCTCCCTCCTGTGTGACCTGGCTCCCCAGCGCCCGCCCTGCGCTCCCCGGGACTCTGTCTCTGCGGCTGCCTGCCCTGCTCCACTGGAATTCTGCCGCCTAGGTGTTGTTGCCCTCACCGTACAGAGGAGGACACTGGGTCCCCAAAGTCACCGCGCAACTGCGCACACGGTCACAGAGATGGTATCTGAACCCAGGAAAGTTCCTATTTAAAATCTCAGTCTCCTCAGTCACTGCCTTCTCCGGCCTCCACTTATGATTCAAGAAACCTAGTGCTAAGAGGCATCTTCGGTCCCCTAAGCTCCCTGTCTTACACGGGAAGAAACAGCTGCAGATATGATTTCTTCCATTAGCAACTGTCACCCAGGCTATGGGACCCCCTCTCTTGTCTCCTGAAATCTAGGGGTATGGAAAATGGGGGCAGGTCCCCATCACAGCTCCGGGGCAAGTCACTCACCGAGCTTTCCTTTCTTTAGAGAGCAGCTCTCGGAGTTGAGAGCGCAGAGTCACCTGAAGGGCTTGTTAACCACGCCCAGTCCCCCGGCCCCACCCCCGGAATTCCCGTCCCGCAGGTCTAGTCTGGAGCGGGGCGCGGGGGCCTGCATTTCTAACGCGCCTCTGGGTGGCGCTGTTGTTGGCCCGGAGACCACACGTGGAGAGCTCCGCCTTAGACAGTGGTTTTCCCTCTCTATTACTGCAGACAATCATCCCGCTGCTGATAAATATTGCCAACGTGCAGATCAAAAAGCGCCTCAGCTTGATGTACAGTATCACCAAAGGCTACGTCAAAAGTCAAGAGGACGCCAAATTTTTAGTAAAACAAATTTCTGGCCAAGGATCAATATATCAGGTAAGAGACAAGCACCGGTCCTTTGGCAAAAAACAAAAACAAAAACAAATAATTTGTAAACTAGATGAGGCTTCTATGACTGTACTTTTCCCCTCGGAAAATGTACTTGCTATAACAAATTAATGCTTTCCCTAACTTCTTACAGAAATTGTATGAAATTTTGGAAACCAACAAACGAGATGCCATCAGAGAGCTAGGTAGGTCGCTGGAGAATCTGATTTCCTGGAGTCACACCTTGTGTGTGTGTGTTACCCGCCACTGAGGCAGCTCTGACTCCTGGGGACCCTACCATCGGATGAGTGACGTCCACAGTGTCCCGTCCGCAGCAGCTCTGCTGGGCTCCCGGGCACTCCTCCCTGTGGCTGCTTTTACGGACACAGTCCATCTCATATTTGGTCCCCCCTTCTCCTGGTGCCTTCTGTTTTCTTCCAGCATGATTCTTCCCCAGAGAACTCCCGCTACTCACGGGAAGCCCCAAGCAGGACAGCTTCCGTTTTGGCATGACTGCCCCCAGCAAAGCTTCAGGCTTCATCTGCTCTGGGACCCACCGTCCTGTCATTGAACCCAAGAAAGACCGGTTCATGCTTTCATTCAGTCACACGAGCATCCGTGCACCCATCCCATCCAACCAGCACTTACCGAACACCTGTGACGGGCCCGGCGTGTAAAGCATGCAGGGCCTGGAGGAGGGTGTGAGCATAGCAGTAGGTGACTGCAGAGAGGGAGAGGAGCCCTAACACCTGCCGTGGGAGCACAGAGGGGAGAGTGAGGGGAGTGGGAGATGGGTTCAGGAGACAGGCTCAGATTCCTTAAGGTCGCAGGAAAAAGACATGCGAAAGTTGCCTTCGTGTGACGAAGGGAGGTTTGGTCTGGTCTGGTTTTACTTTGTTTGCAAGGATGCTCAGGGGTGTGAACCTGCGAGGGGCGTCACTTCCTGAGCACCCACAGGCACCCTGCTTGAGCTGAAGCACACAGCAGGGGCCCCGGCATCTTACACAAAGCGTCTTGGGCCTGCTTTCCTCGGAAGGGGCTGTGGGCCAGGCTTCCAGTGTCTGGGAGGAAGTCTGGAATGGCGTGGGCCCTTAGTAGACGGAAATTATTACACAAGGAAGAAAGTAAAGCCACTCTGCATTTGTAACCACCCTGTAAGATGCCATGTGGACTAATAAGGATCATACTTTCCAAATCAAAATAGAAATAACATTGTCCAATGAATGGAATTTCAACTCTGGAGACTCTAAGTCAGAATACTTGGGCCCCGACTCAGAAAATCCAGGGCCCATTTACATGTAGACAGACTTTGATTGCTGTGCTTTGTAAGATTAGGGGCCTGGGAGCTGCTCCCTGAACATGACGTTTTAGATTAGTGTGAAATATTACAAAGTTTCCTTGACCCAGTCCGGCACAAGGGAATGTCTCTTCCCACATCGTTACTGCAATGGATTATTGAATGCTGGTTGTGCCAGGAATGTGCTAGCAGCTCTATTTATAGACATTATCGCATTCGCTGCTCATAACTACTCTGTGAGGTAAACACTATTGCCGTCTTCATGTATGGATGATGACACAGGCTTAGGGAGGTCGGGCTGCCCGAGGTCACATAGCTGGTCAGTGGCGAGTTAGACAGAGCTCAGGCCTCAGACAGAGCTCCTGACGCCAGAACCTGCTCTGGACCCTCCTACTCTTCATGTCGCTGCTCACGGTAGTTGAAAGGGTGACTTGGGCACCTTCCAGGAGTCCGGCATTGTGCCGAACATTCGGATCACAAGGACTGAATGGTCCCAGTGTAAGCTTCGACTCCAGCCCTGCCCATGACTTCTCAGGCCCCGCCCATGACTTCTCAGGCCCCGCCCAGGACTTCTCAGGCCCCGCCCATGACTTCTCAGGCTCCTGAAAGTGGAAACAACACGGGGTTGGGTCTCCGACAGACCCACCAGCCGAAGTCCAGGGACTCTCTGATCCGGTCCTGTATTTGCCTGCCCACCAAAAATTACGTAATTTCTCTAACGCTGTAATTTATATAAAGTTATACGTGGAGAGTGAGACCAGTCAAGTAGGGACGCTGCAGTGGAATGGGTTTCCTCCCAGAGCTACTGTATTTTGCTGGGTATGACGCACACCCACGCTTCATGTGCATTGTGCACAGGAGTATTATACCCATTATTATACCCATGGTATGTGGTCGCATACCCATGTAGAATGCACATCCTTACTTTTCCCTTGAAAATTCAGACAGAAAACTGCACATTATACACAGCAAAATACAGTAGGTCACAGTGCCACCGGCGCTGGGCAGAGAACGGTGTTCTCCTGGCTGGTGGGGCGAGCCCGTTTCCAGTTCTCCCATCCACAGATCAGAGAGGACACTAACTCTGGTCCCATGGCCTCCCACGTTCCGCATGAAACAGGAACGGAAGGGTGTTGCTCCAGCCCTTTGGACGCCGCAGCCCGTTGTACAAGTGTGGGTCGCTGTCGTGGCCACTGCACCGGGGGCTGACCGAGGGTGTCGCCTGCTCCAGGGCTCATAGAGCACGAGGGGCGTGACGTCGTTATCGCTCTGAAGACCAGGCAGGCCATCCAGACGGTGATCACCAAGTCTCTGAAGCACCTCTCCTTCCTGTGGTCCAGGGGCATCATCGATAAGCACGAGGGCGTGGAGATGAATAAGGTAGTGAAGCCATGTTTTCTGCTGCTCGATTCCCTCAGCCAGGCGCCCCCGCCTGCCCTGCTGCTCTAGCCACCTCGTGTCCACCTCTCTCGTGTGCCTGCAGCCTTTGTCGCTGCCAGGGCCACCAGCCCGGGTGCCGCCTGGTGCACCTCAGGTCCAAACAACTTGGTTGCAAGTGAGACAGCAGCCTGAGCTGGGTTCAGCCCAGAAGTGGGTTCGGGAGACTCAGTGTAAGGACACAGAGAGCCTCGCAGAGCCCACAGCCAGGCCAGGTGGTCAGGCCTGGGGAAGGGCCTTGAGTGAGGACTGACCCACCTGGCCTCTGTGGCATCTTCTTTTGGCTCCCTCTGCAAACTCTAGATTTTTCTGCTTCTCTCTCCTCTGGTGGGCCGTGGACCGCCCAGTTCCCCCAGCTGTGGCCGGGGGGTGGGGAGTCACACAATGTTAGCGTGATGGGGAGGGGCCCACCTGGTGTCCTGGTGGGGTCCGGGAGGGGGCTGTTGTAAGGGGAGAGGAGCAGGGGAGACAACCTAGTCAGTCAGCCGATAAATGGACTTTTGGAAAATTATAAACGCATCTGTGAAAAAATTAGGAACATATGCCAGAGGAAAAAATGTTGCATTCTAGCACTCCACACACTTACCATCTGGACTGTGTGTTTGTGCCAGTAAGATTGTTCTTTCTCTCTGGCACAAGGGGCTGTCTGCTTCTGAGCGTAAAGCAGGAAAGTGGAGGTTCTGGCCCTGCGTCCTTTCTGTGTTGTCCACTGATGAGCTGCTTCTGGGTGTCACAGGCTTTTCCTGGCTACGGATAGCTCCCAGCCACGGCCGACAAGCCCTGGGCTTCTGGACAATCTCTGGACAGAGTGCCCCCTAGTGGCCTCAGCGGGGAAGTGGGGGTGGGACAGGCCAGCTCTCTCCTTCCTGGCTCTGTCTCTTCAGTGTCTTCAGCGTCCTGGCAAAGGACCGAACGGGTGACACGATTTCCCCTTTGTGTCTGTGAGAGGAAAGGAAGGGCCACTTTAGGGTGTTCTTCAAGTTACACCTCTGCACACTTTGTGTTTTGTATTTTTTGCACTTATCACTTTGAAGGCTTTGAATGCTTAATACTCATACATAAATAATAACCCTTATGAGGAGAGAGACTTATTGTTTCCTACTGGTTTGTTTAGAAAGCTCGTGGGTAAACAATCATTCCATAGCTAGTGATTAAGTGCCCACTGGTTGTCAGATTGTCAGCCAAGGAGATGTAATTATTGATCCCAGGGCATAAGGTAGCAGGTAAATCTATTTGACTTAATTAAGTAAATATGTATTGGATACTTACTATGGAGCTCAGGATAATTAACGAATACAATACTGACCCCAAAGTTCACGGGGTCACTTAGGTATTTGTTCATCCAATCAACGAAACTTACGTAGTGCGCAGCGTGAAACACATACGTGAAAATGAAACCACTACAATGCAGTGAGTTCCGCAAGGGAGACCTGTAGGAGGTGCCGTGGGACTCAGACGGGTAAGTGGTTATCTCCTACCTGCTGAGACAAGCCAGAGAAGGCTTCTCAGAGTCCACAAGACTGGAATAGTATCCTCCAAAATTAGAAGGCTTTAAAGAAGCAAACCATACACATAAAAAAACCCGAGAGAACGTGGCATTAAATCACAGAGTAACCAACTATGAAGTTTAGACAATTTGAGAGGAAGACAGGGGAGAATATATATGTCTGTGTGTGTTAACTGGAGTGTAAGGTAAGTTGAATTTTGGATAAGTCAGTGAAAATAGTAATAAGGGGAGAACATGGACCAAAAAAGTTAGAGGACAATTTAAATGGGGTGGAGGAAGCTCTGAGTCAAAAATCAAGGTTAACTTTGCGTAACAGTTGTTTATTTAGATTTCCTTAGTTTTAACCTAATACTCCTTTTTCCGTTATAGGATCTGATTACCATCATTTCACTCGTTCATTTTTAGGTACTTCTTTCCAAAATAAAGACGTTGAACAACTTCCCCATGGCCATCCCGCCCCCTACGCCTGACAACTACCTCCATAAGATTGTTTGGCTGGAGAACAAAGAGGTTCTCATTAAGTTCTTCAAGGTAAACCTTCTGTCTTCTCTTCTGGCTCAGGTGTGGTGCTCATTACTTTTCATGTTTTCCACTCCTTAATGCAAAATTAACAGCAGCAATCAAAGAAAACTAAAGCAAGGATCCCGTAATAGCCAGCAAAGGGTAAGTTAAAATGGAGGCCTAGCAAAAACATTTCATTTTGATCCTAAAAGGCAGATTGTTTTTGTTTTTGCTTTCACAATGGATTATCTGTTTGGGATGAGCTATCTCTGTTACCTGATTGTTACTAGTCCCATCTTATTTTATGCTGTAGAATTCTGGACTTTCAGAGGCACACTCTGGAAAAGACTTGTTAGAGCAAATGTGAATAACCATACAGGCCAGGAGGGCAATATAAAAGTAAAACCGCTGGGTGTGGCGTAGCAGGGAGCGGTGAAGGCTGTCGTGTATTCAAGAGGTCACACGTGGTCTGAAGGCAACTGGGTGTTGCTGTTGGAATCTGGGCTCTTCCAACAAGTATGTATTGAGTATCTTCTATGTGCCAGAGACTATCTGAGGTTTGGGGGAATGGCAGTGAACAAAATAAATGAAGTCCCTGCTGTCATGGACTGTATATTATATGGCTGGAGATGGATACTGACCATACCAACACATACATAAATGCTGTGTAGAAAAGGAATATGGTTGGGCAGCTACTTTATATGAAGTGGTCAGGGAAGCCTGCTCTAGAAGATGACATTTACAAAGAAATCTTAAGGACATGAAGGACCAAGTCATGTGGAAGGGGAAGAACTCCCCAGGCGGGTGCAATGCCCTGAGGTGGAGTGCACTTGGAGGGCTCAAGGACATCACCGAGGCCCCTCGGGGCTGGCGGGGGCAGGGATAGAGGGAGGAGGTGAGGCGGGAGCTGCTGGAGAGAGCCTGAGGTTGCAGAACTTCGTAGGCCGTTGCAAGGACTTGGGCGTTTTGTCTGAATTAAATGGGAACCAGCTGGAAGGTTTGGAACAGAGAGGTGACATGATCTAACATGTTTCATAAGGACCATGTATTGCCGTGTCGAGAAAAGGCTGCGAGGGGTCAAGGGCAAGCCAGGGAGACTAGTAGGAGGCAGTTACAGTGAGGGAGGCAAGAGGTAATGGCAGTTCAGACTTGCAGAAGTGGTGGGAAGCAATCAGACTCTGGATGCTTTCAAGAGAGAGCTGATAGATGCTGATGGAGTGAGTGTGCAAGGGAGGGAGCACGACGTCTAGAATCTTTAGTCTGCATAGAATGGAATTACCATTTAATTAGATGGGGAAGAGAGGATTTACATGATGGTGGTGGGGCAAGAGTTTGGTTCCGAATACATTATATTTGGGAAAACTGTTAGAGACCCAAGTGTGGAGTAGGCGGTTGAAGGGATGACTTGATCCCAGGTGGGAAGCCAAATTGGGGGCAGACATTTTGGAGATGTCAGCACAGAGGGCATATCTAAAGGCTCGAGACTTGAGATAACTTAGGGAATTATTATGGACATCCAAATATTGAGTCCTGGGCTACCCAGCATTTAGGAGTGGGGAGATAAGGAAGAATTAGCAAAAGGAACTAAAGCTAGAAGAAGAGATCAGATTTGTGGTTACCAAGAGTGGGAGGCAGAGGAGGCTGGGAGCATTGGCGGAAGGTGGGCAAAAGGTACAAGCTTCCAAGTTAGGACGCGGTGTACACAGCATGGCGGCTGTGGTTAACCCCGATGCACGGGGTATTTGAACGTTGCTAAGAGAGTAGATCCAAAAAGTTCTCATCACCTGTTAACATCTCTGTTTGATTTTTGGAACCGAGAAAACTCTGGGAGAAAGAATGGCACGTGCTTTACCACAAATGTGCTTGTACTGTGTCTTGTGTGTGATCCAGGCAGGTAGATACACGTGAGGCATCTGTTTGACCATCATGAGGACACGTTCCCTGGTCCCCAGTCGCCGTGGGCTCTCCGGAGCTGGGACTGTCTGGTTCCCTGTGTGCCATTGCTAGTGTTCTTCTTCGTGCCAGACATGTTTGAAATTCTCTTTGGAAATCGGTACTAGCAAGTGCTAACTGTTTTACTATTAAAACATTTTCCTCTACCTAAAAGTTCTTATATTCCTTCTGATTTTTAAAAGGAACTTGAATATGGTTGTGAGTCCCTAAAACGATCGTGAACCTTGGGCACCGTGCCTACGGGGGCTCCATGGGAGACTGAGCCCTGGTGTCTGCCGCTCCCTGCCTGGGACACACTGAGTCCCCGAGCCGCGCCGGGTCCCTGCTTACCTCGAACGGGCGTTCTGTTTGCGTCCAGGCCTTTGCATGCACCGAGCGCTCCACCCTGGATGGTCTTCGGCTCATCGAATCTTGGCTACCTGTAACTCTTCCAGGAGGCCTCAGCTTAGGTGTTCCTTCCTCTGTCAAGTCTTCCCTGGACACCCAAGACACAGTCCTGTGGCCTTTCTGGATTTTTCCAGAATATCCTGTCTCGGTCTCTTTTATCAGAATTATCACACTTTATTGTAAACATCTACCCAACCTAGCATTTATTGGGCGTTTTTATCAGTCATTGTGGTGGGTGCTAATCACAAGTTCTATAGTTTTTTTGTTTTTTAAAATTTTATTTATTTATTTTTTGAGAGAGGGGAAGGGAGGGAGAAAGAGAAGGAGAGAACCAATCGATGTGAGAGAGAATCATCAGTAAGTTTCCTCTCACATGCGTCCCGACCTGGGACCAAACCTGCAACCCAGGCATGTGTCCGGACCAGGAATCGAACCAGCGACCTTCTGTCCTGTGGTACCATGTCCAACCAACTGAGCTATGGTCAGGGCCACAAAGTCTATAGTTTGCTTGCTTGTCCCTAAAGGATAATGAGGCATGTCAGTATGTTATTACACTTCATTAACAAACCAAAGAATCTATCTTTTCTTCATGCTACTGAAAAGCCATTTTTGCTTTCAAATCTTAACTTCTACTTAGAAAAATAGACTATGAACCTTTCGTGTTGATTTTTTTTCTCTCACCTTTTTCCTTTCTTTCAGGAAAGAGCCAGACTCGCCTATTTTGACTACGGAGATGTCATTTGTAAGGAAGGTGAAATGCCACAAGGAATCTACTTAATCATTTCAGGAATGGCGATCGTAAGGAACCATTTATTCTTTACTTAAAACGCATTCGAACTGTGTAACTATAACATAAGGAGAAATTGGGGAACTATGACAGTTTCAAAATTTTAACATGATCTCTTGTGCGAGGGAAGCCATTTCGGAGTGAACCCTGCGGCCGAGAGATGGCGCTGGACCCAGTATCTGGGAGGTGCTCCCTGTTGACCGAAATGCTTGCGTAGTCACTACTCATCCCTCCCTGCGGCACTGGGAGGAAGCAGGCTCTTCCCTGACGTTCGACTGAGGAGCCCAGTACTCAGCATGGCTGAGCCCCTGACCTAGAGGAAAGCAGTCAGGACCGAGGTGGCTCATCCTCTTGGAGGTCAAAGTAGGATGAGGATGGAAAACACCACCTTTCACTGACCCATGGGAGGCTTGTGGGTGACCGGAGAAAGATGGCATAGAGGGGCAGGGACAGGAATCCCTGAGAATCCACACGCTGGTAGCCCCATGGGGGAGCCCCAGCTCCCGACCCACGTCCTTCCCAGGTCAGGTGCGGTTCCAAGTGACAAACCCTTATTGCGAAGTAAATAATGTATTTGGCTCTCTGTTTTTCCGAGTGGGTATTTCAGACCTTAAAGCCACCCAAGTTGATCAGGGAAGTCAGCTGTTATGATAAGCCTGGTATAATGCAGACGCGTGCACTTAGTAAGCTTCTGGCACTGTCGAAGTCGAGCACATGCTGCTTCTGTGCTGCCACGCAGCGGGCTCTGCGCCATCTCGGCACAGAGTTGGCAAAACAGACAAAGGTCCCTGCCTCCTTAGAGTTTCCTTTCTAGTGGATGCATGGAAGGACATGGGACATGGAACAGAATATGTGAGTGAAGTAGGTAGTATGTTAGAGGCGATGGACAGATGAGGAGGCTGGTTGTAATTTTCGAAAGCGCGGCCAAGAATGGCGACAGGTCGTGACATTTAATCCTTACGACAGCCTTATCTTTCAAGGCAACTGGTGTGCACAGAGCAACTCACGTGTCCCTCAAGGGCCCATCGTGAGAGTCCAGGGGGGCTTCGAGCCCAGGGGGTCTGTCCCCAGTCTCCGTGTCTGTGTCCTTAGCCACTGCATTATGCTGCTCTCGTCCGAATCCACGTGCTGATCGGCTGCGCTGAGCTCCTGCCGGAGTCTGTGCCAGAAACCTACCGCCACCAGTGCTTGTTAGATGAGTCAAGTCAAACTCTCAAAAGCTGCCACACACGCGTTCCTTTGGGGAGTTTTCCTGCCACAACGAGACTGACTGAGGCTTCTTAAAATAGAAGTCCAGGGAGACTTTGGCTGAAGATGTTACAGGAGTGTTCTGTACGAGCCAAAACAAACCACCAAATTCGGCGGCGTGGTCTGTCGCCTCACTGCCCCGTGGGCCGGAAGTCCTGCGGGCTCAGCTGGGTGTCCTAAGACGCTTCCGTGGGGTCTCACGAGGCCAGAGTCAAAGGGTCCGCACGGCAGGGTTCCCTTCCGGAGAGAAACCGGGTGCCAACTCCGTTTCCAGCTCCCCTGGGGCTGTTGGTGGCATCCAGTTCCTTCCAGCGGTGGGACAGGCATCCCTGCGTCTTTGCAGCTGTCGGCCGGGAGCCAGCTTCAGCTCCCAGGGCTCCTCTTGGGCCCTTGCACACGTGCAGGCACACGCACATCTCACACCCTCCCGTCTCTCTGAGGAGCCCCGCTTCCTTCCCCGCCGTAGAAGGCTCTTCTGATCTCGGTGGGCTCCCCAGGGTCATCCGGAGTCAGCTCTTTAAGACCAGGGGACTGGCAACCTGGATGCCGTCTGCAAGATCCTTTCACAGCGGTACCTAGACTCGGGAGTGATGGGAGAACACAGGGTGGTCGCGGAGGGGCTCCTTTAGAGCGCTGCCCGCCCCCGCTCAGCGGGCCTTTGAGTGAATGGCATTCGGGATGACACGTGAAACGTGCAGGTCCTTAGGAAGCATGAACGCCTGGGAGAGCCTGGATGGGAACCCCCGGGAGCGGGTGTGCTTTTCACAGCGACTTCTTCAGGGGCCCTCCGTTCCCTGTTTTTCCTGTGTCTCCAACGATAGTCTTGCCCTTCGATGTTTGGAGCTAAGCTTTCTGGAAAATTCTGTCGTCTTTCTGGTGGACTCCTGCAGCTTTCTCCTGAAGTCCGAGACCTCTCTTTTCCCCCACCCCCCATGCCTGCCAGTCCCTTGCCCGAGGGAACTCAACCCTCTGTGTTCACCCTAAACCCTTTCTCTTTTGTCAGCTCCTGGCAACCATTCTTACGCATCTTAAAGGGGAACAAGGCTTTTAGTGAGGTCATGGCTCGGTTGGGAGGCTTATGAGTTCATGATGTCTGATTTATGCATTCTTGCAATCGAAAGGTTTTCTTTTTTTCCACCCGAGCCACTCACCCATTATGATCAGACTCTCTGACAGACTCAGAGAGGGAGTCACCTCAGTTGCGGGTGGCAATTACTACTTTTGGCGGGGGTTCACCCAAGGAAGGCTTGTTAGCCGACAGCTGTAAAGCTGAGGACTGGAAGCCATCCGTGCCTCAGAGAGTCGCGATGTGAAAGGAGCGGCGACTTCTGCGAGGCCTAATTCCCACGGGACAGGATTCACAGAGCATCTTTTCCTTCCACTGGAAACGTCGCCAGCAGGAGTGGGGGTCCCCAGCGGGCAGCTCGGGGGTGCCTCACGTTGCGTTTCCCCCTGCAGCTGCACAGCCCCCCTCCTTCCTTCGGAATCAGCCACGCCGTGCAGGCAGACAGGACGTCCCAAACCGTGTTCACCGAGTACTGCACCTGCGGGGACATCATCGGGGAGCTGAGCTGCCTGCTGAAGCGTGAGATCGAGTACACCGCCATCTGCGAAACCATCCTACAGGTGGGGCCCCGGGTCTGTGCGTGTCGTGGGTCATCCGTTAGCGCCTCCTCGAGGACGTGAGGCACCGTGGTGTGTTTCCCTCCTTGGGGTTCTGGTGTATTCATTCTTCAGTCACCGAGCAGCGACTGCCGAGGCAGACCCAGCGTCTGCCGTCCTGGCTGCGGGGTCCGGAGCGAGGTGTTTTTAGGCCCTGTGGGTCTTTGTGTCCTTGTTCATGAGAGAGGAGTTCATCTAACTTCTGCTGTCATGAGGACTGGGGAAAATGCCCGTGTGAAGCGCCTGGCGCTCAGCAAACGGCCCGCATTACGGAAGCGGCGTTCTCAAAGATGGCCTGTTTTCAAATCCCCTTTCTTCCGTTTCTCACGTGCTGTGTAGGGTGCCGTCTATTCGACAAGTCAGTAACCCGATAGTCCGCTAGCTGTGGGGGCGTGCAAACAGAGTTCCTGCTGACGAAGAGTTCTCAAGCTCTGGGGACTCCCAGAGGGCGCGGGCGGGACCAGGGTCTGCGGGGTGTCTGTGAGGGGGTGCGGCCCTGTCCGGTTTGCGCCGCCTCCTTTCTGGAAGAGGCGAGAAGGCACGCATTTGGTCACGGGGCTGGGCCGAACTCACTGAGGTTCGTGGAGTGTGACTTCTGAAAGCGCGGTCTCCCCGACTCCAGGCAGCAGTTGCCTCTGGAAACGAAGAGTAGACGTGAGCCCACGTTCCCCGCTGTGGCGGTGAAAGGGGGCAGGTTATGGGCTTAGTGAGCTCCCGAGTCCCGGGCCCGGGAGCCCTGTCCACATCACAGCCGTGGACGAGTGTGCGTTTTCCCGGCCTGTCAGCAGGTCTGTAGCTTTCATCAGATGGCCACTTGTGTTCCTTTGCACACGACAGACAGCGTCTCCAACAATACCATGCTTTTGAATGGCGGGGCATCATTCTTACACTGGAGGTGATGCTTTTCTGCGAGGCGCGGTGCAGGGTAAGCCTGCAGGCGTCTCGTGTCCTGCGGGTCCTGTGTCTCTGTTCCGGAGCCAGCCCGCCGCTCGGCCCTTGTGGTTGCAGGCCTGCTTCATCTCCCTGGAGGACTTGTACGAAGGCTTCGATGTCTTCTGGCCGTTCCTGGAGTACAATATCTGGCTGAAGCTCGCTCTCATGATCGCCCACCAGTATTGCGAATCGGCTCTGATCAACGAGGTAAGTTCCACAATGAACGTACGCGAACGAACTTTCATTCACGGCGCTTCTTTTTACAAAACGCACTTCGTATTTTGGGGGACAAAGGCAGAAAGGAAGGTCATGCCGGCTCTTCTAAACTCAGATTCCAGAATTTATTTGCTTGTGTGTTTGTTTCTTCTAATTAAAGTAACCCGAGCCCCTGTGCTGGTTTGCTGGGCCCGCCCTGACAAAGCACCACTTGTGCACAGAGCCTGAGCGCTAGAGCAACAGAGGTTTGTTGTCTCCTGGTTCCTGGGGCTGGGAACCTGAGACTGAGGTCTTGGCAGGGATGCTCCCGCCTGAGGGCTGTAGGGAGGACCGGCCGGGGCCTGCCTTCTCGGCCTGTAGGTATGTCTTCATCTTCCCACGGAGTTCTCTCTCGGTGCTTGTCTGTGTCTGAATTTCCCTTCTGTGTAAAGACTCCAGTCATGTTGGATTCGGGGGGCCGCCCCCCTCCAGTGGGACCTCATCTTACCCCTCAGCAGTTGCGTCTGCAACAACCCCACTTTCAAACCGGGCCATGCCCGGAGGTCCCGGGGGTTAGGGCGTCAACGGAGGAATTGCAGGGGGACCCAGTTCACCCCATCACAGCTCCCTTCCAGCTCTGATGTCTTTGGTTCGGAGCCTCGAAGTGCGCCTCCAACTGGTGGCCTTGCTGTATTTGATTTGGCTTTTCGTCCCGTTTGTCCTCTTGCTCGGCTGGATGAGTGATTGCTCGCTGCACAGCAAAACCTCTGTGTCTTTGACTCTGGTTCTCGTGCGAAGGGAAATCCAGGAGGCCCAGCTCGCTGACTGGCCTGCTGCGGCCGCGTGGGGCTCACGCAGGCCCCCACGCCAGCCTGGGCCACCCTGGGCCACCCTGGCCAGGACTGTGCCACAGAGACAGCACAATTCTGGGTTCAGAATCTCGGCGGAACTCTCCGTAAACTCTCCGTCTTGGTCCGCAGGCTCCTACGCCTTTTGACACCTTCAAAGAACTCAGCCACATTGCGAGTTTTCTTTCTTCTGGGTACCATGTAGCATTGGGTACGGTTTGTAGGAAAAACGTAATTTCATTGTAGGACTTAACGTTTGAAAAGTGCGTGTCACTCAACGTGGCGTACGTGGAGACATTGTCCACTTGTAACGAGATGACTATGAACTACGCCATCATGAAGCTGGTGATTGTCGTGTACGGCAGCGTCATTGACACAAACACAGAGGTGCCGTATCTGGCACCTTGCATCCTACCTAAAACCTGTGAGCAGGTGAGGAGGGCCCTTTCTACGGAGTCATTTGTGTTCCACGGGGCCCCGTAGTGACTCTAAAACTCACCCCACCCCCTGAAAAACCTGCAGTTCTCACCTGCCCTTCACACGAGGGTCGGAAGGCACCCAGGGCTTCGTGTGCTGGTGTGCGGGCTGTGCGGGCACTAGGGTGTGACTGAGGGGCAAGTGGGGGCCGGAGTGGCCTGCTCTCTGCTTGCCACGCCGCGTGCCCTGGTGTGGCGCCGTGCCTCCCCAGGGGAAGGATGCCCGGGGCGTGCCTTTCCTAGTTCCCACCAAGGCAATGACACCGTGGGCCCGCGTGGTTCTGGACGTATCTGTGCTGATGGATTGATAAGGGAGCGGAGTCGGGGCCAGGCCACTTTGTGGCCACACTAGGGGCTGTGGGCACAACTGGGCAACAGGCCCTGGGCCTCACTCACGTCTCTGTAACAAAGGGGAGGTGTGAGCACCGAGCAGGTAACGGGGCCTGGGACGAGCAGACGCAGGGTCCCTGGTAGGCCACCCGCTGATGGATCATGGGGGGCGGGCAGGAGGCCTGAGAAGAACTGACGAGCTCTAATCTGGTAGCGGAGTTCCCTGCCCACACTTTCTGCCTGGTCAGCCTGGGAAAGCCATCCATTTCATGAAAGTCTGTGTCCTGGCACCAGTGGTAAACCTCCTAAAAAGTGCGTTTGCCTCATTTTTAGCATCTTTATTTTGTACCTCTCGACAATTCAGAGGATGAAGGCAATGTTTTTTTTTTTTAATGGAAAATGAAAACCTCTTTAGCTTTGAAAGAAGGGGAGTGAGGGGGGGACCCCAGCAGAGTGCCCACGGTGGGGGTTGCAGAGGCACCAGGGTGTGGGGGCAGGCATCCTCGGACTGAGGGCCCGACCCCTGTGCCCACAGGGTGCGTGTGCACCAGCCAGCTGCCTCTGGACGCTCAGGGGTCGCGTTAGGAAGGTGAGGACAGTAGCAGCAGTGACCTCGTAAGGTTGTTGGGAGGGTTAAATCAGGTAGCATGCGGTATCTAGAAATGACAGTTACTGCCACTTGTCTGCTGCTTGTGTTCTGGGAGGGCAGGTGTTGCGGGAAAAAAACACCAAGACAAGAGGACCCTCCTGCCCCGGGGGAGGAGGTGGGGCCCTGAGCCCCTGGATGTCTGTGTGGAAGTCAAGGCAACTTGGTGGCGCCTGGGATTCTGCTTTAAACCAGGAATGTCCAGTCCGGTCACAAGTCAGGTGCAGCAAATTCCTTCCTGGTGTCTGTTTGTGAGCAACAGCTAACTTGCCAGTACCAGGCTTTCCAAAGCAACGTTAACGAGGATGTGTAGTGAGGAAGACAGAGCTTCGTTAGGCTGGAGGCCCAGTTCTAGGTTTGGGCTAATTCCTCGTATGCTTCGGAAAGGTTAGGAAGCAGCCAGCTTAGAGACCAAAGAGTGTGCCTCTGACTAATTTGGACTTTTCTCCTTTAGGTTCAGGGAACTTCAGATTTAAGCAAGCTTCTGGTTATCCAAGCATCTCAGCCTGCCGAAGGTAGTAACTCCAAGGTCATGGGTAAGGAGGGGGGCCTTTAGTGGTAGGAAAACCATGGGGAAGGAATTTAGGTAAATGGAAAATTCAGTCAGTTTGAAGACAATGGTTTGAGGGCATCGTGTGGGCTGACCTCTAATCCCCATTCTCGGCCCGCCCTGACGGCCACCTGGCTTCTGGGAGGTCATGTATCAGAGAGTTCCAGGTGGTCCTTTCCGCTCTGTGACCCCCCCCTCCTCCCGCACACACACACACTCTTGTTAGGGAGGGCAGGGCACCTTCTACCTGTGACTCCGTTCCTGCCCTTGTAGGCTGGAGCCACGCAGCAGGATGGGGCGGAGCGGGAATGGGGAGGGGACAGACTCCCATGGTGGGCCCAGGCGTGGGCAGCTGGCTTGCTCCCACCAGCCCAAGGGACAGTGGAGCCCGACCCAAACCACGGGCGATGCCACAACTCAGAGGACTTGCTGTGCGGTGGACTTCGATGGTCACTAAGCAGTCACAGTCCCTGAATGTGTGTGAGCGCCCAACTGCACGCAGCACAGTGCTAAGCAGCACGCGAGGAAGCCTCGATGGGAAGGCCTTGCCCCGGAGGAAAAGCACTCGAGGTCTTTCCTTCAGCGCTGGCAGCCCTGCCTTACGGAGCCCATAGCCCGTTGGCATTGTTCTCCCAGCTGCCCCAGCTCCAAAGCACTGGCCCTGGACTTACTCCGCTAATTAGCACCATCCCCAGTGGTTCCAATTCGTGTGGCCTGCTAGCTTAGTCATGATGCAGTTCTTAATGAACGGTTCATTAGGGGTGGACAGTGTCCACGATTTCAAATCGTGTGCCTAAAGTGACGTTTCGTTAAGAGTTTACATCTCATTAGTTCTCATTTGCATAATCCTTACAAAATGTGGCCTCATCGTGTGCTGGGCACCATGCCGAGCACTAGTTGGTGAGCGGGCCAGACAGGGCTCTGTCCTTGTGGTCAGGGAGACAGACGTTCACTGTGTGATTTCAAGTCTCCCCTAGAAGTGAGTCCAACTCAGACGTGCTGGGGGCTCGCTTCCCGGGCCCTGTTCTGGGGTTATACGCAGCAGCGTCTGAGCTGGCGGAGCGCCCTCTGCTGTGGGGGTCCCCTGTCCAAGCTGAGCTGACCGCTGTCCCGCCTTCACGGTCCCTTTGGGTCTGCCCCATGCTGCTCCGGAGCGCTCGTGGGGCATAGCCCTGCGGCAAGCCCCGGACAGCTGAGGGCCGTGAGTCGGAGGCCTTAAGTGGAAACAGGGGACAGGACCCGCTCCTACTGGGTCTGGAGGCCCCCCTGCTTCCCCAGCGACTCCAGAGACGCGGAGGGAAATGCGGCGCTCTGTGTGGACGGGGTCCAGCCCACACGCTGGATTTGACCCACATGCGTGTTTCCTTTGACCATTTTAAAATTAGTTGCCGAGTAGAAACATTTTTTAAAAATCCAGATTTTGAACTTTTCTCGAAAAAAAATCAGAAAGTCCGCCGACACTTGGTCCTCACTGCTGTAAGTGGCAACAGTCAGAGCTGAGCACCCGCGGCTCCCACTGGGCACATGGTTGCTCCCCGGGTCGCCCGGCCGCAGCTCCGCTGCCTCTCCTCGCAGGCCCAGCCCCCCGCGACCACGAGGCCGCCCTGCCTGCTGGCCGTCCAGTTGCTCAGTCCTGTCCTGGACTTCCGGGGTCCCATTTACCAACCTCCCTGCGGGGAGAAAGTCAGGAGCCCGCTTGGACGGGAAGGAAAGGGGAGACCTACAGGGAGAAAGCAAATTGATACTTCAAAACATTCCGCCACTTTGATTCTGAAACTCCTAACTTGCCTTTCCGTTTGGTGCATGTTTTTGAATAGGCACAGTCAACACCAGTCCTCACATGACCAGCAGAGAGTATAACTGGAAGAGAAAAGAGGAGGTAATGAACTGGACACTTGGATTAGATTTTTTCTTATTGTGAATACTAAATGACCAAGCTGAAATACACGGTGAAGTCACGTAGCAAAATGTGGCGGTGGTAAGAGACTATTAGTGGCGACTCATTGATTTGGAAAAATGAGGACCAAGTTCACCTGAGTTACTCAAAAATTAAAATTGCAGCATATTTTTTCAAAGATGTCATTTTGCCCCACCTCCCCTCTCTCCCCCTTTCTTTCCACCTTCCCCCTGCCCCTGATGTTTACTTTAAAAGCAGGGACCTCTGGGGTTAGGGTTGGGGAGGGTCACTAGCATCTGAGTCTCCCTGGTCCCCCACTGGAGTCTGCATGCCCCATGCATGTGCGGGGCAGTCACGGACCCAGGGTGCGGGGGGCCCCTGGGGCCGCAGGCTGATCGTGGGCACCTTCCTAGAAAGTCAGTTTTCCTTGATGATCTTTGCAGGAAAACGTTAACTCATTTAACTGCCAGGTTATTGAAAACATTTTATATGAAAACAAGCATTTTAGAGCAGGATGACAAATTTGCATGGATTTTTAAGATAAAACAGGAGGCCCCAGAACACTTTGTTATGGAGTCACTTCCGCTTGGCCCCCTAGGTCTTTTCCTGCTTTCCTCGGCTGTCGGGGCTGATCTAGAGAAGTTTCAGACGTGCTGGGAGCCCTGCCTGGAGCTGGCGCGGGCGAGGGCTGGTCGCCTCGGGCCGGGACAGGTGGAGGCCAGTCTGGTGGGGGGAACGTAGCCTGCAGGGCACATCGCTCAGGGGTCTCTGCGAGGCACCCCGGCGGAGCGCACTGGGGCCCGAGCCCACTGATGAGTGGGGAAGAGGGCACTCGGACCGAGTAGCTGGGCACTCAGCAGAGGCCGAAGTCGACCAGGCAGCTGTAACGGTGCCATGGACAGGCTTTGGGGGCAATCAGCACCCTCCTTCCCCTTCTTGCCCAGGGACCCCAACTATGCCCTCTGAGTATGGTGTGCTTGAAGCCCACCACACCCCCAGCCTGGGCCCGCCACGGTCATTTCTGACAACCCAGGTGGTCTGCGGTGTCTGTCTTGGGGGAAGGAAAGTGGCATTGTCCAAACTTAGGGCTAATGGTCCCTTTAAACAAAGCGACTCAATTCTTTTTAGGCATCTTCTTGTTTCCTCTAGAAACCGTATATCGTAAATGGGAAAACAACTTGGGAGTCAAGTAACTGGGTTTCTTGTTTGTCTCTGTTTTTTCCAGGCTCCATTGTTTTTAAAAATTCTCCTTCCAACTTAGGAAAGACATTCCCAGTTACTCTGTGATCAGTCACAAAGTTAACTAGAATCTAGTTCTCCTACCAATTCTCTTTTCCTTAAGAGACAGACTGCCTGAATTGAATGAATGTAGCATCCCTTTAAAGCTGACAGTGGGCAGCATGGAGATGCACAGTTATTTACTGACACTGTATCGCTCCAAGTCCTTAACATGTGAGATCTCTTAGAGGGAATGTTCCAGATCATAAAATGGAAACTTTTCCTAAGTTTTCTGGTTGTACTTAGTTTTTTTTTTTTCTCAAATGCCCTTAGTCTAATATTTTACTTTTGCCTTTCTTTTCTAGTTGGAAACTGGACTCCATTATAGAAAACGATACTAATGGTGCTTAATGTGATAAGTGAAGTCAGTCAGGTTCAAGACCAAGCCAGCATCCTGGCTCAAGGGCCGAAGGATTATCTGATGAGAAGTTTACTTAGAAGCTGCTGAAACAGTTCACTGCTGCATTTATTTTATAAGCAGTTGGTGGGCTGCTACAAAAGTTCCCATTTGAAGTAGCTGCATGATGCCTGAGCTGTTTAAAAATTCTTCAGGATGAGGTAGCCCCGGACTCATGGCCTGCCAAGTGAAACGCTGACAGCAAGTTACAGTAGAACACAGGTTGTTAAAAGCACCATACAATATATTGCCATCTAAAGCATAGAACCTATAACTCTGATTTGTGATATTGGTAGAATTAGTGCCCTGCTAACATTTTCTAAAGTTACTCCCTTCCTCCCCAATTCAGTAACTATTGAAAAAAAAATGGAGCGATGTCTCATCTTAGGTACTGAAAGCAAAGCTGAGAAGTTAACAGGCTTACATTACATAATACACTGTTCGATACTCTTTTTGTTTTATTTTTAAAAGTTGAATAAAGTTGAATTTTATGGTGTGTTTACTAGACTCCATTGTTTACCTACAACAAAACTTTGGAGGAACACAAGGCCCTCTACTCTAGGGAAAACCACAGGAGGAGGAGAAACAAGGGAGAAGGCCCTGCCTGTTTATGAAGGACCTCTGGGACACCCAGCATGTGGGGCAGTGTGTTTCGGAGTGGCTGCGGAGTGAGTGCCCGTGTGTCAGTCATACTGGGTGTGGCTGCACATTCCAGAAACCCCGTGTGGCTTCGTTCTTCTGCTCTAACCAGAGGTCTGGAAACAGGCAGGCCCGGACCGGCGCGGTGGCTTGTGGAGCAATCACAGCCCCAGGGTGCTCTCGGCCTCCCCCTCCTGCGTCCTCGGCCGGTAACTTGGATTCTCAGGCCCGAGTGACCTTCATCGGTAACTCCAGGCATCCTGCAGGCGTTCCATTCGGACGCGTGGCTTTCTCCTCCGAGGTTTTGCCTTTTCCTCAGGAAGGGACCCCACCCAGGGCAGCTCTGTCACATGCCCACACCTAGCACCTTAAGATGAATTTTATCCAGTGCCTCCCCTTGCCGACCTCCATACGACCTGGGTGTCTTTAGTAAAGCAGGGGAAATGGATACTGGGCGCGGTGCCCGCTGTGCCAGGCATCACGGTCACTTGGGTGTCAAAAGTGCGGACTTCCGGCCACTGATAGAAGCAGTCTCTGGGGTGGGCCCGGGGCTCTGCATTGTAACACGTTCCTCCCGTGCTTTAATGCGTTTGAAGCTTGAGAGCTGCAGTCCGGGGACTGAAGTAGCAGCAAACAGATGTCTGCCCTCCAGTCTCCCGAGGGAGGCCCATCGCCCTGCGCTGGAAACAACTCCAGGACGATGCCGCGTGCATGTCCACTAGGACGCTTTCGGCCGCAGGGACCAGGAAGCCCAACTCGGAAAGGCCTCGACGCTACATACAGGGATATATTATTTTATGGTGTGGAAGTCACGAGGTAGGACAGTTTGCAGCCCGTAGTCTCAGTGAAGTTGATCAGAATTTTTTTCCTCTCCACTCTGCTGTTGACCTTTAGTCCCTTTGCACGGCTGGCTCCCCGCTCCCAGCAGCAGTCAACGCCTCGTGTTTTTCTCATTCACATTCAATACGAGACTAAAAAGAAGGGTTTCCAGTTACTTTCAAGAGTGAGAAAGACTTCTGCCAGAAAGTCCCATGATCCTCTGTTTTTCTCCTCCCGGACAACTGAACCAATCACGGAAAAGCAGGTGGTGATGACCTCTCACCCAGTTAATGTGCCATTTAAGCGAGAACCAGCTGTGTTTCCTGAAGTCACATTGCCCCAAAGGGGTGGGGTCCAATGGAGTAAATCACTAAGGCCAGTGCACTGCACCCAAACTGGCATCTTGACCTGGTCTTTTAGACCCAGCCAGTCTGGCTCCTCAACCCTTCCCCGAGCTTCTCAATGCAAATTCCTGCCCTTAGGTTGGAGGTGAAACCAGGTCTGTGGCTAGTCCACACAAGAGCCGCAGTTAATCCTTTGCTCATCTTCTAAGACTATCTAGTAGCCAGAGCAGGTGCTGCTGCTTTGAAAAGCCACCTGGACTGCCTCTCAAATTCCTAATGCTTCTCTCAGCCACCACGGTCACAGATTAATTCACTTGCAATTAATCAGTCTTTGCACACACATGCACTTTACTTTCTGTGAAAACTGAATGCAACACTTCTTGACAGGGGGTGTCTACTCTCCATTGTCCAAGTGTGTTAAGATATACTTAGGATCAGCCCTGGCTGGCGTAGCTCAGTGGATTGAGCGCGGGCTGCGAACCAAAGTGTCGCAGGTTCGACTCCCAGTCAGGGCACATGCCTGGGTTGCAGGCCATAACCCCCAGCAACCGCATATTGATGTTTCTCTCTCTCTCTATCTCCCTCCCTTCCCTCTCTAAAAATAAATAAATAAAATCTTTAAAAAAATATATACTTAGGATCACTTCTACCCAGAAGTACATTCATCATGTACTCTTTTATAATTGGAAAAGTATTCATTCAACAAGCCTCCTGGCTGCTTGGTAGCACAGCCAGAACTCAATTTGAGGGCACAGAAACCCCTTTTCTTTGAGCCTTTAAAGTGTTTTTATGTTGACATCAATGAGTAGTGTGGATACAGGTGAACGAAACACCAAGGGCTGGCGCCCAAGTGAGGGGTGGGGAGGGGCAATCATCTGTTGGGGGAAAAGTTGATGAATTCCATTTTGATTTTGCTCATTCAGTGGCCAAGATCCTGGCAGTAAAGACTCAAGTGTGAATAATTAACGTTGGCTATTCAGACATTGAACTGTCACTATGATGAGGACGTCACTATGGCGTGGCCGACGGGCAGCAGAAGAGAGAACAGCAAGGGACCTAACAGGTAGGTGACCGGAGACAGAGCCAGGGGTTCGTCATAGAGATGCTTTCGGGACCAGAGAGCGTTCGTTGAGGATAAAACACACTGTGACCTGAAGAGAGAGAGCAGTAAGCCAGCCCTGCCGGTCCACGTCAGACCAGCGTTCCCCAGGATCCGGTGAGGACTTGGGGTGTTTACCTCCGTCCTCACCTTTATAGCGTCAGCCACCTCATCAAGGAAACGAAAGGCCTAATGACTTCTCCAACACCTGGCACCAGGGGTGAGGGCTTACGGCATTTTACTCAATAAAAACACGGAGGGCTGCCTGCAAGAGGCTGTGCCAGGTGTGCGGCACTTCTTTCTACACCTGGGGTGGACTAGCACTGCGTGGGTCCGAGAGACCATGAGTCTGGAGTACAAAGCACGCGTGTACCATTAAGCTCAAGATTCATATTCTGAAGCTCCGCAATCCCATTAAGGCATTTGGAGAGCTTGTGACAGCAGGAGTCACACACTCAAGGGACTGCAGGACCCAGGCAGGTGCCTTGAAAGAGCAAAGTGGGCCGGGTGCCACGGTGAAGTCACAGGAGGTCAGCTGCGCCTGCCTGTTCGTCATCAGACATTTCGAGTCTCTGCCTTCACGCCCATCGAGGGAACCTCTGCTCTCAGGACACCAGGCTGAGTGTTGCAAAATGTGACAACAGAGTTCTCTGATCCAGTTTTAACGAAGGGTTTATTTGCTAGATCCCCCAAAAGCAACGTACCACCCCACCCCTAGCAAGGACAGTTCTATAAACAAACATTTTCGGTCATCCACTCCTCCTTTCCCCAAGGCGACCCCTTTCTGTGTCCGCTGCGACGGAGCGAATGACCCCCGGAAAAACTAGCTGTGAAAGGCACGTGGCACTGTCGTTCTGTTCCGACACCTGTGCAGGTAAGTGGAGCCTTTCCTGTAGCCTCCCTCTTTTGATAGAAATTTATTGAGAAATTTTCTTAGCAAAATATTTAAACGCCCCTCCCCCTGCTGACCCCACGTCAGTTACCTGCCGGAAAAGTATAGAATTGAAAAGTTTTTTTCTCCCTTAGCTGTGATCAAAACACTGAAAACGGAAGAATCTCTGGTTACTCTGTCTTCTAGGGTCATGTACGTAAAGAGACTGACAGAGGAAAAAGAACCTCAAGTTCTGCGGCTCCCCAAAATGGGAAACGGAAGAGAGGGTTTGGTAAGAGCAGCTCAAAAAACTGACGGTCACTCCGGGACGGGTCCTCCCTCATCCATCAGAAACCCTGCAGAGATCCAACAGCATCCGAGTCTCAAGTAATGACCACATCTCAAAGAGAGCCAGGAGAGAGCGCTGAGATAACGGAACCGAACAGAATGCGGACGAAGGCACGAAGCAAAGAATCCCGTGGAGTTTTTTTTTAGTGCCATTTTCATTTAATAAGCCAGTAGGACAGCAGCCTAAAGCCCGTGGCTGTGACCACAGCGGGATGTTTTGACGGAACTGCCTCAGGACACAGGCTGGAGAGGGTGGGCGGCTGGCACGCCCTGGCTCCCAGCACCAGCCCCCCGGGGCAGGCCTACGGCTGGGGCGTGTAGCGGAGGTATTTCTTGCCGGACGGGAGCTCTTTGGTGAAGACTCCTTTAGGGAAAAGTTCCTTGGCTTCCTCTTCCGACATGGTTGGAATGACCATCACGCTGTCTCCGACCTAAGGAACGACATTGAGAACGGTGAAGTTCAACGTTCAAGCCGGAAGGCAAGCGTGAACTTCAGAACCCCAGGCTCGCTGGCTTCCCCGTTCCCTGAACATGCCGGGCTTGCTCCCAGGCAAAGCCTCCTGCCCTAGGGGTCCGGTGGCAGCTGGACGGAAAGACCGCCTCCCCACCTCTGAGCTCCCATCGTCCCCTCCTCTCTCGATGATTCTGCGGCACTTATCGCCACCCAGTGGACTGTACCCTGGCTTACTGTCTGGCTGTACCCGCGGGAATGTGAGTCCCAGGGGGCTGGAACTTTACGGTTGGGTCACAGCTCTGTCTGGGCTCCATAAACGTATGTTCAGTGAACGGATGGAGCATTTTAATCGATCTGCTCAACAGAAAAAAACGAAACCTGGAATACAGGTTAGCGTATTTCCAAAAGGTAGCAACATGAAGATACTCTCGTGCTATTACCCAGGTCTTACCTACTGCAGAGATCCTGGACATTACAAGCTTAGGGACAAGTGTCAGAGAATTCTACAGGGCTTTCATGAAGCTTAAGGGAGGGAAATCCTTTGGAACAGTGAAAGATACTGAGTTTTCCAGCCAGGATTTAAGTTTTGTTGTAAGCATTTTGCCATCAGGGAAGGATTAAAGGTTTAAGAAAAGTCCTCTTATTAGGAAAGGACACCATTCTGACCAATTCATTTGTCCCAACAAGCCAGGAGCTAGAAAGCAATACAGGAAGCCTGTGTTTTATATAATAGTGTTCAAGACCTTGAACATGGCCTCTGAGAGGAGCTTAAACTCACGAGGAAATGAGAGCCATAAACTCACGAGAGCCACGAGGACACACCCCCCCAGTGGACTCGCACGCTGGGAAAGGAGCCCTGGGCAAGAGGAAGCCCGGGGCGGCCACCTGGACGCCAGCCCCGCAGCCTTCCCCGCCCGCTGGGGGCGCTGGGGGCGGCTCTCTTGGCACCTTTACCTTCCAGTCCACCGGGGTGGCGACCTTCTTCTCCGCTGTCAGCTGGAGAGAGATAACCACTCTGAGAATCTCGTCGAAGTTCCTGCCCGTGGTAGCTGGGTAGAGGATAGACAGCTTCAGTTTCTTGTCGGGGCCAAAAATGAACACCTGCAGAGCACACAGACGCATCAGGAGGATGAGTCCTCTGAGTGTTTTTGCTGTGAAAGCCCCTCAGAACGCTCGCCCGTCATTAAAAATGCTCAAGGGGATAGAAACAAAACAAACGAAAAACACCCACACATCTGGAATGACACACCACACTTAATCGGGGGGTGGGGGGAGGGCTGGGATCCCGATCCTTTTCTTCTCCTTGTTATTTTTCTTTTTTCTTTTTTTAAAGATTTATTTATTTATTTTTAGAGAGCGAAGGGAGAGAGAAAGAAGAGAAACATCAATGTGCGGTTGCTGGGGGCCGTAGCCTGCGACCCAGGCATGTACCCTGGCTGGGAATCGAACCTGCGACGCTTTGGTTCTCGGCCCACGTTCAATCCACTGCGCTACGCCAGCCAGGGCTTTATTTTTCTTTAAAAAAAGTGAAAAAAAAAAAAAAAACCCCACACAAAAAAACCCCAAAACCAAAAACCTTTTCAATTACAGTTGACACTCAGTGTTATGTCAGTTTGAGGGGCACGTCCCGGTGTTCACGGTATTTTTCTGCACTTGGCAGGGAGTTCTGTTTGGTCCTGGCTGTCCCGGTACAAAGAGCTGACCGGGCAAGGCCTCAGGCGGGTACTGCATTAAGTACGGATGACTATCACAGAAGTAATACTCACGGGAGTGGATCCTGGCCCCCGCCTGGCTGCCCCGTTTGCAGACGAGGGACTAGGTTGGCTCCCCAGTGAGGAAGGGCAGAACAGACGAGAACTGAAACCCAGAGCTGCCTTCTGAAGGGGGACAGGACCCACCCCTCGAAAGAGAGGGCTGTCAGGAGAGCTAGAGGACAGAGTTCCCAGTTCTGGACGACCCCTTATCCTAATGACTTATTTTACACGGATTTCCAACAGCGAGGAAGTGAGCAGTTTGGCAGTTTAGCTGGGAATTCTGCACGAGCATCTCGGACCATCGGTGAGATGGCCACCAACACGGTCACACCGTTAATGGACGTTAACAGGCATCTTCCTGTCTCCTCCCGCTGGTCCAAGCGTGTCCTGCGACGTGCAGCCGGCCGGTCTCGAGGACGACAGACCGGACCTGGCCCACTCACCACGCGCGCCGTCACGGGCATGCCCTTCTCGTCCTTCTCGGCCGGGTCCAGCATGCCCAGCAGGATGGCGAGGTCCCGATTCTTGTCGTCAATGATGGGAAAAGGCAACTTCTCCGTGGGCTCCTCGCAGTTGTAAGCGTTGATATCCTAAAATGCAGGTGAAGGGGAAAGAGAAAAATGGAAACCAGGCTCGTCCCCTGAATTCAGTCTGGGAGCAGCCGGCCCACTGCAAGGCAGGGAAGAGGACTAGAATCATAGCCGTTATCCCAAGCAATTTTAATAAGCAGATGAATGAATGGAAGGTCCCACCCCAATCGTTCACGGACAGGAAGAGCACAGGCTAACACACTTCCGTTACAACCACAGACCCTTTTCACGCCCAGGTCTCTTAAAACACAGCTGGCTTTCACTGCTTTCAGAAACAGCAGTGACCTCTCTAAAAGCTGAGTGGGGTGGCGTCAGATCCCAATCCACGGTCACCTCTGGCTTCCCCAATATGGTGAAAACCACCAAAAATAAGGGGTCCCTTCAAGTCCACCGCCCCTAGAAACAATGTCACGTGCGAAGGTCATTCTATAGATCTGCTCCCCGTCTCAGAGGCACCCTGACCCCGACACTAAGCTACTGTAAGACAGTAAGAAATGAAGAATAAAACCACGAAACCGAAAGCAAATGTAAGAATGGAGAGCTGAATGTATATTTCAAGGACAAGGACAAGGACAGGGTGAACCTCCTGTGGGTGAAAGGGCAGAGGGCAACGTGCACCCGGGTGGAACGCACCCGGAGAACAAAGTGCTTCAAGTAGGAACTCAAGGACGACAGTGTGCTCGCCTTTTCTCTTTCTGCCCTCCTCCCCTAGTAAAACTTCACTCGTTTCTGCTTTTCCTACCCCTGCAAGTTTTTTTGGGGGGTGGGGTGGGGGGAGAATCTAGCTTCATTCTTTGATCTGACAGGGCACTGACACAGTGCTTTAGTGGGCTCAGGGCTGCGGCGAGCACACGGGAGACCCAGTTCCTGTCTTCAAGGGAACTTGCCCTTTGCTCAGGTGACTTCACAAACGGCAGGTGCAGCCTGTGTGCACTGCTCTACAGAGATGCTGAAGGAGAAAAGGGGAGTTAACGCACTTTGAAGTGGGTAACAACAACTTTTAACATGTCCCTTAATTTTAGTATCTTCCCTTCCCTTCTGCTGTCACTGGCTGCCTGTCAGGCCACACCATCAATTTGGTGGAACGGTCACTTTGGTTCTAGAGGCACTTTGGGGTTCCCAGGAAACTAGCCGCACGCCAGTTTGGGCACTGCTTCTGACGCTCGGGGCCTGCTCCTATTCCATGCAAGCGCAGTTCTGGACATTCTGCGGCAGAAGTCACCAGCTATAAAAGCAGCCCGGGTGTGCTCCTGTACCTGTAAAGGTGTTACATAACGGGCTATGAGCTCCTCCTCCAGCCATCCGTTGTTTAACTACTGCTAGGCAGCAATCCTCTGCCCCGCCACTTGCCTGACAGGTGTTACATCACACCCAGGAAAACCGAAGAGCCATGTGCTCTGGCTTTATTCCCCTCTAAACCAGGCTCATTCCCACTCCCTGTGATCCGATATCAAAAAAGAGCACTGGTTTGAGGTTCAAGTTGCGGCGCCACCGTTTCCCAGCAGGGCGTTCTTGAGCAAGTCCCACCGACTCTCCGAGTGAAATGCCCTTCCCTTTTTGATGTGACCCTTCTAACCTCAGACACCTGGGATTGGCTGGCATAGAATGGCCAAGGGTTACAGCCCCAGGGGCCCACTCACAAGGCAGTACCACACCTCCTCTTCAGCCGCACCATGAAATGTCTGGCCCGGGGCCTGGCACACATGGTCAGCATCCCTCCCATGCTACCTATGTCATTGGTCAGCAGCACGCTGGATCACGGTCAGTAAACTGTTCTCAGGTTAAGTATTGACAGCCATAATTACTGCCCAGGTAAATCCTCCTGTTGAAAGAAGACAATTCCTTCAGCTGATTCGTTTATGATCATCTAGACCGACCGCCTAGGACGTGCTGAGTGCCGAGCACCGGGCCAGCAGAGCACAAGGCAGGGGTGTGCCCCGGAGAGCCTCCACTCTGGTGGTGAGAAACACACAGGCGAAATCGCACGTGCGAAGGGAAAACCCAGAGGGGGACGGGGAGCACAGAAGGGAGTTATAATTTTATTTTATTTTTTTTTAAAGATTGTTTTTTAAATTTTTATTTTTTTCTTTTTTTAAAAAGATTTATTTATTTTTAGAGAGGGAAGGGAGGGAGAAAGAGAGAGAGAGAGAAACATCAATGTGCGGTTACTGGGGGCCATGGCCTGCAACCCAGGCATGTGCCCTGACTGGGAATCGAACCTGCGATGCTTTGGTTCTCAGCCCGAGTTCAATCCACTGAGCTACGCCAGCTGGGGGGAGTTATAATTTTAGAGAAGGAAGCCAAGAGCAGCCTTGAAGGTGTCATCTGAGGTGAGACCTGAAAAGAGATGATGGCGGGGCACAAAGATACCTGGGGAAAGAGACCTCCAGGAGGGATTCCGGATGTGCTCTGCAGGCCCAGCCGACAAGTGTGCTGATGAATTAGACACGGGAGGTGGGCCAACCAGGGGCATTAAAGAGGCCTGCCGGATCTGAGGCCTGAGCAACTGCAGAAACTCGGTTGCCATTAGCGGAGGTGAGCAGGACCAGGAAGAAGAACAGAACTGCAGTTCCGGACAGGTTAGGTTTGAGGTGATGGGAGATCGGGCAGATGCTGAGCAGGCAGGGGCTGAACCAAGTGGGAAGCCAGGAGAGTCTGGCCTAGAGATGAAAACTGGGGAGTTGGTGTACAGATGGGGGTGGATGAGCTCCCCGAGAGAGAGTGTCCATGAGAGAGGAGAGTCCAAGGAACGACCCAGGGCGACTCCAGCATAAATCAGGGGCTGGGAGATGATGACAGAGCTCAGTCTGAGCCTGAGCCTGAGCAGGACCAGCTAGAGATGGGGTGTCCTGCAAGCGAAGAGAAGAAAACCTGGGGTATGCTGATAGGCTAAGAAAGATGGGGGCTGAGCAGTGGCCCTTGGATTGCACACGGTGAAGGTCACTGTGCAATCCAAGGCAGATTTTCAAATGATCAGTCAAGTCCGAACCTGAGGTTTCCTTAACCCTTCCTATCGAAAAGACCAAGCCCCTCTGTAATTCGTAACCTGGTTTGTAAGCGCACGGCACATGCCCGTGGATACGATACCTTGCTCCACGCAAGATGGTCTTCAACACTGTCTATGGAGAGAGCGACCAGCTTAACGTTCCTCTTGGCAAATTCCGGGGCCAGCTTTGCAGCTCTGCCAAGCTCCGTGGTGCACACGGGGGTGAAGTCCCGGGGGTGGGAGAAGAGAATGCCCCATCTGCAGTGAAGGAAGGGAGGGTTACAACGGAATGAAGAGGTTATCACGAACGGCATGTTCAACAGAGTAAGCCACACACCCGAGATCGAAAGTGACGTTCTTTTTTTTTTTATGAGTGACCTTCTTCTTCTTCTTCTTTTTAATGAATGCTTATAAAGACCATTACTTTTAAACTTTTCTGTTGAGGAATGCTTCTTAATCTTACCCCCAGAAAAACCGATGTTTAAAGCCCAGTTAAAGCAAGGATACGACACTCAAGATGACACATATTTGAAAAGACTAATTTAAGGGTGTTGCCCCTTTTCATAAATTGTGGAGCCACCCCGACTCCTTTTTAGTAATAAAATCTGTGTGACTCAAACCAAGTAGCTCACTGAAATGACTATTTTTTTTTCTTACCCTCTTGTAAATTATTTTTTCTGAGCACATCAGCCCCGGCATTCAGCTCCAATAATGGGTGTCCCCTTCGGTCCTGAGGCCGAACAGATGCCTGACTGCAATAATAAACAACTTATGTAACCTGAAATGAATAGGCCTGTATCCTTTGTGTGTACAGAAAATTAACGCTGACATGTGGCTTCTTTGAAGTGAATGGGTATAAAACCTTTCAGGAAAGAAACTGCTTGCCTGAGCTAACCTGCCGAACAGGTCACACAGTCGTTGTACCTTGATACAGGAGCGCTGGAGACTTTTACCTGTCTCTTCATTTGCGGTGTCCTTCTTGCTTCAGAACAAGTGGGCATGAAAACTGACAACCTACCAGCTAGATTTCTAGAACTACAGATGCTTAGGTGAACACTATTACCTAGGTCATCCCTGCCTCAGGTTAAACTTGTAGAGATTTTAAGCACGTTTCAGGCTAAGTCACAAGAAACTTTGGAGGATCGTCTCATTCTCCTTGGCAACCCCAAACACCTCTCTCTGCTGGGGAGGAACATTGAACGCTCAGTTGTCCACACTCCCAGGGACTTGGGACATCACGGCAGGGCCCTCGCCCAGACGAATCTAGCGTAGGTGCCAAGCTGACCTCTCCAACTCTGCCAAGCTTCCTGAAGCACAAAGAACACGGCAGAGACAAGGGTACCCCCTTCCCACTTACATCTGCCGCCCTGCTCCCATGGCTTTGGGAGAGGAAAAGATCTTCTTACGAAAAGGATGGGGGGTGCCCTCGGGGAAAACTGGGGAGAAAGGGTCATGTGGTTAAGACTGAGGGGGTGTCTGGTATGTTTACTTGTTTGTAAAGGGCAATGAGAGGGGCATGAATCTTTTGAAATAAGTAGCTCTGAGTAACATCCAGGCCTTAGAGTCTATGGAACAGGATCTGTCTAAAGCTCAGACAAGACTTTTGGGAAGAAATGGAACGGGGTGTATCTTCTTGTTCAGGGAGCAAGGAATTGGGCAAGTCGGGCGTTCTCCTTCCACTTCCAGGTCCCGCTCGGGACCTTGTTTTAAGCATCTCCACACCCCCTCCGCCCTGAGCGGCCACGCTCCAGTTCACCACTCGGCTTGGAAAAGGAATAAACTCTGAGAGTTTCTGGCTGCAGCCTGCGCCAGAGAGAACGTCAATTACACGATCCCATTTCCTTCCTTCCTTCCTCATTTTCAAAAGACAAAGGGTTTCCTCCTTTGAGAGAACGGTTCCTACCCACTAACCCCCAGAAAGCCCCAGGCACACACGTCTTGTTTGGTGCAGACGTACTGTGAAGAAGTAGCTTCTATCACATGCGCGAAGACACAGTGATTAATCCTGAATAAACTCACCAACACAGCCCCCAAGCCCCTTAGCTGTGACCAATTGTCTGGGTGGGTGTCTGTAAAGTTTAAAATTATTTTAATTTTTTGTCCCCCTGTAAAAAGAATAATCTGAATCAAGAGTTAACTGTCTGGCCCTAGCCAAGTAGGTCAGTTGGTTAGAGCATTGTCCCAATACGCCAAGGTTGTGGGTTCGATCCCTGGTCAGGGCACATACGAGAACCAATAAATGCATACATAAGTGGAACAACAAGTTGATGTTTCTCCTCTCTCTCTCTCCGTCTCTCAAACACACACAAAAATGACAGTTTGAATTGAGATCGCACGCAGAATGGAGTCTGGAAAATACAGAGTCTGGCAGAAGTAACGCCTGCTTGAGTGTGGTTGGCCGGGTAACAATCTGGGTGTAATAATTTACAGTTTTAACTTGAACACTTCACCTAAAATGTCATGTGGTGTGCTTGAGTGTGATATTGTTATGTTACAGAATTACATGCTTATGATTTTATAATGAAGAAAAGGGCATTCTTTGTGCTGGACCCTGTATAGTAAGCAAAAATCCATGCATTACAATGATGTAAAGGGCTCAGAGGTCTTCTGGGGGTGGGGCAGACTTGTACAGTATTTTATAGATGCGGGTATTTTTCTCATCTTCCCACCAGTGGGTCGCTGAGATGGTACCACTTTTAATCAAATCAAGATAGATCCAGAGGCCAATAAACTATGCCAACGACAACAAAAATACCTAAGAAAGTAGTTAGCTTAAATAGTGACAGTATTTATAATTGTTGCTCTAGGAACTATGCTTCCTGTTAATATTCATCTTTAATCCACACAGCCTAAGAGTGCCGCTAAGATTTTTCTGTTTTACGGGGGTGAGAGCTGTGGGTGGAAATGGGAAGGAACAGGCTCTGAAAATCCCGTGGAGTTTTGGAGAGATACTAACGCCTCGATTCCGAGAATGAGACTGTATCTCTGAAGCCTGTTCCTGCCTTCATGGCCTGAATGTTCCCGCCTTCATGGCCTGAATGTTCCCTTTCTCCTTCTCCTAGCTGAGTCCTCTCTTTCACAAAGGTTAGCTTTTCCCTTAATGAGCGGCTGGAAATGGACTTAATGATGGGTTGCAAGGGTTAGGTCTAACTAACATACAGAATCTCTCCCAAGTCCTCTGCACAACCCTGTCCGATCACTGATTCATCCCGTAAATTCCTTTCTCTCCGTCTATACACAGAGATCCCCGAGCATCACATATAAAATCAATTCACTCCTAGGCATACGGTACAACTGCCGGACCACGTGCTGCTGGAAGCAAGGCAGAGGGGGGGACAGTGGGGTCACACCGCCGGGAAACAAAGGGTCTCAGAGAGCCGAGGTGCACCCTCCTAGGCCTTCCCTGGCAAGAGCGGGTCACTGCACAACTGAACAACCTCAGAAGGCCCTTCCCCCAAACTGTTGCGAGTTCTGGAATGAAGGACACACCTACATACAGAGCGTTCTTGATTCCTCCCACAGCAGTTATCAAATCTTATCCTGGCTAGCCAAGTCTTTTGGCCACGTATCTGGCAGCTGGTGGTTTTAAATTTTACATTTTGTACCAAGAAGCCTGCAAATGCCAGGCAGCAAACAGAATGCTCAGGTGAGTGTCCTTGGACTCTGGCCTTAATCACCCACCTTCCCCCTGGGAGCAAATTCCAGAACCGAGGGAGGGAGGGGACACGATCCCGGGCACGAGTCCCGGGAGGTGACCGCTGAGGGGGCCCAGTCTCTGCCCCCACGGGGCTTCAGCTGGACCGAGCCACCTGCACAGTTTACCAAACCAAGTTAAACAGACAACAAACCCGGCTCCGCACGGACCTCCGGTTCCTGGGACCTGCGGAAACCCAACCTCGTTCCCCTCCCCCTCCCCCGCCTGAAGCCAGCCCAGCCACGCTGGGAGGCTAGGGAGAGGGAGGCGATCAAATGGCCGAAGCGGGGCTGGGGACACACTCCGAGAGGCACGTGCAGGAACCGGTGTAGGCGGGGAGGAGGTAGGCGGCGGGCAGAGGACTGCGCGGCGGCGAGAGCGCGAGGGGAGAAGAAACGGGGAAGGCACCTCCAGGTCTGGGTGTAACCAGAGGCCAAGGCAGGCGGAGAGGTGGCCACTTACGAGTCTCCCAGATAGTCGTGGAAACGGATGCGGCCGATGGTAGTATTGGCCTCGAAGTTGGGAGCCTCGTCCCCGAGCAGGAGACCTCCCGGCATGGCGGCAGCAGTGACGCGGGACGGAGAGAAGGCGCTGCAGCGGCTGGAGAAGGAGGTGCTGGTGCGGAATAAGTGGGGCCTGGAGGGGCGGGGCGGGCGGGGCGGGCGGGGCGCAGCGGGGCGGTGGGCGGGACCTAGGCCAGTTGGGCGGGCCCAGGGGCGAGGGGCGGGGCCAGGGCAAGGAAGCCCTGAAGCTCTCTGAAATCCGCCGCGTTCTTGCCCCTCCCTGCCTGAGCCTGGGAGTTCGCCGCAGGTTTTGACCCTGCAGTGTGCTCGGGCTTTGGAGGCGGAAGAACGCGCAACGCAGTGGGAACCAACGTAGAGAATCCCACAGCCACCCCGGGAGCCGCAAAATCCGCACAGACCCTCCTGCATACCCACCATCAGGGCGACCTTCCACTCCCCGCTCTGATAAGCGCGAGCATCTGGAGTCTGGCTGGGCCAGCCCCCCTGGCCATCATGAACTGTGGCATACGGGAGGATGTGGCAAGACCCAGCCATATGGAGCATCTTATGTCAAAGGAAGTGGCTTTCTTATTGCAGCAAAAATTCTCGCACCGAGTTATTCAGCGCTTGGGGAAATGTAACCAAATTCTTAATTTTTATTCCACTCCCCACTCCCAGGGCTCACAATGAACCTCAAATAACACAATACATCTGAAATCTAAATGTAAATATTAAGATATGTGATCTTCTGTGTGCAAGTCAACTCTGCCACCCAAGGAGGTGGGAAGCTTAAGATTCATTCATTTGCTTTCTATGTGCTAAGCATGACTTAGGCAGGAGGACTTTTCTTGGAGCTTTTGTTCTAGTGGGGGAGACACACTTTTAAAATATATTAGACTTCTCTGGCTGACAGTGGCCAGAGGGGACCTGAAAATGGTTCACTATTCACTTGACCCAGAAAACCCCACCAAACCATGCAACTCAAGAGGTTCAAATCTCCGTGTTTACTTTAAAAACACTCATGAAACTGCTCAGGCCACCAAAGGTATGCACATTCGAAAAGCCACCGGGGATCTGAAGGATGTTACCTCTCAGAGCAACATGTACCCGTCTGTCGCTACAACGGGGTAGTCGGCGGGTGTGCCCGGGCCAAACACTGGGGCTGGACACAGGGTCAGGGGCCCAAAGAGAGTGCCAAGTTTCTGCTGCACATGCTTAAAAATGCAGCGAGCTAACGCTGAACTTGAGGGTTCAGATGCAGAGTCTCCGGTCGTGGGGCCCGCCCCGGTGGACAAAGCTCCCGAGAGTCAGTGCGGAGCTCACGGGGCTCCCGGGCGGACTCCCCGACACACGGGAGCCCTCCCCGCCGCCGCACTGAGACGATCCCACCGGGAAGGAGCAGGTGGCGCCTCAACCAGGGGAGGCGGCTGCACGGGAGAAGACGACAGCCCAGAAGAAACCGAAGAAACCCAAACGGGTGGCCCGGGAGTAGCTTCAGCATGAAATAAACGCTAGTAAAAGTAAATATTGGATAGCAGTAAATACTATTCAGAGGAATAAAATAAGGTGTGCTGGAAGGGACCCGGGTGCTGCTTTGGATTGTATGGTACGCTGTGGGATAGCCTCCAGCACACTGTAGGTGAACTACTCAGCACATAGTGAGTGCTCTGGAAACGGTAGCTATTATTTGGATGATGATAATGGTTTACACAGTTGTGCTTGCTTCGTCAGCTGTAAGCTAGGCATCAGGCCTGGTGATGCAACAGAGAAGTGTGGTCCCCAGGCTTCCAGGGAAGGCCGCTTGGAGGTGGTCATGATGCAAACGCAGAGTAAACGCGGTTGGGGGAGGGTGCCAAATGGTGGGAGTTCCAGAGTGGGAAAAGTGCTCCGGACGGAGCCTCTCAGAGTCAAGGAAGGCACATGGCGATCTTTGGAGAAGTGACTCACAGACTGTTGATTTCAGTTTTCATCATCGTGGTGTGTTCACCCGTGTGGGTGCACCCTAATCATGTTTAATCAGCTCTCCTCTGAAACAAGGACTTGCAATAAGATTATTGCTAAAATTTCTAGCCCCTCAAGAAAACAGTAAAGCTGCTGTAATTGAATCTCTAACCTGATCTGATGCCAAGCTTTGGTTCTAGAAGCACGATGTCTTAGCTCCTTTTTGGGGGAGAAAGAAAAGAAAAGGAGAGTAATTTGACCTCTGGGGACTACCAGTAGTCTGTGGAGATAGACTAGAAAACACAGATATACCACCAATACTGAGAATGAAGACAGAAATGGATTCTTCCTCCCCATAAAGGGCACAATTATAGAAGTATCTAGTATACATTAAGCAAGTACAATAAAATAAGAGTCTGTTGGACTTCACAGTACCAGGCACTGCAGCCTGGCTATCCTATCCCACCGTGCAAACTTGTCCACTTTAATTCTTTGCAGCATTTTCAAATCTTCTGAATTAGCTATCAACCTTTACAAACATGATTGTTTCCCTCACAAACATATCTGGATGTCTGTCTCCTAAACGTCGGAAAATCTAGCCACGCTGGGCCGATGTTCCACTTGCCAAACACTGGCTAGAGAGTAGCCACCTTAGAATTGCGTGTTCCCGTTTGTTCAGAAAGTTCTCAAACACTTGCTGACATTGTCTATTGTCATTTTAGCTCCACTCTTGCACTGTAATTTTTATTAGACTAGAACTGGGAGGACAATGAATCCTATCTTACTATAGCCCTATCTCTGTCAAGACTGTGCAAATGGAAGGTGGACCGAGGCCTTCGTGTTCCAAGGAGGAACAAGATAAAGCCCATTTCTTTCTAAAAGTGAAGGATGTTCCCACATACGTGATATGCAAACACAGTTGGAAGGAACCATCTGTGCTGCCTGGCCCCTGGCAGTTGGGGTTCACCTCTGAACCCCAGTCTAGAGGGGGAAAATCACACTCCTTTCCCAAGGGCTTGTGAGAACGGTGCCATGGGACAGGAGGGGTGGGGGAAGGGCCGGGGGGAGGCACGCGGGGGAGAGAGAGTCCAGAATACGTAAAAGGAAAGCGAGGCTAAGGGAAATATCTACTTTACAGAGTGGGCGGGGGCTCTGGGATCAGAAAAAAAGTTGTTTTCAGGCAGCTGTCAGGGTTGGGGAGAAGGAAGGCCATGACTGCGGGCCCGTCGAGTCTCTCTGCCCGTGCTGCTTTGGACAGGTTGAAGGAGAAGGGGAAAAGATGGGCAGTGGCCATTTGGGGGAGGACAGTGCATCGTGACGTCTGCCTGTCTGTCTCTCTCACTGGCTGGGAGCCCCTGCGTGGGGCCTGTGAGACAGAGTGGGCATGGGGCCAGACTGCACCAAGTGTCGGAGAAGCACCCAGCCACCTTCCTGCAGCCAGGGCAGCGGCTCCTCTGCCTACAGCTGGGAATCAAGGAGCAACGTGCCCCTCCTCAGAGCTGTAGCCGGGTAGAAATTCTTATGCATGTGGGTGGAGATAAATGAAACTTGTAACTGGTTTTTAAAAGGCAGGGTTGTGTTTTGAAAACCAGTTTGTAGAAGCTTTCTTGTTAAACTTGAAGGTCTTTTCAGGAAAAAAAAAAAGAAAAGAAAGGTCTGGAACACACAGTGGTGGGGGCGGGGCTGCTGTCCCTGCTGCCGGGGTGGGGCTGACCCTCTGGCCCCCCACCCCACCCCCACTCTTCTCCCTCCGGTTCAGTGTGGTCACTCCCCTTGTCCCCATAGGGCTGGACATCTGCCGTCTGGCGGGAAATTACAGCAGGACATGTTTCAAAGTACTTTATATTAGACTTATTAACTTGAAATAGATAAAAAGTGACATTTATAATAGTGATGGTTATAGTGTTGAGATCACCTGGTTGGTGACATTTATGTGTGTTTCTTAGATTTGCGGGAGATCTGCCAGTGCTCTCCTCGCTTTCTTCTCCCTAGACTGAGCCACGTCGGGGGCCCGACGGGCCGACAAGCCCAGATGTGTCATATTCGTAAACGTAATTTATGCATATTTTTAAAAGACTCAAACTATAAGTAGAAATAATTCTCATTTTTATGCCAACACTACTCAATTTATAAATAAAATAACACTTTGAAGTTAGTCTTTTTTAAGGAGGGGTTTAAACTTTTAAAACTAGTTTTAGCTCAAAGAGTCTTTAATCTAGGTCTCAAAATGCACAACTGTAACACACCCACTGCCAGGTAAAAGCCAGGAAGCTGTCAGGGCACCTGGCAGTGGGCAGAAGCCTCTCTTTCACATTAAAATTCCATTGCTGCCCTATCTCTGCAGGGGAAAGTTCTGGAAGGAAGAAAGGACAGTGACTACCCCAAGGCAGGAAGGATGATTGACATTTTGTGGTATATTCTTTTGTACTTTTTGAATTTTTAAAACTGTATGTCCGATATCTTTTTCAATAGGAAATAAAAACCACTTAAAAAACTGGCCTGCAGAGAAGCTGGGCTCTGAGGCTAAGAGAAAAGCCCCCAGTAAAAGGGGGGAGGAGAAGAAAGGGGACCCCGGGGGGAATAAAAAGAGGTGAGCGGGGGTCGTCGTTTCCTGTGAAGAGTGCTGATGTCTTACGGAGTGCAGAAACGGAGCTTTGAGCCAGCTACATTTCTCATCATTTCACAAATATTCCAGGGGCCCCACCCAACTTGCCCGTAACCTTCTCTCCCGTCCAAGTCGCTTGTAGCTCTGCCCCAGGGTGGGGCAATCTGGGCCGACCAATGCCCGCCGGCCTGGGGCGCAGGCTGGGCCTCTGCGGACCTCGTGACCCGGGTACAACCAGAAGTTGGAACAAAAAAGTCACAGGGACTGTCTTCCCGGGCTCTATCTGGGCTCGCCCATCTCACAGCACTTGACACAAGTAGGGGCTCAGTAAATGTTATTCCTCTTCTTCCTCCTGGACACAGTGCTGAAATTCTTGGAGGCGAATGTCCACACCTTCCCCGGGGAAGTGTTGCAGGCAGGAGGCGTGTGTGGCTCAGAGCAGGCCTGACCCCCGCCGGGGGGAGGCAGCGGGTCCAGAGAATGCTCCTCCAGGGTGGCCTGACCAGGCCCAGTGCAGCCAGCACCACCTTTTCCTCCATAGCAAGAAAAGTGGAGTATTGTAGATTAAGTCATAAGCTAGTTA